TGATAATGACCGGGTTTGGGGGTGACCGCTGTTAATGGACCGAAACGAAGTCGAGGTCCATTAACAGCGGTCACCCCCAAACCCGGTCATTATCACGCAGTGAAGACCGGATCCTCACACTGTTATTCCCATTAAAGGTAGAGTCCATCATTTGTAATTTGTGCATTTTGTTCGTTTGAAGCAACAAAAGAGTTCAAAATCTAATGAAGGATACTGAGCAACTAACCTGATGAAGTTTCAGCTAAGCTTCAGCTGTACATTCCGAGAAAAACAGCATTCTAAGATCTCAATTTCAAATCAAAAGTTGCTGAATCATGTTTTGAATTGTTTTGAATTGCAACTATACGCGACGTCGCGCACTGATCCGACGAATTGTAACAACCGCGCGCGCGTGTGCGTCGTTCCAATACTTGTGCGCGCTGCGCTGAATAACAAAACGAACTACTAATTTAAATTTTCCTACGGTGCTTCTTAAGAATCACCGTTGGAAATGCCTTCTTTCGTTGATTACTTCAAAATGACAGCTTCCCAGAAAGAATAATTTCACAGGGAGTTTAGTCTCCTTACTATCTTTCAACCAAGTTAGTTTTTCAACAATAATTACGCCAGTTACTTTTCGGATGGCTGCAAATGATGGACTCTACCTTTAATAAATACCTTTTAACGAAATAAACAGTTAAAATGCTCCAATTTTGTGACTTTCTTTCGGCAATATTTCCAGACTTTTTTGTGTTCATGTTCATGGGCCATATTTTAACTTATGCATGGTACCCTGTCTCTTCGATAAGAGTTGTTAAATACACCACAGCCGGGCCCAGGCTGTGCTGGACATTGCTGGACAACGTCTTCATTGCGTACGCGTACGACGTCCAGGGTTTGGACTTCTGCTGCCGTAGCGAAACAATTAAATTACAACAATGTTTTCATATTGTAGCGGGATCCTATTGGGCTCTTGTCCGCCAAATCCGGCCAAACGCAAGAAAAGGGGACAGGCAGACGGGATTTCTAACTCTGAAGGAAGATCTCATTTATTTCGCCAAGCGGACTCTGCGGGCAACTTGCCGCACCGCTACCAGAACTGCAACTGACCAATTCCCAGCATAGACACACACACAATCTGAACAAATGTATACAAATGTAGCAACTTTACCCAACCGTGGAATCCAGCCAAGTTCTTCCCGCGCAATTGAACAAAAGAACCCCACTTTAAAGCTATAGTCCATCATTTGCAGCCATCCGAAAAGTAACTGGCGTAATTACTGTTGAAAAACAAACTTGGTTCAAAGATAGTAAGGAAGCTAAACTCCCTGTGAAATTATTCTTTCTGGGAAGCTGTCATTTTGAAGTAATCAACGAAAGAAGGCATTTCCAACGGTGATTCTTAAGAAGCACCGTAGGAAAATTTAAATTAGTAGTTCGTTTTGTTATTCAGCGCAGCGCGCACAAGTATTGGAACGACGCACACGCGCGCGCGGTTGTTATAATTCGTCGGATCAGTGCGCGATGCCGCGTATAGCTGCAATTCAAAACAATTCAAAACATGATTCAGTAACGGATTTGAAATTGAGATCTTAGAATGCTGCTTTTCTCGGAATGTACAGCTGAAGCTTAGCTGGAACTTCATCAGGTTAGTTGCTCAGTATCCTTCATTAGATTTTGAACACTTTTGTTGCTTCAAACGAACAAAATGCACAAATTACAAATGATGGACTATAGCTTTAAGCAACCTATTTTGTAGAGCCAATTTCCGGAGCGCGCGCTAGCAAGACCCAAAACCAGGTCAGGTGCGCGTGAAAACGGTGGTGTCGGTGACGAAAAGTGTGCATAAGACTGTCCGTTACAATATTTTTACCTGATGGAGGAAGCTGAAATTTCGTTTACACACTCCTTGTGTCCAGAATTACAAAGATGATTGGTTTAGGAAAGGTAAATATGTCGTTGGGCTAAGTGTTTAAAGAAAATACATCTACGCTTTAAAACTTCCTTACGCGCGCGCGCACCCATAGCAACTGTGTTGCGTACGCGCGCCTCAGTCTCACGCGAAGGTGGTTGAGCGCATGTGCAGTGCTGTATTGTTACAAGCTGCCGTATGACTGTTGTAAATTTGGCCAATCATTGCCTTCCATGCAACCTCGTGTCCGTGGGTACGATCTTGCAGCGCCATGTTGTTTCCCATCATGCCTTGCGCGATCGTAACCCCTGGAATTGTGTAATTTAAATGTACCAAAATACGGTACATTATAATTAGGGCTGCAGTTTATCCGTTTTACGTGCCGACGCCATCTTTAAAATGTTAAAAGTTGTGATTTTGAAGAATCAATCCTTTCAAACACAACGTTTGGACATTGCGTTAATTAGCAAAGATTTGTATTAAGTGTACGTACCCCTTTCGTGCCTTTACAACCACAGATACAGGGTTTTTTTTAGCGAAAAACGCGGCTGACATAATCCATATCGTACAGGCATCGCGACTTTTGAATCATAATTTTTTTTTTCGTACGTGACGTTACGTGCAAAGCTAAGCACGCGAGCGCGAGCGCATTATGGGCGCGCCCGGCGTGCAATCTTCGAAATGCCCGCGCAGTACGCTGTGAATAGCCATTCAGCGTCATTTACGTCATCATCACATCACAGGGTTAGTGTAAGGAACGAGCACGCGCCCCTGGAGTCGAGGCTGCCTTCCACGGGGCTGGATCAATGCTGGTTCAGGGGCCTTTTTTTTCGCTTGTTCTTTGAAGCCGGTCATTATCACCGTTAATGCACGGCCACGTGATCGAGTCTCAACCAATCAGAAACCATCAACTCTCCAAGGTATTTATTAATGTGGTTTTCTAGAAATGCGCCCGCCCGCACAGTCTTATTTTACGTGCGCTAGCACCCGAATCAATTACGAGACCCCAACATTAAACAGACATTCATAAATACCTAAGACAGTTTACGCATTCCTATTGGTCGAGAGCCCGTCACGTGGCCGGTCTTAAACGGATGATAAAGACATGGCTAGCTGGTCTTAAACACTTTTCCAGTGTCACAATAAAATGTGGACTCCTAAATATCCAGTGCCTCTTATTGTTTCATTGGTTGAACGTTCACAATCCTCACGTAGGCATGCGCAACACTACCAGGGAGTCAGAATTTTATAGTTCTAAATTCAAAACGCAACGCGCCAGGTGCGTTCTGCGCGACATCGCGCAGAACATGATACGCGCGCGTCAATCTCCATAAAAGGGCTGTTTACATCTTACTCGCCAGCTTGAACACTCCATTATTTTGCAAGAGGGATGTTTCAAAAAGCATAAAGTGAATTTGTTGAACAAAATCTGGATGTTTTGAACGAATTATATGATTTTGTTTACCGAAAAGGTATTTATGAATGGGAATAACTATGTGCTCCGTCGGTATTTATCACTCTGTTTAAGACCACTTAGAGTCTGGGTGCTGATAATTACCCTCGCCTCCGGCTCGGGTAATTATCAGCACCAAGACTCTAAGTGGTCTTAAACAGAGTGATAAAAACCTCCGCAGCACACATTTATTCCCTTAACAAATACACCTGGACAACAGGATTGTCGGCACAACAAATATGATCGTAATTTATTATACAATAATCACAAAATATACAGTTGTGATTGAGTCTTAATGAGGTTGTTAATTACCAGGGTCGCTTTAATTAAACTTGGGACTAAGCAGCAACGCGCACAGCCTCAGCAGTGTTAAATAATGAAAGCCATGCGTTATTAAAGTTAGCAATAAGCAACAGTGTAAACAATGCACAACAATGTAAGCAATATACCACACTGTGAGTAATACACACCAATGTAAGAAATACTAAAGATGTAAGTACATGTTATACACACCAATGTAAACAATACACGTCAATGTAAGTAATGTACGCCAATGTAAACAATGCAACGTAAGTAATGTACACCACGCAAGCATACAACCTGTTCAGCCTTGTACTTGATTACGCTTCACCAGTGCAAGCTAGCGTGAGCATCGTACAGTACATCCACGGCTGCGCGTCAGCATTACACAGCGTAACTTAAATACAGTCAGGGCCTGTACACAGCGCATCAGAATTTAATACACAAAACACAGAGCGCGGGCAATATTAATATACTCATTAATATACTACTGATAATATAAAAATCCCCCACCCAGATTTTGTTTTATTATAAACAAACAAACAAATCATAAACAAACAAACAAACACCCCAAGGCACAAGAAGGGTAAGTATTAGGGTGATTCAACGGTTACTCGCATTACACTTTTTTGCACCCTTTCGTGTTCCGATTGCTGTGGTTTTAGCAGTAGTTAGACTGTCTATCTCTTATGCTGCATAAATATACCCTATTTTCAAGGCTTCACCCTGATGGTAAAGAAAAATATGTTCGTACCATGACAAGATCGTAGCACTCTTCGAAAAAAACGGTTACTTGCATTACACAAAAAGGACATGCCAAAAATTGGCTCTGTTTTGATTCCCCTGTCTGCTTAAACTGAAAGTGCCAAATTAATATATTTACAGGACACCTACCATAGTACTTAACTTATATGGTTAAAAAAAATGAAGACCCAAATCAGATATAAATTATACAGCGAGAAAGGTTGGTTACTCGCATTACGGTTACTCGCATTACAGTTTGTCCGACACTTTGGCTGGGGTCAAATACAAATTTTACCCCCACAATTTTGATCAGATTTTAACTGCATGGAGCTTCACAACCCTAAACGTATGGACTGAACCCAAAGTAAAGCCAACAAAAAAAGTAAAGGAATAAAAGATAACCAAAGAAGCATTTTGGTTACTGGCATTACAGTTACTCGCATTACAATTTGGTTCATTGGTTTGGGAAAAAATCAAATCTTAATCAGGACAGGTCTAATTCAACCTAAATCATCTCATCAAACAAAACAAATGGCTAGGCTATACAATTAAGTATTAGTATAATTAAAAGATTACCAATCAATCTTAATTTGTGTTTTAGGAAAGTTTTCGTAATGGTAGCGATGCATGTAATGCAGCCGTCCGACAGTATATAATTAAAATTCCAATGTCAGACCAGTATTGCCAAGATGTTCCTCATACAGTTGGTCGAAACGTTGACTCTGCTCTGCCGTCAGATATTCCCGCCAGTCGCCAACTTTCCCTGAAGGAGGGAAATATAATAAGTGTAAGGGAAGGAAACCAAATAAACTGCACACCGCACAAGCACAAGCCACTTACCTATCTATAGTCGGATAGCCGTCAAAACAAGTAAACAAAACCAAAACAAGTCAACCAAACCAAACAAAAACGGGGGGGGGGGGAATAAAAACGTCATCGTGTACCTTTTCTCATGAACAGCGATTTTGTTTCGTCAATGATCGAGGAAACCGCCTGGGGTTTTTCACTGAACCTTTTGCGCATGCTCGCAACTGAACATTTGCTGGAGATAGATGAGATGTCTTGCGTGTCTAGTTCTTTTCCCAGAAATGTTCCCACTTGTTTGATGATAGCTTGTTCATCCTGCAACAAAATGATCATCGCCTTAAATTACTCTCCTTGCGCTCTTCAACAAATTAGATTTATTTTCTCAACTAAATTACAATTTGTGTTCTATATTTACGAAAGATTCTTCTCTCTAGTTTCTGGACGTCTGCCCCAAGTAGTGTATCCAGGTTTGTGTGTGTGTGTGTGGGGGGGGGGGGGGGGGTTCAAATTGAGTGTTTTTTTTATTTAAATGTTCCATTTTTTCATTCATAGAATGGTTAGAAGCAAATTGTTGCCAGAGGGCGGAAACAAGAGTTTCAAACATGTCGTCCTCCGCGCATACCGTACCTTTTTCAGATCTTCATACTTGAGAAACAAGAAGTTGTTGTGGTGTTTCATCTCCCAGTATTGCTTAACATGGGTGAAGTAGGATCCAAATGGAACTTTAAAACAAAACAAAAGTGATAGCAAGCGGAAATGATTAATATCTACATCCGAATGTGTCGGTATCAAAAGAAGCGTGAACTGTTTGAACATAACTTGAAAGAGCCAGCATTTAGAGCATACCCCTTCCCCTTATTTCAATCACTGATCAGCTACGCCCACCTCAAGAATTCAGCTCAACACCTTTTTTTTTTACTTACCTTCTCCCTTCATGAAGAGTGGAACAAACTGCTCCCAGGGTGGACAAGGGTCTGGCGCCTTCAGTGCATTGAAGAAGTGAAAGTACGACACCGCTACATCCTTAGGGTTGCGAGCAATGTACAAAACCTGTGGTACAAAAACCCACATCGGTGACAAGATTACGTCGTGGCAATGGATTCGGAGGGGGGGGGCTAACTATATAACCACTTCCCTCCCTTTGACCCAGTGGCGTAGCCACGGGGGGCGTTGGGGGGCGACAGCCCCCCCCCCCATGAAACCTTGTCGCCCCCCAGTCGCCCCCCCCCCACTGAGATTGTGAGTTTCTAAAACAAATTATCATTGATCTACATGACGCTCCCCCCCCCCCATGAAATGTTCCAGCCCCCCCCCCCCCCCCCCCCCCACTGAAAAATTCCTGGCTACGCCACTGCATGACCACTGACTAATGTTAATATTAATGGTACAAATCGTTATTTATTGCTTCAGGCCTAAATTTATGCCTGACTGCAACTCCTCATCCACTCTCAACCCCAGCCCACCCGATTGAGGTATCTTGGACCTCAACCCCCAGCCATCCCTTTTGGAAATCCTAGATTTGAATAAAAATTAATAAAACATCTTTAATGATTTACATTTTGCACAGTTTGTGTCTCCAATCGGTAAGTATTTAGCCATACTTTTTCCCACTTCCTCATGTATTTTTGTATACGGTATTCAGGAGATGACAGCACTTTAAAGCTAAAGGGGTCTTTACTTTTTACGTTGCAAATCGGCATTTTCGGAGTTAATATCATGTTTGTCAGGTTCACATTTGAAGTGCTGTAATGAGTGCAAAGTGCATAAACAACTCCTTATATCTTTGTCGTTTTATTAAAATAACTTTTTAACGGTTAAAGGGTTTAAAAGATAAAAGAGTTTAAATGTTATTTCAATGAAATAAAAAATAAAAGTATCGTTCGTGAAAAAAACGACCACCGACCCGACCGACTGACGTAGTGTCACTTGTGACTTAGCCTGGTTGTTGGCTGAAGAGTGCCGGGTAGTGCTATTGTATAGGAATACCCCGTAATGGGCTTAATCTAGCCCATTGTGTACACAGATGCATGAAAGTTTTCCAGTGAATAACCATAGATCTTTATCATTCCATTCATGGTCCAACTACTGAAGAAATACTCTCTATAACAATTCATTACTCCACCTCTGTAAGTTTGTGCAAGAAGGTTTGTGTCCGGTGTATTCTGTCTACACTCCCATTATTTATTTTTTTTAACTCGTTGCATGTTTTGTCTTTGGCAACTTTCTCATTCTTGTGTACATGTGTAATATTTTGAAATTGTACAATGACTTTGTCCATGTTTAATTTATATTATTTTTTTTTTTTTTTTTTTTAATGAAGCTTAACTTTTTATTGTTAACTTTTTTTACTCATTGTGAATTCAATGCAATTTTGCCTCTGGCAACCAATTTGAATTTTTAATAAACCATGAATAATAATAATAATAATAATGCTGCCACCATTTCAGTCGTGTTCCCCTGTATCCATAACAGTACTGAATGATATTGTTTTTTGTGCAAAAAGGAACCTGACTATTTTTCCTTCCAGTCTCACTTTGGTTACGTTGATTTAAATGGGGATAATCACGATGGCCGCAACAAAATGGTCTATTCTGGATCAATTGAATATAATTGTGTGCACTCTGGGACTAGCTTTAGGCCTGCTTTGTCCAAAAGTTTGAAAATCAGAGGATCCAAAGTTTCCCTTTATGAAGTAATCATAATTATTATTAGTACTCGATCGTGTTTACCTTGTAAGAAAAGTAGCAAACGACAAACATGAAAAAAAAATATCATGTCGGGTAAAATCACAGGGGTTACAATGAATTGTCATTTTGAGAGAAAAAAACGACACATTTATAGCCTTTAACTTCTCAAGATGATACCATCAATTCGTATAAGTGAATAAATAGTCCTCTTTCTTTGTGGAAGTTGCACCCAACAAGCTAGGCTAGAAATATGCTCCAAGATACAGGCAAAAGTAAACAAAGAAACATGACAACAGACTCAGCATCACAAAGTCTAACCGAAGTAAGCAACCACCTAAAAGAATACGGACAGTCGTACATATTAAATAGTAAACATCTATGACATCAAACGGGAACAACTGGCAGTGGCGCACCCAGGATTTGGCTTGGAGGGGGGGGGGGGGCTCACATTTGTTTGTTTGTGTGTTTTTTTCCATTTTTTTCATAAGTTAAAATGTTTTTTAAAAAATGTTGCCCAAAATTTTGGCCGCAGAAAAAAAATTGGGGTTTTTTTTGGGGGGGGGGGTTTGGGGGGGGGGACTATTTTGACGTTGGTGGCGCCACTTACACCCCGATTTTACTACTCGAAAGAAAGGCCACATATATATCACCAAGGTCAAATCGTGGGACAAAAGCCCGCCCGAGCCCCCCCCCCCCCCCCCCCCGCACCACTGCAACTGGAATTTTATTCAAGTAGAATCGCATCTTTGATACCTTGACATTTTTTCTGAAAGAGCTGAGCAGGCAGTAGATGGGGTAGCAGATGGGTCATGATCACCCTCGGAGAAAGCCAAGATTCGATCAGCTTGTACACTGGGGGAGCTGTTTGTAACTCCTCCTCTGACGCGCCACTGCACATGCTCAGTTCCAACGGCATACCAGTATCGGTTTGTTCTTCCGGGCATCCCAGGATGCAACTGGTGATAATTCGTAACCAGTGTGTACCTACCAGAATATTAACATGAATTTAAAAAAATGCTCAGTTGATAGGGCCATGATACAATATTCCTGAGATGCAGGCTCAAATCTGTCTTGCATTATCTAATTTGTATGCTTATCTGAAAATTGATTTTAATAATTCGAAATATCACGACTGTCTTAAGTAGGCGTACCTGATTTAGGGTAAGAAATAACGAACACATCGTTCTCCCGGACTTCTATGTCGAGGACACCCTGAAGATTGCTGTCCAGCACCCGCCAGGGTAACGGCATCCCACGGAGAACTTGCAAAGGCATCTTGGAACTTGAATCGTGTGGAGAAACAATTTATATTTGATGAGAGCCTCCAAGTATACCTGTGGTCTGTGCCCCCCCCCCCCCCCGCTTCCCCCGCCCCCTCCCACTTCGTAAAAACGTTGGTATGCAAAAATGAGATTTGCATTGTCAAAACCTACTGAATACCCCATTCAGAGAATAAGCCCCCCCCCCGTGTGCCCCCTCTCCCATGCGAACTGGAACCACCCCCAACCACCCCCCCCCTCCAAGTTACACTACGGTTCACTTTTCGAAGAGCGAGTATACTCACACACGAACAAAAGTGCAGGCCCGTCTGATTTTGTAATGGCAACAAATGTCATGAAATATTTTATGAGTAACAGCGATGGCCCTTCTCAAGCTAGAATCTTGAAAATAACTAATAAAATGCGTCAGCTATTTTTGGCGTCATTGGGTTGCAGACATGTAAAATTCAAACGAATTCAAATAATGTAAAAATTTTGTGAAGAAAAATCTCTCCGTTCTCACCTGAGCTGATTCTTTTTTTTCTTCTCGTTCTTAACGCCCGTTGAACTGAAATCCGAAGAGTTGAATAAAGTATACGTGAAAGTTTGACGTTAGAAACAGGAACGACTACGTCATAGAGATCTACAATCAGTAAAATTTAATAAATAACGTTTGCCTGTGTGAAATCACAATCTATTGGAATCTTTTTAACTTAACTGCAAATTATACCCACTGATTTTCACCTTAAAATTCACGTTCCACTAAAAGACATGATCTTTGATCCTTGTTTATTTACACACATATAGGTACTATATCTCTTCTTTATTGAAATAAACCTAACGATACGTAAGGTCACGCGCTTATGGTCACCACTGACTGGTCACGAGCATTATATTTTGGTGTAGTTTGCCTTTGGACTCCCTGTGTAACCACGCCCACATTTCAATACCGGACATTATTAGTTTTTTAATGTTCGAGTAAAGTTGAATCCCCACCATTTGTGTACTTCATTTAATCCTCGTTCTCAATCACACACCTTAGGGTTGCAGACCAGTAAATCGGTCCGAAATTGCCTGCGCCGGCCAAATCACGATTTGCATGCCCTCAAAATCTTCAGTATTTAAGATATGCTGTGGGCCATGAACTTGAGGGTTTGTAAAAAATATGGGTGGAAGCCGTGCACAGGACTGTGAACTTGTAGTTCCGTTCAATTTGGATGAAATTGGCGCCCTTAAAGCACTCTATTTTGCAATGGAGTGAAATCATAAAATATTAATTCATTGGATCAGTGGTTTCATGAAAGTCTGCTTATTTCTGATCAATCCAAATTATACCGAACTTTCAAATTAATGAGACAAATCAATAAAACTTCACAACACTTAGGAAAATTAAAAGAGAACAAAATGTGAACTCACCTATAACAGAGAGCCAACATTCGTATCGATAAAACAAAGCAAAATTCTCCAATTGCGAAATTTAAATATACATCTCGGCTTCCAACAAGATCATGAGAGGAGATGGAGAGGCACAGTCTAACCTGCTCGGCACTGGCTTGTTAAATGGTGATGTGGCAAGGAGAGAAATGGCCAATATGCATGTACATGCAGTCACTCTGACCATCCGAATTTGTTGGTCCAGCGTGGCACTCCCCAGAGAAAACCAGGCCAGCAAGCTCATGGCAAGGTCACAAATGGTGTTCGAGGGGATTTTCTGCTGAGGCAGTCAATTGCCCCTCAGAACACATCCAACAACAGGAAAATAAACTATCGGTATAAATTGAGTATATACTAACAATAAAAAATGGAGAATGTTTGTACGAATAATTATAAAAGAAAAGAAAAGGAAATTAAAAGAAAGGAGCAGGAAAATTTAAACTAGGCTATTAAATGGAACACAATGAAAACTGAAATAGTAAATGTACATATAGTCAAATATATGTTCAGTAACCTCAGACCTAATTGAGGTCGGGGTTACATGTACAAAATACATTTTGTGTTTAACTTGAAAGCTTCATTATGATACAAAAACAATATACAATCCTTGTCAATTTGTTTGTATTCACTCATTCCGTTAATTTGCCGAAAAATCCATCGGTGATCCATCCAAACCAAAATAAAAAGAAATTGAGTGACTCTGCTTCTTATATAATTTACAGCGGTGAACCGTGGTTACACTATTGTTTGGGTGGATTTTTCGTCCAAATGAGGGATTAAAAACAAATTGAAGAAGATGATACGTTGTTTGTGTATCCTAATACGACTTTCACGTCGAACACAATCTGTATTTTGTAAAAATATCGGCCAAAATGACACGGTGCACCGTCATGGTTAATCGTGTGCATTGACCACCAGCGCGCATGTGTGTGTGTTATTATTTGAGCGCGTACTACGCGCAATATCCAAATCCAATATCAAGGCTAAGGCCAAAAAAAAAAGTCTCCGGTTTCTGGTATGCGCGCGCGTCGCCGTAGCCATGCGCGTCGGCAAAATGAAAAGTTTTTTTTTTAATGAAAGATGATGTCCCAAAACCGCCAAACTCACTGATTTGACTGGAATACTGCTGCTGCACAATTTTAACGTGTTTTTAGATTGGGTTATGGTCGAGAATAAGCTTTGTGTGGCCTCTCTGGACTCAGTCTGGACTCAATCATCAGCACACATTTGAAGCAAAAAAGTCAGGTAAAAAAAAAAAAAAAAAGCCGCGTCGCCGCATCACTTTTTGGGCAAGCTCCATACCAAAAACCGGAGACTTTTTTTTTTGGCCTATTGTACATTCAGACAATCCCAGCCAAAATGGTTGGGACACTTGGAAATAACCTTCGCCTCCAACGGTCACCAACTCCCCCGGTCAATGTTGTTCTCTTCAGGGGATGGAGCCCACACCGCGCAATGAGAGACAACATTGAGCGGGGGCTGGGGGGTTGGGGCCCAGCGAGATTTGGCCAGGATTGTAGTTACAAAGCGCAAAAATAAACTCGACTCAAGTGATTCAGAATGGCTACTCAATGGAAGTCTGTTCATGCATCTGGTCTACACAATGGGCCGGATTTAGCCTAATCATTGTTACGGGTAATCCTATACAATAGCACTGCCCGGCTCTCTTCACTAGTCAACACCCAGTCTAAGTCACAAGTACCAGTCAGTCAGTCAATGAGGTGGATACAGAGGCTGACCCTCTGCGAGCAGCAAACAATCATTCATTCTGTGAGATTCAGCACTAGTCACTCTTGTTAGCATTATTTGCCTCGTTTTGATTTCCAAGATGGTGTCACATGCAAAAAGGTCTGTTTACCTCTTGACACCGACAAAACTGACAGAGAACAAGCAATTAATAGGGCGCCCTTTGCATGCATACAATGTTATTTTAGTAATTCCATATCCAAGACATATTGAACAATCATGAATAAATGAAAGTACCTGTTAATCAGGGGTTACTGTATCGAACTTACCATATCATTTTAAAAAATCACATAACACCACCACTATCGTGTTGTCAGACAACAATTATATTAAGGACAAATTAATCCACTGGACGAAAATTCTTCAAATCTTAGAAACAACTCTCAACGTGCAAGGTTATGAATGAAGTCCACTTGTCTAGCCAACTTTTTTTTTTAAAAGAGAGAAACAAATGTATGGTTCGAAAACCCAATTCACATGTTGGCCTTGGTATGTATGGAACCCAGACTACACGGATGGGACGTGAGGCAATCTTACTCTTTCCAGTCATGGGAGGGCCGCTGCTCTGTTAACTTCCTCTGCCATTGAAAACAATTATCGGTCATGCATAATAAAATACAATATTTCTTTATCACATATATACATGTACATGAATTAAAAAAACCCAATAGCCAGTAGGCATATTAGGATACCTTTTTCCAAAAACACAACAAAACCCCTTTCTTCATCCTGAAACCAAAAGTCATTCAAAATTCTCCGAGAATTTCTACTTTGGGGTCCCCCATGGATGTCGCTTGGGGTGTGGGGGCTTACACCCCCATTAATCATTTTTGTCACCAAAATCATCATCATCCTGTCGGCATAATTATGTATGTTGGCAAATATGCTGCAACGAATAGATAGGCCCCCCAATCCCACATTTTAAATTTGCAGCAGCTAAGTGAATGGAAAAAAAACCTCCTGGCTACCTTCCAGCAGGGATGGTCTGTCAGCAATTTTGTTGTCAACCCCCCCCCCCCCCCCCCCGAACCTCCCTCACGTGACCACACCTTCTTAGTTCAACACCCCCATTCCGATCCTAAAGCCATCTTCAGTGTTCAAACTGGACGTTCCTGATTAACATAAATCAAATCTTTGTAATTTATACAGCAGTTGTGTTAAAAATCCATATACTTTAATATGCCCTCTACACAAGATATATATCAATACATTTTACATAACAGATCATTGAACAAAGCAAATGGTTTCACAGTTTAACAAAAAACACACACAAAGTGCTAACAATTAATTAAATTAGTTAACTAACTTAATGTATTCATGCTTACAGAATCCGGGTTTTTTTCTGAGCCGCATGTAACTAACGATCATTAGATGAACAGGTTTCAATGCAGATTATTTCAGAAAGGTCGAGTTGGTTGCAATGAATCCCCTTCCAACATGGAAATCCACAAAAAGGCCAACTTTCTGAAGTCATATTCCTTTGACGTTAAGCAACAAGGCTCATATTGAATAACTTGTCTTTCCAACAATAATCCAAATCCATTTGCATAAGATAAATAGACATATGGTAAAACTTTTGAAGGCAAGGTTTTTGAATGAACTCCACCAATATGTACAAAAGTGACTTGAGGAAAGAATAATTTGCAACCACACTCAAGTCCTTATTTTAAATAGAATTTACAACTTCTTTATGAAGGCTTCATAAGAATACAATCCATTGTACATTTCTACCCAACTACTCATGGTATTACCAGTCTCCTTTACAATTGCTTCCAATTCAAGCATTTAATCTCAATATGTACATATTGTTCATGCATCTATTCTGACTACTTTTATAGTAGTACTTTTAGTAATGCAATTTTAATTTAAAACAAATCATATTTCTTCTGAGCTGTGTCAATGGAATAGTAGATAGGAGAGAATGGAACTTATTTCAACACAATGACTCTTTTATCAACTTTTCTTTCCCAATAACAGAACAATACCCCTTCACCTCTCATTCGCACTAGTTACAAACATCTGTTTCTTCCTGTAATGCTAAGTCCAACAACTAGTACTTAAAGTAATATAACCATCACGTTAGACATTTAGGTGAAACTGTCAAGTACACCCGAGCTATAAAAATGTATAAACAGTGTCACCTGTGACGTCATGCCTGTCTGTTGCCAACAGGGAACACCGATACCAAAACATCTTCCTTGTGTGATTTTCAATATTGTACGGTAAACATCAATACTTTTAACCCACCCATAGTTCCGGTGACAGAAATGCATTTCAGGACAGACCAGCTTCAGGGCCCATGCATTCTAATTTTTTTTAACGCAAGGGCACTCAGAATTGTCTTTTTCTGACTCTCACTGAACTGAATTCTAGTTCCAAGTATAGTCACAAGGTATATCAATGTTATTAAACGCTACATAGATATTATGTATGTCACGTTCTCGGTTATAACTTCAGACATTTATCTCTGCACATTCTCATTAACAAAATGCACCATGTACATTCTATGTGTTCTTTAGGTAGGACATAAGAAAAAACAAATTTTCACTGAAGATTGCGGTACGTTTAATACCAATACATGGGATACTACAACATCAAGAGGACTGCAGGTTGCATTGTACATTTCTGAAGCTACAGTGAGCCTCATGTATCACTATACATCATCACTATTTTTTCTATCAATGCCTATTTCTTTCAGCCAATAAAGAATTGGCTGCCCATAGATTATGGAAACTAAACCTTATGTAAGAAATGTAAGAAAATACACAACGTAAGTTATGTAAGAAAATACACAACAGAAATGAAAAGCTCACATACATATACAATATTAAGCAAAGACAGGTAGCATTTTTCTTTGGCTATTTTAAGTGTTGCTTCAGCTGTTATTATTGCACTGAATAAAGTTGTCCGAGTATTGCTGATTGACTTTGGTCAGGGCCCAAGGACATACATACTGTACGAAAGCTTTGGTCAATCTAAAAAAAAAAGAAGGAAAGTCCAGAATGTATAAATGCGTATTCTGAAATTTTGTAAGTGACCATTTTGGAATCATGCATTTTCACTTAATAAGGCCTCTATCAACGGATAAACGTACTGGGTTCTTAAGAAGAGCGACAAATTGAATTCAAGTATCTGAACACTAAACATTAGCATCTGACTGATAAGACTTATGCAATTGCATGCCGCCATTCAATCGGTAAAATTGCACTTATCGCACTAATTGTGTATTTAATAAATTGTTTTGTTCAAAATCAGACCTATAATACAGCGGTCCAGCCCAACGTTGGCTCATTCTGGCTTTGAGTTTCCTGCTACATATAGGGCACTGCATGATATAGAAGCACTCGATAAACATTCATGCGTAAAACTTGCAACAAAGGATAAAGAGTGCAGGTTTTGTGCATTAAATGGAAGCAAATACAAGCATAACCTGAGTATATTATATTAGGAACTAGCATGAGGGACCAAGAAGTCTCGCTCCATGAGTTTCTGAATGAACTCCATAGGTGGTAGGTCCTCCACATCTACCAAGTCTTCTATCTTCCATGCTCGTCCCGATGACACGGTCTTGGCTTCCTTGTCTAATGTGATGAGGTCTGGTGTCTGGTTGGCTAGGCTGGTGTCAACGTCTGGGCAGACGGTGTTGAAGAACGGAAGCAGTTCCTCAATGGATCGGATCTGATACATTGTCAGAAGCGGTCGACCTGGTGTCGGCTTGAGGGCAGGCATCTCATCGTTGTTCTCCTGCAGTAACATCAGAGACAACACAATCATCATTGCACAACTTTATTCAAGAAAACTCCAGGGAAACTTGAATGCTGGTTTGTGTGCTATCAGGGCCATAGGCATTTCTGAGAAATCCTCAAGCACGCAACCAATAAAAAAAGAAGGAAATTCCAACTTTTACAAGACTTCAAGACTGTGTTTTTCGATTTCTAGTGGAATTAGTCTAATGGAATACTTTGTAATGGAAGTGAAGGACAAGGAAATGAGCTGATCGGAGCAGTATTTGCATGCCTGAATCCTGCATTTGATTACCATACAAGAACAAACCACAAGGGGTTTAGGGTCATATTAATGTTGGCTCCATGTATCAAAAAGTTACATAACAATTCCTACACTTGACCCGATAAGCAGTTATTCATGACACACAAGAGCTGGTGAGATCAGTTCCCGACTCTAAATGTGCTCTCATTGCGTCATCTGGAAGTTTTAAGGCCAGACCATTCCCAGCACACTGTCACTGTGATATCACATAGGCCCCCATCAATGGTGAAAGCAATGTGCCAGCTGTGTACCAAGCAACCGCAAAATGATGGCTTATTTGAATAGCTGGAAAAATACATCACGCCATGGGATGGGCCTCCATGAGTAAACGGTGATAGCGTGCTCAGAATGGTCTATAGCAAAGGGATCAGCCTACTTCGTTAGTCTAAACAGCGCCCTCATTAGTGCATGCACCGATCCTATGCCACACATACCTGTTTATATCTGGTTCTGAGGAGTTGTGCTGCTCTTGATACATGAGGTACAAACTGCATGGGAGAATCCTTCCTCTTGCCTCCTCCAACAAACGCCCATTTGTAGCTGCAACCAAAACAACAAATTGATATCAATTCATATCATTTCTGATACAAAATCACATCAGCTATGGGCTTCGTGTGCGAACAAGAGAGGGCGCTTTTCGACCATTTTCGGGAGCCCCGTGGACAGGGCACATCGCATGTGCATACTGGTTCACAAGCATAAAGGGCACAGAATGCACGACCAATTTTATTCCGAATGTGCACAAACCCATAGCGTCTTTGCGTGAGCGTCAGGTGTCGTTTGAATGTCTCTCCCAGTGGTCTCGCCCAACTCTTTATTTCTTACTGTTGAGGGGGCCATAACATATCCCTGTGAAACTGCTGAAATGCGTCATAGTTATGGTTCAACCTTCAACTTCACACATGGGTTTTTTCCCCCGATAATTTGATTTTTCACAACATTTTCCAAATGAAATATGTCAAGGGCTTACAATAGCTCCATTCATCTTTTTCGCTGCTTCAGGCATGCAGCTTGATGCACAATATACGTACTTTAAAGATATGCAGGGACCAGGACTGCATACAGATTTTCTTTATCATCTTATTGCATTGGAGTTCTCAAGATCAGGGAGTGAATCAAATTGTGGAAATATTACACTTTCAGTCACGAAACATAGGACCTGCTTAGCAACTTACATACCAATAATTTTGAAAAATTTCTCCACAACTTCAATTCCCATGGTTTTCAAATATTTATTTCATTGACTTGGAGGCAGTGCATGTAGATGGAGACCATATACACAGTGACCATGAAACATCACTTGGGAGCCAAGGTGCTATAGTATGTACTGCAATTTTAAAGCCCCCGCCCTCTCTATCCCCCCCCCCCCCCCCATCTCCCAACCAACACCCCCACCCCCTCCCCAAACACACACCCACACATAGTCAAACCTTACACTTGGAATTGTGGTAGATCCTCTGAGGGTAGGCAGATAGCCAGATCCAGCAGCTTGCAAGCGGCTAGGTACAGCCCCAACCACGGCTTGGCTACATTACTCAGTGTCTGTGGTGTGTTACCATTACCACCCAGGAAGAAACTAGCAAAGTCTGTACTGGCTACTCGCTTGATGACCGACTTCTTAGTGTTGTCTGGCGCACTGCTGGATAGCTGCTCCTCCATGTGCAGGAAGACTTGTACCTAAAGAACACAAGGATAAATGATGATGATAATCTCAATTCTCCATCTTGTCTATTAACACTAGCAGTGCCAGTAGTATTTTGGTGTAAATGACTGTTTCCTTTCAATATCCCAGATGCCAAGTTCACAGAAATATGTGAAAATAATGATGAGGTTTTGGGTATTGCTCGAGGCTCATGTATGTCACACAGAGCCACCTGTCCCTTCATGAAATCCATAGATATAAACCCTCCTGCTGTCTGAACAGTCACAGACAGTCAAAAAAATCAATCCTCTTCCCCTGCCATGCCTTTATACACAGGTAAGTCACCAACAGTCAGATCATATTTCAAGCAATCACTGTGACTAGTCAAATTCAGTCAACAGACAAAAGCAGGCAAGTGGTAGGCACAGCTGGCTTATCAATCACCTACAGTCAATGCATAGCCGTATCAAGTTACATTTACAGTCACAGCCAGTCAATCCTGCTTTATGTAGGCAGGGAGCAATAACTGTTAAAAAACAGTCACTAGGTTGATTTTGACAGCTGGGATGGGATGGCTTTGTTGAATTTGCCACCCAAAGATAACAAAAAAGAGAGTAAAGTTTGTCACGAACCAATGTGGCCCATCACACCAACGTTTATTTCCAGTTTCAGTAGCATGAAACGACTGAGAATATTTCTACTCCCCCTGGATGGGATGCTAAATCCATCGCATGTTACTCCCCATTTATACTCCTGGGTGGAGAGAGGCAAGTGGGGGTGAAGTGGGTTGCCCAAGGACACAACAGATGACCAGCAGCTCGATTCGAACCCCTGACCCTCTGATCATGAGTCATGAACTGTAACCACTAGGCCACACGCCGAAGAGAAAGGGTTTTAATGAACTTAACAGCATCAAATATTGAAGAAGTCGAGATAATAGGGAGGTTTCGCAAGCGAACAGATACGCTTACACTTGGGTTTAGCTATCTGTATCCGTTTTTTACTTACGTGTAGCGAGCGAGATATGCGTGTCGTCTGCACGTTTAGCGGATAGTGAGTGGCGTATGACGTCATACGTGCAGACGACATGCATACATGTATCTCGCTCGCTACACGTAATTAAAAAACGGATACGGAAAGCTAAACGTAAGTGTAAGCGTATCCGTTCGCTTGCGAAACCTCCCTATTGACTAATGCCAACTTACCAGCTCAGATATGACTGTTGGCCAGAGCCCAGTCAGATGATGAGGTGAGATGCGTAGTAAGAGTACCCTGAAGCACACAAAGACTTGCTCATGTACCGCTGGTCCCTGGCTCTGTCGCAGACTCTCTGCCAAGCGCTCCTGGATGTCAGGTAAGAAGCGGACGTACTGGTCTGTCTCACTGCAGAAGATGGTGAAGCTTAAACGCTTCAGGAGCTGCGAGCGCTGATCTATCTCTGCTTCCTTGCTGGTGAAGAGGTTGAGAGAGGTGTTCTGGAAGGCAGCTACTCGAGCTGCAGATCAAAAAGGGAAGATAGGTTTAAATACAGCGATGGAAAAGTGAGGTTTGGTCGATTGTCCAGACAGACATCAAATTTGACGACTGAATACTATTAGCATCAAGAAATGAACAAGAGCAAACGGTGACAAAGTTCATCCAGGAAAGTTTCTAGACAATGTTTATATGATACAAAACATATTTCTTTCAACAACAAAAAACACCCAATAAGATACAGAGACTTTTGTACATAACATGCCTGAATATGAAGCAGTAAAATGCGCAATAAAAAATAACCGACAAGAAACTCACATAGTTGAGAAAATTAATCATCTGACACGAGACATAACAATGATTGAACACTGCCTTTTCCTTTAATAGTGCATACTAGGACAACCATAAGCCTGTAGGCTGGTACTTTCAAGGACCATTTTGAACCAACAAAGTCACACAGGTAAACTCCTCTTATTTTTTAGGAAATGTCCTAGGTTATTGGATGACGACATTTGATGCTCCTACTCCAGCTGTGACTAGATACAGTCATTGATTGCTTTTAACAACTCACCCATGAGATCTCTGTATGTCGTCTTATCGTGTGTCATCAGGTTATCAATAACTGGCAGCCAACTACAAAGAAAAAAATAGCAAAGATTCAAAGCAATATCCCCCAAGAATTAAACACTCATCATTTCCTTATAAACTGTAGTAAGTCTAGCCATGGTCTAGCACTGATATCTTATCCCCAAATTGATGAACAATATCCATGGCTGTGTCAAAAACGGGCCTCCAGAACTGGGGATGAAGACCAATGCAAAAGCCCTAGATCTGAAATTCCGATGCGGCCTACATTATATGGACTTGATGCACAAGACGCCTGAACGCCATTGCCACCATACATCTAGTGCCAAAGAAAAACCATTTAAATGAAAATGAGTCTTTCGTATGGCGCATCATATATGAAGTTATGCATGATGTCCCCCATCTACTGGCTTTCATGAGTAGGCTAAACAGCACCATCTACTCTTCATGCACTAAGTCCGCACTGCCCTTTACTCAAGCTCATTACTAGCCTACATAGCGCCCTCATTAGTTCACTAATGGACTCAATACATCATTCGCTCGTACCCCCCGCCCTGCAAACAGGACGCTGCTCAGGGCTGACGTCATTTGAGCTCTCAATGGATAGATTTGCGTGACCTGTGACGTAGAACGCGTCACACAAACTAGCTTCCGGTGCCCATCATACGTAGCGCGGGCTAGCTGCATGCGAAGGGCAATCTGTACTTCCTTCACAAGATTCTGTGAAGCTCATCGGCCCTTACCAGCGCCCTGTTTGCAGGGCGGGGGGTACGAGCGAAAATACATCATGCTACTTACTTGTGAATAGACACAATGTCTAGCTGGAAGAAGGAAGGGTCCAGCAGCAGATCGAAGGCATCTTTCTTCCAGGATTTACGGGTGTATTGATAGCCACTCAGACTGGATAGTAAGGCAGTACAGGCACGGAAACTTGGTGTGTTTGGAGAACTGTGCAAGATTAATGAGGAGAAAACTTGTCAATGACTGCAGCGTGACATGTCTGATGCTACACAAACTCTCATTCATAAATACTCAAGACAGTTGACCTATTTTTATTGGTTGGGAGTCCGTTTAAACCCTGCTGAGTGTTACACGACAGTGTTTAACACCCGTCAGGAGACCCTGCACCCTGCACCTCTTGCTCTCTGCACGATGAGTGCTTGGGTACTACTGATATGATCTCCATATAAGGAGATAGGTGGACCACACCACGTGGCCGCACGCACCATAGAAATGGCCCAAGCATGAAGCAAGATGGTAGAACAGGTTTTGACCTTATTTTTTGTTTGTTCACTAGCCAGCCGGGCTACTGAAGCAGACTCTTAACTAGCCCGCTGGCATTTTCACTAGCCTGCATGTTTTCTTTCGTAGAGTGTCTCATAAACAACAATGTGCATACATGTAAAACATGTATCCTGAGGCAATCTTGTCAGTGTTTAGAATAAACAGATCTAATAATATAACCCTAAATTAGACACAAATTGATACAGGTTTGCTTTCTTAATTTAATGATTGATTTCTTCCTGTCCTTTCATCCTTGCCGTAGCCCAAAAACTGTTGACTCGCCAGCCGGGCTACTGAAGGAATAGTTTGACTAGCCCGCCGCTGTTTTGACTAGCATTTGGCTAGCGGGCTACTGCTAAAGTCGAACCCTGTAGAACAATACAATTTGGATATTGTATTTATGAATGGGGATGATTGTGTGATGGAGCAGTTATAATGTTGAAAACCGGTGAGTTGTGATATTTAAAACTGGTTAGGGGCCTGGTCACCGACAATAGCCCTCGCCTTTGGCTTGGGCCATTATCGGCGACAAGACCCTAAACAGTTTGAAACCACATCTTTATAACTCCTCCATCACAGTATTATCTCTTCAGTTAAGACAAAAAGTAAATGGAAATTTAAATAATAATATTGATAAGACACGGTACATTACCTGTGATTCTTGAGGTAAGGGGTGACATTGTGCATAATAGACGTCAGTAGAGGAACCACTTTCTCCTTCTCATCACTACCATAGACCATGTCCAATAAGGTTGCCAATAACTAAAACAACAGAACACAGAATCACTACCATAGACCATGTCCAATAAGGTTGCCAATAACTAAAACAACAGAGAATACACAAATAAGAAGTAAGGGATTTCTATTCTGGAGAAAAATGAACCATTTCAAATACCACTATAGAAAAGTCCCTTTTTAGTGATTAGAAAAATTGACTGAATAGAGTTTGAACTTCAACTTTGAAGCTAATCCATGGCTTTGGTATTGAAATAGAAATCCACTACGATTCAAATATTCATTTTGACATTTCTGAATTTGTGCAGATCCCAAATTAGGAAGTTTTGTGCTATCAAGACAAAAACTTTAACTAAGAAAGTTTCTGGAAAAAAACCTTCACTTGGGTAGTTACCAAGATACGTGAATCGTTACTTGGGCAATTTAATTTGCCGAATCCAAACTGGGCCTTGGGCAATCTCACCTCAGCTAGTAGGTTGAGTGCTTGTACACTATACTGGGAGTAGTTCTTAGTTGGTGTACCAGATGGTGTGCTGGGGTCCGTGGGAGTCACTGAAGTCATCTCAGAGGCTGAGTCACCGCCTGCTGTCTCTACAGCTACGTGGATAAATAACAAGGCATTTATTAAATTGATATTCAGGACAGCATATATTTAAAGATTTGGGCTAAACATCTATGTTGTAGTTCAGTCCATCTCAAGGCCATCACAAACCTGGACATAAGTATATCAATAAGAATATCACACAAGCCAATTCGCCAGTCCAGCCACAAGGCACAAGGGAATAACAGTAAGGGTCCATCTCAAGTAATATCCGGGACGAGTTCCGGACGAGTTCCGGACAAGTTGCAGACATATTTGGTTTAAGTTACAGGATTCTGAACAACTTCCCCGCAATCTTCCCACAATGAAGTTATCAGCATGGGTGAGTCAAGCAGTTGCTAATGAAAAGTTCCCCGGAACATGTCTGGGACAAATGCAGAGCTTCTTCCAGACAAAGTGAATGATTCTACCCGCAACTTGTCTGGAACTCGTGCCGGATATGAATTGAGACAGGAGTGCATTTGAATAGCTTGGAACTTGACTTGGGACTGGATGACTTGTGATAGACTTTTAAGATTGTGAGGAATTATGATGGACTCTTGAGGACTTGTGAGGACTTGTGATAGACTCTTGAGGACTTGTGAGGACTTGTGATAGGGGCAATTCCACGGTTACTCACATTACATTTTCGTAACATGAGTAACCGATTTTGTGCGTTTTGTTTATCATACATAACACATTTTTCTGGATGTCATCTTTGGTGCTTAGGTAGGTCTAGGTCTACTCTATCTACCATGGGGATAACAGTTACTAAACCTTTTCAGTAAGGTAATTACAGCCCAAGGAAACTCAAAAGTACATCAAAAATGTAACGTGAGTGACCGTGGAATTGCCCATAGACTCTTGAGGACTTGTGATAGACACTTGAGGACTTGTGATAGACACTTGAGGACTTGTGATAGACACTTGAGGACTTGTGAGGACTTGTGATAGACTCGACTACTTTCAAGCTGCTAGAAATAACCAACTATGACCATCTCATCATAGTTTTATCCTTAGAAAAAAACACCATTTCAATAACAACAGCTTGCCGAAGACTGATTGAAGAAAAACATAATTTCATCTTGACTGAGTCAATTCACAACAACCAGTCACCTACCATCAGTCTGGCTGATGTTCTGCTCCTGTGGGCTGATCTTGACAGAGACATTTCTTCGTAGCCAGGTTGATTGTTCCAAGGATGAGCCAGCGATGGTATTACATGCCTCAACCAGACGCTGGGTAACCTCCTGAAGTTCCTTCTGGTCCTTCCGATCTTCAAAGGCTGGAATCTTGTGCACAATCTCATTCAAAATACTGTCAAAAACCAAAGCACATCAAATGTTCAAACAGTGATCCCATTGTGGACTAAGAAATCAGCAAAATATCAATTAGAACTGACTTATTTGACAATTAACCTATCGCGGTAGAATCGCGTCAACGCAGCTTGTGAAATTTGTCCAATTACATGATATACAAATGGATGTGGAATGTGCAAAGCCCGAGTCAACAAAACATAATGTACAAAATTTAATAGGGTTGTCTAAGGGGCGTGGCTAACTCGGAAACGGCGATAGGTCAATTAGACTGGAGACCGTACTTCATATCACACATGTGTATGAGGTCAGGCAACATGCCCAGTGATTCTGAAATCTTGAAATTTTGAAATGTTGCCACCCCTGTAAGAATGGAACATGGTGCTCCATTCACAGGCATGGAATATGTAAATTAAGTTGACCTTTACATCACAGGTCAATCGGTCAACAATTCACTTGCCGATCTCCGACTCAAAATGGACTGAGAGATTTTAAAGCTGTGTTCAGAATCTTTGACAAGAGGCAAATCCAGACAAATGCTCCATTTTCTTGTACCTCTTACTACCCAGAATCTGTCAAACATAACATCTGGTTTTATATGATGAAGAAAGTCACATTACTTTGTACGGGGCTTGAAGTCGCGATTGTGTTTGTGTGAAAAGAATAGATCATAGAGCAAATACATAAAGTGAGTGAAAACAAGTCTCTATTAGAAAGCAAAGAGCTAACAGCCTAGCCAATACAAGCTAACACCCTAGCCACTACAAGCCAAGCCCCTCTTACCGTAGCAGCAGGAACTGTCCCGGTGGTGCCAGACCAAGCTGTAATCCTTCCTTCAACAATGACAGCAATGACTGCCAGGAATCTCTGACTGACATGACAGACATACGGCCGATGTAGCAATATACAAACTGAAGCATGCTAGTCTCTAAACCAGGCTGGTCCTGCAATACACAAAAGAAAGCAACAGAGCTTTCACACATACATGTACGACAATTGTTTCGCCTCTTTAGTAGGCAAACAAATATAACTCTGAAGAAAAAAAATTCAGTTGCACCTGTATTGATGGCTAAATTAAATGATTCAAAGTGTGTAACTGCGTATCATCTCTCATTTTTTTTTAAACTGCATTGACTTTATCATGAGTTGATATCACTGAACTAAATAAAACAGATATCTTCGGCAAGATGTAGTTGACTTGCATTATGTCTGCACCATGCACCTCACTAACGTTTTGACTGTAGTGGAAGCCACGACATACCATTAAAGGTAGAGTATAGACCCCTGGTATTTTTTTAGGGGGAGATACCGCTATGTTGAGAGATCTGAATGTGCACAAATCCACAGTGTACAAGCATTACATTCACTGTGGGGACTTCCGTACGAAAGAGGTCCACATAAACCAGGTAGCAGCGACGTTGTGTGGACTTGCCCACGTCCACACAGTGTTTCCCCCTCTCTGGAAAACAGGTTTAGAGGCATTTTGGGGTTAGGTTTATCTGTGGCAAAATGAAGAGAATCACTAAAGGGAATAAGTGGTTGAAAGAGTTTTCACAGTGTGAGTTTTTTTCACTACACGAAAACAAAGTAATGTCCACTCTACGTAAGTAACGTAAACATGTATGCCTTTGCGTGAGTGTCGGGGGTCATCAGCTATGCGTTCCAATGTCCTTCCCAGTGGTCTCCCCCAACTCTCCCTTTGTAACCATTGAGGGGGTACTTGTGCACGGGGTCCATAGCTCATTATAACACCTCACCCACAGCTTCTGTGTCTTGATTGGCCGAGAGCGAGTCACATGATACTTTCTATTTTTGCTATCTTTCAGTGCACGACCAAAAGTACTATGCGCATAGCAACCAAAGTACTATACCATTAGCAACCAAAGTACTATTTCCACGGCGCGGTATTTGTGTGTAAATGCATGCTGGTGTGCGCGTTGCACGTAGCGCGTATTGTTCCAAAGAGACCGCGCTGCAGACTTGGGTTCATACATTTCGTGAAGGGGTAGTTTGGAAGAGAGAAATACATTTTCCACCAATTTTGTATTGAAATTGAAGTTATTTCAACTGTGTTCAGATTTAGATAATTTAAAATATCATAGCCAAGCAGAATCTGTGGGTGAGGTGTTATAAAACAAATATTGAATGCTTTATCTCGCGGTGAAGTAAAACTAGCCTCCCTCGGTGATCCATGGAACATTCTATTCTAATAGAATGTCCATGGATCACCTCGGGAGGCTAGTTTTACTACACCACTCGAAACATTCAATATACGTATACTACTGACCAAGGTTGTATTTTCCTTTTCAACATTCCAAGTGACAGGCGACATGTGGGAAGATTATCAATGTAGACATGAGGTACCTTTGGTTTGTCTACTTACCTTATCTCTGATTGTGAAGGGTGGTGCTTTTAAGACCTGTTTGATGGTCTGCATCAGTGTGTCCGTAGGCATAGCTCTGATGGCACTCACTAGCTCTACCAACACGACCTGATCCTCACATGCCTGTGGTACAACCTATAGAACACAGAACAAATCCAATACTTATTGCCAGAATGTCAAAAAGGAGTTGAATTCTTATTAGTTAATATACAATGAGTACGAGAGAAGAAACATATTTACATGTTACCATGGATCAAACCAGCATTTAGGGGTGCAGGCCAGTAAATCGGTCCGAAATTGCCTATGCCGGTCAAATCACGATTTGCATGCCCTCAAAATCTTCAGAGTTTGTGCATATTGTGGGCCATGAACTTGAGGACTTGTACATTGTACAAAAATAAGGGCGGAAGCCGTGCACAGGACTGTGAGCTTGTAGTTCCGTAAAATTTGGATGAAATTGGGGCCCTAAAAGGGCTCTATTTTGCAATGGAGTGTAGGCATCGTTTTTCAAAATGGCGATGGGCTGCAGGACTATTTTAAGGGGTGATCATCTTCGGATGGAAATTTCTCCTAAAAGTCATCAGTTTACCCTCAAAAAATGAAAAATAAATGAAAGATGATGTAATAAGCTTTAATTTGATGTGTGTCTCTAACAGCTTGGAGCATTGTCAGTATTTTTCCTGAATTTCTGAAGTGGGGGCATTCATCATTGGGGTCTTTAGAAATGTATTTACTGGTCTGCAACCTTAGGATTCCAATCCATGTGAAGATGTATTTATACTTACTGTACACTGTTTAGTTGCACTTTTCTTTTTCCAGTCGCTCCACACCACCCCAATAGCAGCCATCAAATTGACTGGATGATGCAACGCTATGGGACTCAGTAACTCCAATATCTGCTGTCTGGTGCCCTGTCCGCGATCAAAAAGAGTTTGCTATAAACATGTCAGTCTGGTATCTTGTTGAAAAACCACAAAGTGTTTGTCACAAAGCATCATATTGTAATTTTTTTTCAGTCTCAATAGTTAGACTTGTTTCAAGTCAGATATGATTTCTCCGTCCTTCAGACCTACTGGGGAACACAACAAAGTTTGATTTTGCTGAACAGTTTGTAGCACCTCACAGTTAAGCCCGGTTCATACTCTGCGCGAAAGCAAAAGCAAACGCGAATTTGTGACGTCATGGCAAGTATTCGCGCTGCGAATTCGCAAAAGTTGAACACATTTCAACTCGGGCGAATTTCGCAGCGAATGTTTCATGAAGTCAAATTCGCTTCGCATTCGCATTCGCATGAAGTATGAACCGGGCTTCAGACAGTGCCTTTGGCAAGGAGTAGCATCTGTGACTTGAATCAAGTCACACAATTGTATGTTCCATTTGTTAAATACTGCATTAAACTACCACATATGAGTAATTATGAACTTATGCCCATTAATTCATCAGCCAAATTGTTACAATGTTACATTAAGTGTAACTCTGAAAGAGCCATTTACTTTACTTTTTCATTTGACAATACTGTGTAAATACGTACAAACACAGGCTTGAATCTATGCCAACAATTGAAGTTATTTTAGAGCCATACTGTTGTAACACAGTACATGTAATAGTTGTAAAGTTAGTTTATCTTCAACAAACTGTGCATGTACCAGTGTGAAACAAACTCTGTACAATGTGAAAGGTGCATGTAGGTAATTGTATATTTATATTAGACTGAATTAAACACATACTTGATTAAGTTCAATATTTTGATAAGGCAACCTTCCAGCTGTTAATAATTTAATTAGAAAAACTGTGTTGAATTAGCTCCACAATTTCAAATTTGTTTATGAAACAGGAGATCTACAGATATACAAGCACAAACTACAGAGGGTGCTGTGAAGGTTAACAATGAAGGCAAAGGTACACTGGCTCCTGTTCCCTCTGAATTCTATTTTTCAAAAGGATATTTCAGCTAAAACAGAACATTATGGGCTCCGTGCGCGAACAAAAGAGGGTCTTTTTATACACTTTTAAGAGCCAAGTGGACAGGACACACTGTACTAAGTGGGCGTACTTGTTCGCGCATGTATGATGCAAGGTACATACAATTTATTTTTGTCTGAATGTGCACAAAGTCATAGCATTTTCGTTTGAACATCAGGTGTCGTCGGTAATGCGTTCAAATCGTCACAGAGCTGACATACCGACGAATAAAAGTGAAAACCCTGTTTCGAGTAATTCGCGTTTGAAGTTGGACATTTTTCTGGGCGTTGTATTTTACCCTTAATGTTTCGATAATAACCCTTTTAGTGTATATTCGAAATAAAATAGGTAACGTAGTATCCATCAGGTCACTTATTTAATCAGAAAAGTTGTGCGATCGTAAACGTATTTGTCAGTTTGTCAACTTACAAATTCTCCAATAACCGGTTGATTTTCACACTATTTGTATGCTTTTCGTCAGTTTGTCAGATCATGCCCGCACACGCGCGCAATCTGACAAACTGACGAATAACATTCGTTGGTACTTTGAACGCACACCTGTCATAAGCTGGTTACCAGCGAAATTCCGTATTCGTCACTATGTCAAATTATGGATTTGTTTTTGTGACTGCTTCCCCATAATTAATAAGGTTACCTGATAACGATTGAGATTCACTGCATACATTGTACCAGTAAGCACCCTTCACAGCGAAAGGGTACTTGTTCTCACCGCCACTATGTACATGAAGTTGTACTGATTACATAATGTCTAGCAAAGATACGACTTGCCTTCAATGGCATTCACAGTAGTGTAAATAATATGGCCACTCACTTTAAACCAAGGCACATGTTTTTTTACGTCAATTTTAGTAAAATGTCGGAGGACAACATGTTGCTGTGGTTCTATGCACATGTACATTGTTTGATTCATGTGCAATGGTATGAGGCTTCAAGCCCTGATAGCCTCATGGTGCTGGTGTTCTTGGGCAAGACACATTATTACATTGCCTCTCTCCACCCAGGAGTATAAACAGGTACATGTACCATGTGCTCATTTGTATTGACCAGCAGTAATAACTGTGAGGCATGTTCAGAGGTATAGAGTACTTTTTTAATTATTAAAATAAGGTGCTTCTGCCTGCATTTGAACCGCTGAGGTCAGAGGTCAAGGGAAAAAGTCCACAATAATGATTCAGAAACAGCTCAGTTGGGCTCAGGTACAATCCTTTGCAATATCGCATGAGATTATAAACGAAACAAGTGAATTAGCCTGTAAGAGTAGTCAAAGTGCGCATGCATACTAATGCAAACCTACTGCTCTTTTCAGTTACATTCCTGCTAGCAGAAAAAGTCCTTTCAATTATAAATCAAACTCTAAAAGATGCAATTATTCCTGAGCAAAATATAGACATGAATCTAGAACTAGGGGCTCTTATTTGTGATTGTGTTAGATTAAAACGAAAGTATCATTATTGTCCAAAACATACAAAAACAATCAAACAACTCATTTAAGAGTTAAGGCCAGTTTATACATGCACATCACTGGAAAGTGAATGTGATGTGTATGTGATGTCAGGAAATATTCACTGTGAAATTTTTTGGAATTGAAATTTGTTCCATTTTTCAAATTCGCAGTGCTAATACTTGCCATGACATCATAAATGTGTGTTTGCATTTGCACTGAGTGTGAACCGGCCTGTAGTACATATACGAAACTAAAATGCATTCTTATGTTAACTATGCGAAGGAGTCTTAAAAATACAATGGGCAACAACCAACTGTTGCTCTAAAGCAGCTTTTCGTTAATAAGAACAAAGCTATAATCAAATTAAAATTGTGAGTGTGTCCTTTAAGTAAAAGTTATGAATAATAACATGAACACAGAAAAAGTGACTGAAAGATGAGAAAAGAAATTATCTGTAAATATCTATAAAACACTACATGTACTTAATCACTCAAATAACAAAACTTTTCAAGGCATTATTATGCAATAAATCTTACTTTAAAGAATTTGCATGAAGGATACTTTTCGTATAAATCTCAAGCTTATTTTTCAATTTTTACTAAAGTCTGAAACAAACTTTCACGTTTTTTTATGATTCAAACCAATTTCTAAGCACAGCTTTTCCGGGAAGTTCTGTTTTGATATAATGCCGCTTTTCTGAAAAAACATTTACAACTGATTCAATCATAGAAAGTAGAAGAGAATACTAAAAACAACAAAAAATATATCAGAAAATATGACAGGGTATCTGCAGAAATGTTTTCCTCAGAGATTCAAGTAGAATTTGCACAAATTAAATAGAATGTGTTGCAGTTTTCTTTTGCAGCCATTGATCGTGGTCAAAAAAATATTAAAAGAAAGAACATACGATTAATTGTTCTCTTTCTACAACTTGTTGTTTTGAATCAAAAAGAGAAAAAGGACAGTTAAAAATAACAAATTTAACTAATCACATGCCATACTGTAGTGGTTATCAGCACTTTGGAGGGTTTAACATTTTAAGGAATAAACTAAGCTACATTTAGCAGCCACATGATCATGCTAGGATACAAAGTTACTATGTCAGCATATGATGGCATAGGGATGAATCAGCTGGATTCAATCAGTCTAACATGAATGCCACAGACAAACAGGAAGTAAGGTTCTCGTATTCTGGCATATAGTGAAACACCTTGGAAGCGCCTCATGGCTCATCCCACTGCTGCCACCACTTTCTAATACACAGACACCGTATGTATCCTAGCGTGTTCATGAGCCACTAATATTAGTGGTAGTAGTCAAGAAAACAGATGTCGTTCCTTACCTCGGTAGACAGCTGGGGGAGGGGGAAAACAATGCCACGGAGAGACAATACAGGAGAGAAACGATTATTGTTCTGCTCATTAGTGAATTTCTTGATGAACTACAGGTATAGGTAGGTGTACATGCCCAACTTATGGGAAGGTGGACTATTACAATGAAGAGGACTAAGCTTGAGTCTTATGCTGTGTTCCAATCACATTGTGATTACAATATTCACAACTTGTTTGATGTTGTTACACAAACTCAATGCAGGGTGACACATGTCAACAAGCGGTGAAGTGAACTTTGAAGTTTTTACTCAAGTTCACATTTCTTGAAAACAAGTTGACAATTTTACACGACTGAGAAATACATGGATGATGTGAATGGAACACAGCATTAGATCAGTACTACAGGGTCTTGAGAGCAGGAAAGTGGCCTGAATTTTGGCATCACATCAGAACCTGGGTTGATTTACAAACAGTAATTCAGGAAAAACATTGAGGAACATTTATCAAACGCTCCAAGGACCTTCTAGTACTGATATGATGGGAGACATGAACAGCTACTCTTATGGGACAATTTGGACCGTTTACTACAAAGTTGTAGTGAAGGCTACTAGGCTAGTATCCCAAATCCATCACAAGTCATCCAGTCCCAAGTCAAAAGCTCTTCAAATGAACTGTGACGTAGGCAACTCTAAGTTAGAGTTCATCCCTTGTTACTTGTGACTTGACTTGTGATTTAATTGTGACTGGACTTGTGATGGATTCGACTATTCCAATGGTTCACAACTACACAATGTACATACACAATGTATGCAAAGGTGATGTCTTTGTCGAGCAAATCCACATGTATCCTGATGACCAGCAATGGAGCCTTGGTACCAAAGCGAACAAAAATAACTACAAGTAGATGGACACAACTAATAGGTTTCTCTCAAATGACGTCACTTCCCACAGATTGCCATTTTGGCATTTTAGGAGTCCTATTTTCGTGATGCGCATCGGCTGCGCCGTATTCCGAAGAAATTTAGAGCAACATGCGTGCGTGTTTAGAACATTTTGCACATGGCGTTGAACACGCAGTTGTAATTTTCCAACGAAGATGGCGTCCTAAGATAGGGATCTATAGGGAACATTAGAAACGGTGCAGGTATTAAAAAAACAAGCTGGTTATATTACCATTTTGTTTGGTCATGTCACCAAACCAACTTTTATCCATCTTAATATTTTAATGCAAAATGTAACTTTCCTGAGCCGCATACATACATTGTATCCTGTATGCATACCATGTTTAATGGTCCCTATTATTCAAGTATTTTGTAATGTATACTTCAACTTTATGGCATTCTAAATCGATTGCTTGGCATTTGTTATGAAATTAATTAGATTTGATAAGAACATGTAAATGTTATCATCAGGCATGCAACTGGGAATTAAGAACAAAAGACAAAATTCCAAACCACACAAGACTTTGTAAAGTGTTTTTCAATTTGTAATGGCATTCCTAAGAAGTAAAAATTGAGGAAATCAGAGGATCCGAGAAAAAGTTGCATGCCTGTATCATCCTCAAGTAGACACTTGCAGACATGTAATAAGACAATTTCATAAAGGTAATTCTTCTAGAACCTTTTCAGCAAAGCTTAATCCCCAGCAAAGCTTAATGCAGAACATGGCCAACAGTATTGGCACTCCTGAAAAGTCTTGTTGAATGGTGCAACTACAACACAAAGCCACAACTCTTACTTAACAATTAACTACATGTAGATTCAAACAACAATCAACTGTACCCCAACAGGCATCGAGTTGCTCTTAGATGGAAAGCAGTAGTTGCAGTAAACTGTCTTTCTTAAAAGTCACAGACAACATGATCTCCTCGTGATGTCTACAAAACTACATTCAAGCAACTGCCAAGGGCCTTACACATGAAAGGCCCAATATGTACCACCTAACATTCCAGGCCTGAACTCAGACACTGTACATGCCAGAAGCTGGAGAACACCTCAAACAAATGTCCTTAAAAACTTCCATCACTTGACTACATCACAAGGTAACATGATAGACTGCAAGGCTCCCATCCATCCCCCATCCCCAGTCTCAGTCACGCAAGGTCCTTTTGACCTGTTTTGTAAAGTTTTAATTCAAGTGTTTAGTAATTATAGTCCTTAATATTCAGCTCTAAGAGGGATTTCCTATAGTTGTGTACAAGGGCGGATCCAAAACACAATTTTTTTGGGGGGAAGGGCCAAAAAAAATTTGTTCCCCCAAAAAGTGAGTCAAAAAAATTACGGCGTGGGGTTCGGGGCCCGCTTAATGTTGGATTCTAGATGCTCTGTGGTGCGATCTGAGGTAATTTCTGACCACTTTAACCAATCTTTTTTGAGGAAAAGATGGTAGTGTACTCATTGCCTGCCTTTATTGCGAAAAATATGTTTTCAGCAATTTTTTTTTGTACGATCATATGGAGGTGTATGCGTGTAGTCAAGGGTAAAAGGTAGTAATGGATGGTTTTCAGGTTTTTATCCTCATTCCCCCCCCCCAAAAAAAAGTAGGATAGGGGCTGTCAAAATAGGGGAGGTAGGGTAACCGGAAGCAGAATATTTTTTTTGGCCTCACATGTATGACTTCATGGCATGCATCTAGCTTCATGGTCATACTTGAAATGTATGTAGGGCAGTGGGCCTACTTACATGAAAAAAACATGCAATGAAACTAGCAATGGTTCTTAATCTAACACAAAAATACGATATCTGAAACCACCACTAATAAAAACCATGCTTATTTTACACACCATGCATTTGCACACTGAAATATCAAGTTTGACAGCAACACATAACACATTAACTCAAGTGATATGCAACTTTTATATTAATATTTGTCTGTGTTTATGAATGGAGGTCAAACTTGACTAGATATCAGTTATTCTTCCTCAAGAATCAACATTGTCTACCCAACACCGTATTACAAGTTACAACAACTGAATTGTATGGAAATTTCACTAGTTCTGAAATTGGACCTTGACAAATGACACCATGAGAAACTTAAAACTACACAATTCATCTAGGCATTCAAGCTGGACTAAGGTACATGTATGTATGGGATATGTATGCAGGTACTGGAGACAAGATACAATAACACTAGAACAAACTGTAACATCATGGGGTCCACATCAAGAGTGTATTGTAAATGTATTTGTATATCAACGAGGGAACTGGATGAGTATGGTTCTATCATTCATATCACTCAGGCATGCACACTGGAAGTAACCAAAACAGCGGAAACTCCAATCTTTACAAGACTTTGTAGAGTGTTTTTCAATTTTGAATGGCATAAATGTGAAGTGAAAAATGAGGAAATCAGCTGATCCCAGGAAAATTTGCATGCTTGATCACTGTAGCAGTATTGCTCATAACAGCACTGAGCACAATATACATTCTGCAAATGTGGTTACCATCAATGTGAAACGCTATTCTCAAAAGTAATTAACCAAACGCGGTAGAATCGGGTCAACGAAGCTTGTGAAATATTGTCCAATTACATGATATACAAATAGACGCGGAACGCACAAAATCTGAGACAAACAAATCTTAATGTACAAAATTCCATAGGGTTGTCTCTAGGCGTGGCTAACTCGCAAATGGCTATAGGTCAATTGTTAGGCACTAACAAATGTTAATGCACCTGAGCTAAGACGTGTGAGAGAAATGGTGCTAATGTGTCCCATGTTAGCAGTAATATTTTGGTATTTCACTTCTGAAGTGTCGCATTATGCACATCCCCTATACTACAGAAACACTGAGAACAAACCAAAGATTTACACGAAGATATGCTACAAATTTGCCGGACAATCATTAACAGCCTTAAGGCTGGTTCATATTTCAAGCGAATGCGAGTACAGTGTGAATTTTGACGTCATGAAGCCTTCACTGCCAAAATTACTGGAGTTGAAAAGTGTTCAAATTCTGCAAATTCGCAGCGTGAAAACTTGCCCCGACGTCACAAATTCACGTTTGTGTTCGCTTTTGTGCCGAGTATGAACCGGCCTTAAAGATGCACAAGCAAAGATGCCACTTTATCTGACTGAAAGTCATGGAGGTTAAGATGCTTTGATTTCTTACCTTCGGTGGGCCAAAGCTCCAACTGGGAGGCTCTTCGGGCTTGGAGATGGAATCTCTCAACCTCTCACATCTTAAGACCACTGCCCATAGCTTAGCCACGCTAGAGACAATACGAGGCAACATACCCAGCAGCCCCTTGCGTGCCTCTGCCTTGGGGCTGTTGGACTGACCACTGGATGGATTGCTGGTACTCTGAAGTCACAAAAATAGTTTCAAATTACAATTGGTTCTTCACTGATAACTCAGATAACTCAAAGTAAAAAAAAAACCTAACCTTTGTCTTGAATGTCATGTCTGGTTTCAGAATCGTTCTTAAAACAGTAGATGATACTTTTTAACCACTTTTGAGAGCCTGACTAATTTTCTGTCTAGAAAACACAACTAATTGAGATGCCAATGTCTTGAGATGCTTTTTGATAGTTGCATACCTTGCTTTTGTACTGCTCTCTGATTCCAAGGTGCTAGTGCTGCTAGCGACTGGACCTGAGTGTCTACTACCCATAAATAAACAACTAATTGAGATGCCAATGTCTTGAGATGCTTACTGATAGTTGCATACCTTGCTTTTGTCTCTAGTCAGAGCTCCCAGTAGACTACTGAGGAGTGGCGTGGAGGTACTGCTCTCTGAGTCTAAGGTACTAGTGCTGCTAGTGACTGGACCTGAGTGTCTACTCCCCATGGCAGACAGGTTAGAGGTACTCTCTAACAAGCAGAAATGGCAGATGGTGGTCAGGCCTTCCAACATGGTCACGACATGGTCTGGGGGAACATTCTCCAGGTTCACCTCCAACCTGCGAGTCAGGAGATGAGATATGAACAAAGGAGATTGAGACTCATCATGAAAAACACAGGTATGTAAAAGAAGTAATCAGTGGTATGGTGTATCAGCTGTGTGAGTGACCATTGATAAAAATAGCTGAAAACGGCTGAAAAGGGTGCAAAAAAGCTGAACTTTGGAAAGCTCCTATACTTCTGCACACATTAAGTGAAAAAAGCTGAAATCCGAAACAAAAAAGCTGAAATCAGAGCTTTAAAGCTGAAATTTCACACCCCTGGTGTATGTAAGGTACCAAATCATTCAGAACGATCCCAGCACAACCCATGACAAATGACATAAGCCACGGATAACTGGCCACTTAACTTCATGTCATAAATATACTCATGGACAATTGGCAACCTCAGTGTTTCTGAAATCTTAGTGTTTGATATGTGCCTGACGAAGCAGCTTTCCCTATAGTCTGATTGCAGTACTTCTCCAGCACGTTTACACATCATGTGAAAGGCATTACCCTATTCGTATCCATGAGATGTTTAAATTAATGCGACCCTATGACCTACTTTATACATGTAAGTCATTAGGCATATGACTAGGTACGCCTTGAGAGATTTCAGGCCATGTTCAAACTAAAAATTGTATTTATCTCCAAATTCGAAATAAAGACATATTCGATAAAGACTAATTCTGTGGTTAACATTTCTCCCTAAAAACATCATCTAACACTCTGGAATATGACTGAGTGACTTACTTCTTGGCCGAGTCTCCTGGTGTATAGAGAATAGTTAACTGCTCCAGATTCTTACAGAGTTGATTGCAGACAGGTAGAGCCAGCTTAGGCAATCCTCTCTCAAGGTGTGGGAGTGCTTCAGTCACCACTGAGACCCAGTGTCTGTGCATGTGGCAGATTTGGTACTGCTTGAGAGCACTCAGGACAGCTGTGATGAAGATGGACTGGCTCCCAAAACGCTCTGAGCGCACAAACCCAACGGATGAAGCCTTCTGTGGAGTGAACTTCATGCGGAGGTACTCCCACTCGCTATCGGCGCTGCTGCCTGTGTCTGTGTCATCCTTCAACGTGAAGAGTTGGTCCTCTAGGAAGATAAGAGTCCTGGCCAGTTTGAGCAGCTGGATCTGGAAGGCTTGCGCACCTCGGTCAGACATATCTTGAGAGATATCCAGGATGATCTCTGGCTCCGTGCTTTGGTTTTTACCTCTGTGGTGACTGTTGAAGACAGATGACAGCAGGCAGTACAGGACTGCTTTCTGGACTTTGGATCTGATGAGGAGATCGCTGATGAATGTTGCCAAGCCACGGCCACTGTCCTTGACAATGTAGACAAGCTCATGTAGGATCAGACGGAGAACCTCCATGCTTGCTATCTGTACATCTCGATTACCATGGACGTCATTCTCACTAGCTTTGAGATCACGTGGATAGTAGCTTCTCATGTAGTAGACACAGATGAGAACAACTATCTCCAGATAAGTGCTACTGCGGAAGACTGTCAGAGCCTCTTGTTCAAGGTCCGAGTAGAAATCCTGCCCTGTGATGCAGCGTTTATGTCTTGCCAAGAGTTGCTGCAGTTTAATCAGCTGGGGAGTGTTGGTGCTGCTGATGCTGGTTGATGACATTGCACAGACAAACGGCCATGGGTTAGTGCTAAGTATTGCTTTGATCGTAGACAAAACATACAACATACGTTGTGCATCGTATACCTGCACATAGAGCAAAATATGCTGCTGTAAGGGTGGTACGGCATTCAGTTTCAATGCAGGGAGCATCTTGGTTTGACCTTGTGGTGACCTATCTTCAGTCGCAGCTTCTGCCATCTCAACATCACTAGGTTCGGTCTCAAGTCCAGACATGGCATTCTCAAGATCATCCAGGATGTAGTCTTCTGGAGACATATTATCCAAGTTACCAGATCTGACGGCTGCCTTGGATCTTGGAGATGCTGAGGTTACAACGTAGGACTGCTTGTTGCCAGCAGGGACTATCAATTTCTCTGCTGCTCTGCTATCACTGTCTTGGCCGACACCATCAACTTGTCTCATTGCTTCCTCAACCAATGACATCAAAATGCTCCTGACAGCATCTTCAGGACTTTCATCCACATCTTCATTGTAGACATACGAGGGCTCCTCACATAGATCATCAGTGCTTGTGCTTGGAGTGACCTTCCCAGCTAACGTTTCTGTCAAGTTACTGAGGTCAGACGGTCGTCTCTCTCCAGGAACTCTGCGATTCTTTCTCTTATCTGCACTGTCGTCCTTAGAAGGTTTACGAGACGAGTTGGCTTTTGTTTTTGGACTAGCAGATACATCGCTGTCAGTGTCACTAATGTATGCTGATTGGTTCATTGGATTGACGGTGACACTCAGTGTCTTACTGAGCATCTGAGGAGGTACGCTGTAACGCAGACCGGTGTTTGCTTTGTTGGTTACGTATTTCATCTTATCATCAATGGTGGTGCAGGCAAAGACAGGATCTTGTTTGCTAGGGTTGATAGCTATGGCTCGCTTACCATCCTTGATAACATAGTACTTCACCTAGAGAAACACAGAAAAGAGCACAATTCATCATGAAAAGAGTCATAAAAAGGTTATTATTCAAATTCAGTTATGCTTCCAACTGTATGGTACAGACTAGTGTTGTGCATCAGGTAAAGTTGACCAGGCCAAACCAAACCAAGACATTATAGATATTAACCAAATCCGATCTGAACTCCCTAAAACTGACCAGACCCGACCTGACAAAAATTCAAGGAAACCCGAGGCAAACCAACCCGAAACCGAACCGACCCGAAAACCCCCCAGAGTATCTGGCTTGGGCAACTGTGTCCGCTTTTTATGCCTGAACTTACCCATGTCGCATGAAAATCGTCGTCTCTCGGTAACTGAATCATAACGTACGGCACTCACAATGTGACCTACTGGTGGGTGTTACAGACTGTGCATGATAGATCGCAAACCATTTTTGTTCGTACAAGGCATAGTGACTCTGCAATAAATATTGCACCATGTGCTTTTCCGAACCGTTTCCACACTGTTCCCAAACTGTTTCGGTTTAATTTGGTTTGTTTCAGGATTTTCCAAAATGGATTAACTGACCCGACCCGACCCGAAAATCGCAATCGCAAAACTGAAACCGACCCGACCCGACTGAAATGATGGACAAACTCACCCGACCCGACCCAAAGATGGTTTCGGGTCGGGTCGGTTTCGGTTTCAAGTTGGGTTTGCACAACACTAGTACAGACCTAAGAGGTTCAAGGCAAAATTTCATTACTAAAGCGATACAAAATGCAAGGAAATTTGAAAATAAACTCTGTAAAATGCCACTCAAGTACAATTCCCCTAGTGCTTGTCGAAACATACTTTAACCCTTACCCTACTAGACCCTCCAACGCATGCCAATATGTGCCTCAAGAAAATCTCCTATGTTTTTTGCATGGCCCTCCAATATCTGCCATGTCATTTCAAGGGTAACTGGACAGGCACTCCAATACATGCCACAGAGAACAATGAGAGTCCTCTGATAACAAAGTGAGTGCCCCCAGCTGGTCAGTATCAGGCACCCTCCAGGGCCTCCAACTCCTGCCAATTGGAGCCTTCACTGTTAAGACAAACTATCTGCCAATAAACTGCAGCTGGAGGGCATTGGCATAACCAACTGACATGCAGTAAACTACCCTCAGAGAGTAAGGGTTAAACACTATTCAAAATATCCTGATAGTTGCAAACATTCCACAATCCTAAGGAACATTATCCTGACCTCTCCATCGACACTGCTGATGCTGTAGATTCTATTCTCCACATCTTCACCTCCAGCCTCATCAGTCTTGCCATCGCCCAGCGACTTCTGATCAGGTTTGGTGTGAAGGAACTGCACAGACACACGGGCTGTGGCTGGGTGGAGGAGTACTAGGAGGATGGGTTCCAGGAGTCTAGCGATATCACCCCGGTCTATGGCATGCACTAACCAGGTCTGGGTGACTGAACGTATCATGCAGTCGGGACACTCTAGACTGTCCATCATGACTAACAGAGATCTAGAAGGAAAGAATATGCAGGAAACAATAGCATATCAATATTAGGTTTTTGCCCTTCACCGACGTATAAACACTGTGTACTCAGTGTGTCACCTCCCGAGTGAAAGTTGAAAAAAATCACTCGGGTGGGACTCGAACCCATGACCTCCTGCTTTCTAGTGCAGATTCTTACCATTCGACCACAGAGCTTGCTGGATCGGTTGGCTGGTTCGAAATAGCATATCAATGCAAACAAGTTTTCCAATGAATAGCATATCAATTCAAACAAGTTCTATAATCTTACTGTCACAGATAAAGAGTTCAATCAAATACATATTTAACCCATTAGCACCTGTACCACATTGTATTACATTGTGTTTATTCACTAAAGAATCAATCAAACCATAGAGTGCTCGGGTGTTTTCGAGTGCCACAGTGAGTAACAGGCAGAGCGGTTTCAGGCGCTACTGTGATTAAACTTACTGTCATCTTGGTTCTTGGTTGGTTCATCTCCTTAATACTCCCTGGGGGAGTTTGACCAGGAGGCCAGAAACACCGGGGCAAACCCCTTCTCTTAGTGATAAGTGTCCCTGGGTTATTTTACGTGCATGCATTACATAACACACGCCACATGATAATCATCTTTCAGTAAAGAATCACACCATATCTAGTAGTACCAGTAGTAGTATAGTACGGTATGATGATGACTCATAATGTTACCTACCACATTCACATTTGCGTGGTGGGTTGCTGTGGTTGTACCTGGCACAGTAACTCTGCAATAATATTGCACCGCGTGAATTTCCAAAGTGCTTTTATTTATTTCGGTGTTTTCATAACATGGCTTAACTGACCCGACCTGAAAATCGCAAACGCAAAAACCGAAACCAATCCAACCCAAATGAAATGATGGAAAACCGACTTTACCCAACCTGAAGTCGGTTTCAGGTCGGGTCGGTTTCTGGTCAGGTTTGCACAACATTACTAGATAAGTCAGTTAATTCAATGGGCAATGTACCTGTCAAATGTGAGTACTTTGCTTGCTGGACTTGCACTCAGAATCTGTGATCTGATCAGATGCCAGAGCTGAGCATACTTGATGTGTGCGGCCAAGGAAACAGCCTGTTGAAAAGAAAATAAAGGAATCACATGATTCAATGAAGACACGCAGTTATCCACAAAATATGGTATGATTACAATGGATGGTATGTAGAAACTAGAATAAGTACCATTAAGACTCTCAATCCAATGTGGCCACGAAGTATTGTATTTCATGTTTTTACTGGTCTCAGAGAGGGCCACTTAATGATTGACTCACTGACTGTCACTCGTGAGCCGGGCAGTGCTATTGTACAAGATTACCCCGTAACGCCAATGAGTGGGCTAAATCAGGCCCATTGTGTACACAGATGTATGAAAAGACTGAACACAATTTGAATCTTAAACCAATGGATATAATGTTTGTGGACTCTGGGCCCTGGTCTTCTAGGCATGCCTTGTCTTGTTAACCAAAACAAATGCGCAGAAAATCTTATGTTGGATGTGGGAAAACCTAATCCTTTGATGTATCAGCTCGGTTAACATTCTACTTTTCACAAAAGTATTGAGTTCAAATTCAGCTGCTGACAGCAAGCTGTCTAAACCTTGATTTTCTACAGACATGAAAATGTATGCCCTAACAGCTGTAAATTCAGACTCGCGTGTATGAAAGGGACACCAGATATAATTAGGCACAACATTTGTATTAACTCTGCGGCTACCTGTTCGGTGCACTGTTTGGGGATGTTTAGGGCCTGTCTCAATTCATATCCGGGATGAGTTCCGGGCAAGTTGCGGACGTTGTATCAGGTACAAGTTGCAGGATTCTGAACAACTTCCCTGCAATCTTCCCTCAATGAAGTTATATGTATTGGTGAGTCAGGCAGTTGCTAATGAAAATTTTCCCGGAACATGTCCAGGACAAATGCAGGGCTTCTTGATGGTTCTAGCCGCAACTTGTCCGGAACTCGTCCAGAATATGAATGGAGACAGGCCCTTAACAAGATTGTGTACGTGGCTGAATATGAAACTCCAGCACCGTCCGTTCAATAATACACAACTTAGAGAATAGCAATTCTTTATGAATATGCATGAGTAGGTGTACTGTACCTTATTGGTCTGCACCAGTGAATTTCCAATGATGTCTTCACAGATGTAGACATCAGGTGCTACATTGTGAAGCTGATGCAGTAGATCAGCACTCTTCTGATGACAGTTGGGAGTACTGGCACTCATGTGATGCCACAGACTGGTTGCTACTCTCTAGTAAGAGAAAATAACGACGTACATGTTTGACGGTGATGGACTCTGTGTGTCAACTATGGAGGGTGCTGTGTAGCTTACAATGATATTTAAGTTTGGTTCCCTATCCCTGCTTAATATCTAGAGTTTGAAATGAGGGGACAGGAACAAGTCTAGATATGACATTTACCTTGCTGATTTAGGTGAGCTATTATCACCCTTTTATTTTGACTAATTGGTCTTAGGTAAGGCACACATTCCATACAACAGTTCCACCACAGAGCCAATACTGCACAGATAAACTACAGCATCAGATGTTAGCAGGTTAGCAAAATGACCAAATCTAAGCAAAATGAATAACAACTTAAGAGTTACAAAGCAAGCATGTCCTTTTGGCTTGTAGACTTTGTGCGTGAATAGTAGATGGTTCTTTGTGCACACATTGGTTGATGAATATGACGCAAAGTATGCAAGTCTAATTTCATTCAGAATATGTTTGTAATAATAATAATGTGTATTTATAAAGCGCATGTATCCACCATTATTGGTGCTCAAGGCACTTCATCATTATTACCCTGCTCATTGGAACAATGAAACATACCACAAACCATCTCCGCTCCCTGGGGAGTATACAGCTCAATGAAGCCTGTTCGGCACAAAGCAGCTAAAATCAATCACAATAACAATCTCTGCCTTCACAGGTACCCAATTTACTCCTGGTTGGGGAGAAGCAATGAGTGACAAAGTGCCATGGTTCATGCACCATAGCCCCAGGCTAGACTTGAACCTAGAACCCGCGGCATTACCAGCAGACCACAAATTCAATGCTCCACAAGGCCACAGCACTCCACAACTTATATCATCTTTTACATAATCACAAAGTGCACAACAGCATCGCATTCAGGAACTCTGTCAAACTCTCTTTTTGTAATTACAGCAAACACTCCTGTTCAGTGATATCTTGGATCTACAACACAATATGCTGATTATTGACTTTTCACTCGTTTGTAATGCCTAGTACCTATGACACAATATAATAACTGCTTAAAGCTATAGTCCATCATTTGTAATTTGTGCATTTTGTTCGTTTGAAGCAACAAAAGAGTTCAAAATCTAATGAAGGATACTGAGCAACTAACCTGATGAAGTTTCAGCTAAGCTTCAGCTGTATATTCCGAGAAAAACAGCATTCTAAGATCTCAATTTCAAATCAAAAGTTACTGAATCATGTTTTGAATTGTTTTGAATTGCAGCTTTACGCGACGTCGCGCACTGTTCCGACGAATTATAACAACCGCGCGCGCGCGTGCGTCGTTCCAATACTTGTGCGCGCTGCGCTGAATAACAAAACGAACTACTAATTTAAATTTTCCTACGGTGCTTCTTAAGAATCACCGTTGGAAATGCCTTCTTTCGTTGATTACTTCAAAATGACAGCTTCCCAGAAAGAATAATTTCACAGGGAGTTTAGTTCCCTTACTATCTTTCAACCAAGTTTGTTTTTCAACAACAATTACGCCAGTTACTTTTCGGATGGCTGCAAATGATGGACTCTAGCTTTAACTTACTTGGAAAAAGCTGGTGCCAAAGTTGATTGTGTGCAGATGTGATGCAGAGACAGCAGGAATCAGCACCACAGAGATGGTCCCTGAGTCTGTCTTAGGGGAGTTGGGTGGGTTAGGCAGTACCAGCTTACTGTCTGAACGGTCTGTGACGGACTTAGTCAAAGCTATCAGCTCTAAGGTGGTGGAGATGGCCGTAGTCTGGAGAATGAAGTTATTGACATAGCAACTGCATGCAACCAGGGTCTGGAGCCAGTCTGGTAAGCCAAGTGCACTACCTGCAGGGGGAATGGTCAAATATTCAATTTAACCCAAAGTCCTCATATTGCGATGGAAAAATTTAATTATTATTCTTTAGTTAAGAGTCAGTGGCACTGACTAGACTGGCGTACAGTGTGAGTAAAAAAAAAAGGAAACCCAAATGTGAGTGCCATTTTTTTAAAATAAAGTTCTGCATACATGTAGAATATAGAAGCCCAAATTAGAAATTTGTGCTAAAGGCAGACAGATTAGCCTTGAAAGCCCAGCTAACTGAACCCCCCCCCCCCCCTCCCAATAAACCTTGTGCGAGTAAAAGTCAAAGGTCAATCAGTCGTTGGATTATGGCTTCAGTTTTTTTGACTTGTTACGATGCAGTGGAAAGACACAGCAGCACATAAATATGCTAATGTTAGATAGAAACAACTCATCTGCTTTTCCATCATTTCCAAGAATTTATGACATTGGACTACAAAAATAGTCAGTTGCAATATTTCTATTTAAACCTAACATAAAGTTGAAATATTCTGGGTCACTTATTTCAATATTTTTTCCTTTGTCTGATTATTGTTGTCTGCTTCATGAGTTGATCAACGCATGCAATGTAATACCACAATGACCCGCTTCGTGTGCAGGGTATGTCGTGACTGCCCCTACTGAGCCATGAGAATGATGTTAGAGTTGATCGAATGGCACAGGGCTTATCTGAGTCGACCCAGGTGGGCTAATCCAACACACCCTATAGCAACATTTGAATGTACATACCCGTGGTAGTAGGTGTAACAATATGCGCAGCTGAGGCTGTCTCGTTACAGTACATTGGGAAGCAAGCAAACTCAACCAACAGATGACAAGCTGTAGAGAAGGCTTGCAAGGCACTTGGAGAACTGGTGCACTGTAGATCTACATCCCCTGCAGGAAAGATAACAAAAATGGAAAGATTTCAGGTCTGTCAATCAATTCACCTTAAGTTTACAATGTTAAAGCTTTACTGTACTGGGGCGTGATGTCCCTATATTATTATTATACAGAATACATAGAACATACCATTAGATAACTGCACAGCATTGGAATTTTGTGGATTTAGAAAGGTTCCTGGACACAATCCATATATAATACGTACTGAGGAATGCAGCCACAGCCTCATCTGTAGTCAGTGCTGAGTTGGTCCGTAGCCTACCATCCTCACTCATCATTTTGTCTGGCATATCTCCAAGGTTCTGAGGTCGTTTACCCTTCATGCCCTCCCCACCAGATGGCTGTCGCTTCTCTTGCGTACCATTGCACTTCACGTTCAGCTTCTTCAGGTACTTCTTGACAACCTCCGCCTCTGGAAGAATCTTGCTGCTGACAAACTTGGCAAAGAATGCCTGGTAGCATTGCACACACGCCTGCATGATGAAGATTGGTTGACCGTCTTGATCGCTCTCGGCTAGACTGGTTGTCAAGGAGACGGAACTTGGGGTTCGGCGGTGGGAGGGACGGAATTCAACTGTCTCTTCTTTGGATGGGGAATCAAGGCTTTGCATTTTAGTCGGGCGTTTGACCCGCTCAATCTGGAAGTCATCATCCAGGGCTGCCAACTCTGCATCCTCGAGGCGTTCAGATGACAGCCTGTCCAATGATCTCCGAGGACTGAGAGGAAATTTCTTGGATGAACTTGGCTTGCCTTGCTTGGTTTTGTCATTTCTCTCACTCTCTGGCGATTCATCCTGCACAGCACCTGATCCTGAGCTGATCCCCTGACTACCATCTGATGAATTGATCACAGACTGGGTTTGGGTGGTTTGTTTTGGTGTGGATGATTGCTGTGGTGAGGCATCTGTACCAGTTATCCCACCGCTGCCACCATTGACTTCCTCCCAACCCTTCTCAATGATATCCACATGAGCCAGCAGCCTCTGAGGTGTGCTGGTATCCCATTGATTAGGACTGGTAACCATGGATGGCTGTACCTTAGTCAGTAGCTTGTTGCACAGACGCAGTGTGTCTTTGATTTCAGAGAGGCTCAGATACTGACAGTAGTTGGAGAGGGATACCGTCAATTTGCAAAGTAGGTTTGGAAGGTACTCAGTTGTTGTTTCTAAATATGTTTCCTGTCAAAGGAAAAATAAATTACTCAATAGGTTAAATTCCAGACTTGACATTTTAATTGTGATCTCTGTCTCACAGTAACAAGGACAATAGCAGTCCATAGCAACAATTACCCCTAACCGCCCTGAAACCTTCAAAATCCTCTTTACCAAAATGGAGGAATTTAGAGGATTGAGGTTTCATGGCAAAAGTGTGTTACTGATTTTATAAGTTGTACTTTGTCAAGGTCTTGGGCCGGACCTTGTGTTGTTTTTGCTCAGCCATGCATAAATATAGGCCTGGATTATGCTTGAAATCCTCCGTACTGCTCCAGGATGTCACTGGCCAAGCCTCAACATATTGACAGCCACAAAATTCTGCAGGATTCAGGCAGTGGTCACCCCTCCACGGACAATATTCAAGAAATAATGGAGGACTTTGCAGGATTGAGGCGTCGTCCCAGCAAACAAGGCCTAGGGAGTAAGGGTTAAGTAATTGGACTGCATGTATTACTCAAATGATGTTTCATATTCCTGTTCTTATGCATGTAACATCAAGAGCAAACAGGTTGGCACAATTGCACTTCCCATATCCACCACTTCTGTGAGCAAGATTCAAAATGTGGATTTGATTATCAGTCCATACCTGATTTAACTATACCTTATACATATTCATGATTGAGAGCCAAATTCTCACTGGTCCATTCACGATCACGTGTCAGCCACTAGTTTTGCTGGTTACCAAGCATGCATGTGAGATTTCACGTACAGGTTAAATACGTATGCGTAAACTAGCGCATGCCTTACCCGTGCGCTTCTATGCATGCGCTTTACAAAGCTATCATGAGCTAGCCCACAGGGCTAAAGTGCATGAGGGCGCAAACATTGTCCTAGCTACATGAAAAGATGGGGGCACACGCACAGCAACGTTTGCCGAGGGAAACTTATGCGTAACTCGACAATCGTTTGGCGATTATTTATGAGGTAGGCTATAGCAAAACAAATAAGCATGTTTTATTTCGGGTGGACAGTCGATATTAGCTCCCCTCGGTATTGGAAAAAACTAGTTTGTCAACTTCCAATACCTCGGGGAGCTAATATCGACTATCAACCCTAAAACCATGTTTTATTTGCATACTGTTGGTTACTTAACATTCTGGTGTTTTTGTCCTACCCTTTTTTCATAAGTAAAGATCCCCACTACTATCGACTTACCAGTGCCACAATGTCGAGGAGGAAATCTACCAGTCTACACATTTCTGAGCATGTAAGTGCACTGCTATCATCACCAATAGAGGGCGCCATTCCTCCTCGCATGACTGTCTGTTGACAGCACTGATCAAACCGTTGTGCGATGAATTCCCACATGAAGTATGGCTCAAAGACACCAAAGAGCAGATTGGCCGTCTTGATGAGTTCTACAGGACGAGCACTGCGTGTTAGGAGCTTCCTTGTTGGCGCGGACAGCAGCAATGATTCCTGAGAGTCTGAGATTAGCCCCTTCCATACGTCATTCGCAGATGCGGTGGTGCAGCGGTTGTACAAGGCACGGAATACCTCAATGAAAACATCCTCTACGATGATCATGCTTAATTCTGGCTTGTCCAGGAGGCTGATCAGGAGCTTGTAAGGCTTCAAAATGGCTGCCTTTGTCTCGTCATCGTTCAAACCACTTGGAATGGTGTGCAACCAGAATTTGAGAGATTCCACCAACATGACTTTGGAGTGTGCCTCAAAGTACGCTGACGTCTCCTCTTCGGCACTCAGTATGCTATCTGATCGCTCTACGGCTGGTTTGCTTGCAAGCTTTGGCTCTGCTGTCCTGGAATTGGTGCCTAACAACCAGCTGAATAGGCGACGATTGAGGGACATGTCACGACGCAAGAGAACATTGAGTGCAGCTGTCATAATACGAGTCTGCTCATCTCTGGATACGCAGAAGTCATGAAGCGGGAAGCAGAGTAGTACCAGATCAAGGATGGTACGCTGGACCAGAACCACGGAATCATACAGGGAATCACACACTGCATTGACCTACAGAGAGCAAGATAATACAGCACAGGGTTACAGACAACCTACCAGTATAGGCATTTCAAAAAAAAAAATTTCAAAGTGCGCTTATCATCTCCAGACCTACACTCTCTCAGCAATGGGCTCCATGCATGAACAGTACATGGCGCTTGTAATTTTTCTTGAAATACAAAAGTCATTCACTTTTGAATGATTCACTTTTGAATGAGACATTGACAAACAAAACTCGGTCCACATATAGTTACTTGACACGTTTTGAATTATTTGCGACCCAACAATAATTCAGATCTTGTGGGGTAGACTGATGACCGCCTCCCCCTTTTGCATTAAGATAATGACATCATTGCTAATGCTACTGAGGGAAGAGTATTAATATATCTTACCAATGTGATTCTGTTATTGCCAAGGATGTGTTGCTGTTCTTTCATTGAAGCTTTGCGGTCAAGTTGAGATAAGACAAAAGACACTGCAGGGAGACGCACACCAGGGCTGGTCGACACGCATTCCCATAGAGCACTATAGAAATTAGACTTGACCATTCCTGCACAGAGCTGTTCCAATAAGGCATTGGTCCTGCATGTAACAAGCACACAAGTACAACAAAATTAAACATTTGAAAGGAACATACATTTGTGTTGACAGACAAGTACAGACGCTCTTTTTTTACTATACTCCCAAGGACAATGCTTTGTGTTTCCCTTTGTCCCTGTAATATAACACTCTCCCATAGACTAAGCACACAAACTTACTACAGAATCCGTTTTGAACAAAAGACCCAACGCCAAGGACTGAAAGGATCTGTTGTTCTCCCTTTGTGTGTCGGTCCTCGGGGGTTATGTAGAACACGTACATTGTGTCACGGCCAGTCAATCCTGCTTTATGTAGACTGTGAATTCTTAACTGCTGAAAGTCACTTGTTTGATTTTGACTGAAATGACTACTTGGCACAGAATGTATGTTTGCATAGGAGGGTTTATATTGACATACTCTAGATTAGTATAGAAACCGTACAGGTTTGAAAAATATGTTCATATAAGTTGTGTACACAATACCACAATACACATGTAGAGTTATGAGGAAAAAAAACACATACATACATACATATTATCTGAGAGATCGCCAGTCCAACTGTCATTAGCTGGGTTTGCATCATTGCTGATGTTAGAATTGTGACTAAGCATGTAATTCCTGGCATCTGACTAGTTGCTGATGCCAGAATTGTGACTAAGCATGTAATTCCTGGCATCTGACTAGTTGCTGATGTTAGAATTGTGACTAAGCATGTAATTCCTGGCATCTGACTAGTTGCTGATGCTAGAATTGTGACTAAGCATGTAATTCCTGGCATCTGACTAGTTGCTGATGCTAGAATTGTGACTAAGCACGTAATTCCTGGCATCTGACTAGTGCCCCCGGAACAAAAATATAGACAAAATGGACCACTATGATATGGTATGCTAGCTCACTGCTACACTGTGTCAGATGGCAAAAGTTTGAAACCTATACAGTCATTTTCTTTCTAGTTACTTGAACTTTTTTTCTTCAAATTCTCACCTATTGCAGTCCATTTTCTTTATAGTTTCTTGAACTGTTTTTCAAATTCTTCCCTATTGCAGTCAATTTTCTGTCTGGTTACTTGAATTTTTGTTTATTTTTCAAATTCTCACCTATCAAAATACTCGGATCCTTCTTCTAACCCAGGCATGATTCCCTGCAGTAGTCCAGTCAGGCATGGCTTGAGATGTTCACCGAGCGGCAAGTAATGCTCCTCATACAGATGCAGTAGTTTAGGCTTGACTGCCATGGCAGCACTGCCCAGTAATGGGAACAACCCAGCGCTGTAGATGAACATATCCTGGCATAGCTGTTTAGGACCGATGGTACGGAAGATCAGATCATAGGTCTCCAAGGCTTTGAGATGGACACCGCTGGGGAGGGCGGGATGGGTGCACTGGGCCAAACGTTTACCAATCAGCAGCCGTTTGGGGATGACGGAGTAGCGAGTAGAGTTGCTTTGAAGGACCTGGATCACAAAATGCAACAAAATAAAACCACAAATCACATTTAACTTCTCAGTCTGGACAAATGCATGGCATAGAAGCTGAACAGCAAGCATTTTTAATAAAAAGATTTTGTAAATTAGAGAGAGTTTGTTTTCCCTTAACTCTCATGACTCCAAGGTATTTTTGCAATCAGGATTAAAGAGAATATATATACAACATTTGCCAATTTTATCACAAAACAAAGCTTCCAAATTATTATGAAGTACCTTACTGGACTGTTAATGAATGACAGTAAAGCATCCTGTAAAATCATGGCGAGTGGTGTGCTGTCATTTTCAAGAAAAGTGGTATTTTTGTATCAATTGCTGGTTGGCCAGCGTTGGAAAAAACTGGATTTTTTTTCTTCAAATACTGCCCCCAATTGGCTGGCCAGTGTTGGAAAAAAACCTGCCTGTCTTCAAATACTGCCCCCAATTTACCATATTTAGTGAGTCCGCATTTTGTTTTCAATCGATTACACAGCTATGATTGGGTACAAGCCAGCTACCTGTAGACTGGTTCCCTGACGTTACAATTCCCTGACGTCTATAAATTGCTCCGTTTCATCTTAAGTGGGGTCAGGGAACCAGACTACAGGAACATGATTTGTTTGTCTTGATTTTTCCAGCATCTACGAACACAAAACCCTTTAAGTGAACATCACATCCTTTGTTCTAGCTCTTGGATTTTGTTGGGTTTTGTGGGTTTCATGCTTTGTTGTTGTTAATATCTTTCTTTAGCAAGAGTCTATATATATGACATGGATGTGACCTTTGTAATTATTGCAGAAAAAAAAAACAAATTTACATGTATCTTAGTCAATCTACATTTGTAAATGAAAGTGCTTCAGTGGTGCAAGGGATTCACTGAAATTAATGTAAATGATCTGGAAGTGTACACAGGTGTGTATGCTGTCAATTATAAACTATACTATTGAATTTAATCAACTCTTTTGCCAGCCATGTCAACAAGGTAGACTGTACATCTGGCAGCGTTGTGCAATGGTTTGAGCCTTAATTCTATGTAGCCACGGGAGAAGAATCAATTTGCTGTATATGGGCATTTGTGCATGACTAATACATCTATCTCCTGAGGCTCATGTACACATTGCAAATGTGCAATAGACAATGTAATAATTAGTCTTGTGTATAAAACTTGTACATGGGGGAAAAAAGTGTTCCAGCTTATTCCCAATGCATTTTGAGTATGATCGTTTTCCAGTGAGGGGGATTAATTTCCTCTGACCAACAGGCCACTGGCAATAATTAATGCAGGATCCTGCTGGGTACACGTATTAGGCACAGTATCCACCTGTGTGCTGCACATGTGTGGTTGGATAAGCCAGATGTTTTCGCCTTTGCAGACATGTACAGTATACATGTGCAACTAATAACAGACTGTAAATTATTTACCAGTGTTCAATATTTTAAAACAAAAATGGAATACGTTTTGACTAATTTTGTTAAAATACACCAGTATTCTTTGAGAGAATTTCGTTTACTGAATCAAGCATTCAGTCTAACACATCTTCATAAAAGCAGTTTATTGAACTATTAAACTACCATACGCCTTTATGCGGGTTTTGTCTAACAATAAACCATGTTTGTGTAAGTTTAACTTTATAACTCATGACTAATACGTAGTACGGCATTCTGGCCTTTGAATCACTGGGTATTTGTTAACCTTTGACCTCTATTCTGTATTAATGAAAGCAACTATTGTTTGACACAGACTGTATGACTCATTGAAATCATTCAAACCTTTAGTTTTAAAATTATTGTAAACTTTTTTTTTTCAGTATTGGTTTGCAATTCACACTATTTATTAACCCTAACTCCCTAGGCATTTTTGCTACATGTAGGATGCAACCTCAATCCTGCAAAAGCCTAGTATTTCTTGAATGTGGCCCTTGGAGGGGTGACCACTGCCTCAATTCTGCAAAATCCTCCAGCAATCACTGTCAATGTGCTGAGGCAGAGCCAGTGACATCCTGGAGCAGTGCGGAGGATTTCAAGTATAATCTAGTCCTAAATTTATGCACTGCTGAGCATAAACAAAACATCGTCTGGCCTAAGACCTTGACTCAGTGCATCCTCCGAAATCGGCTAGACATTTTTTGCCATGTAGCCTCAATCCTGCAAAATCTTCCATTTTGCAAAGAGGATTTTTGAGGATTTGGGACAGTTAGGGTTAAAGAGCACCACTAAAGAAATACGAATTTCCCCTCTTTTTGAACAAATCATGGGACTTTTTATAGGACGTTCTGTCAACATAGCCAGCATTTATCAGTTTAAAGGCACTTTGTCAATGTAGCTAAGACTTTGTTTAGAGCAGCGAATTCAGGGAAAACAACATTGTTTTGGTATTGTTTTCTCTAATATGAAGGCAGAAAGTTAAAAGAGTAATATTTTGGTGCTCTTTTATGTAACCAGTATTAAAACTAAAACAGATCCAATTATATTTTCATACGTAATGATCTTTTCATGCAGACCGAAATTTGTTTCTGATGTTCAATTTCTCTGGTTACAACGCAACGGTTACCATAGTTACCTTGATGAGTTTAGCCAACGCTGAGATGAGATCTGCCCACTCACTGGAATACTCAAATCCTTTGAGTGCTTTGTCCACGGCCGCTGCGTAAGCCTTGAACTTGGGATCCGACATCAACTCACTCTCGTCAAGATTCATGACTGTCATTCATAAAAAAAATAATCAAGATTTCAAAAGTTTCAAAGATTAACATATATTTCATAAACATACATGTAATTACCCACAGGGGAATGTGGTATCTCACAACGGCATGCTTTTTTGAAACTTGGATTGAATTTTTGTTTCAGCTTGCGATTCATTCTGCATTTGCTGCTTGAGGAAAATCAGACCAGGGATGTTCAGTAACTTCAGAGCAGGAATATACACAGTGTGTACATACATGTACTGTTTATATCAGTATGTATGTACATGTACATGTATATGTACATGTACATGTATGCGTGTACACATGTATGTAAGTGGGAGGGAACTTTCCGAAATTTCCCGGAACACTTCCTTGGCTCAGATTACATTGTACGCATGCAAATCATGTGTTTGTGTGGACTTCATTCAACAACCTTGCAAGGTACCCTAGGCATTGTGAGATTAATCCTTTCACAATGAACTCAACATATAATGACATACTTACTGTATGATTGCTTTACTGACAGTCTGAGCAGAAATGGCAACTTGGCTGCACAAAACAAAACTGGCAATCACACCAAAGGACAGACACTCTGATGTCACAGTCAAATTTGTAAAATTTGATGTTACTCATGCAGCCACACAGTGAATATAGACATGCACCAAGCAATCACAGTGTACTGTCCACGTGTATGGTGTACATGTACACTGCAGCCGGCCACATGAACTGCATGTTATCCAGTAACAATTGGCAGGGGCCAAATTGTGCAATTAACTGTGACTGCCAGCATGCTATAGACGCTGGTACCCCTGATCTGTAATAACAGGCAGGGCTTAAAGCATCAGGATGCAGGATTTATGTAGGATTATAACATTCTCTTCTTGTATCAAAACGGAGACTATTCTAAGTTTCATTGATGGGGCCATGTATGATGTGGGGACTCACACCACTCTTTGTAGATGATTTACAGATTAAGTCATTATGTACATGTAGTGAATGACTCTACCACAATGATGCTTGAGGTAGTTTAAGCTTTAAGGGCAAGCGACATCTGTGCCTACCTTTGTTCCAGACTTGTATGACTCGTGGCTCGGACTCGAGTCTGACTTGAGTCCCACTACTCATGACTCAGACTCGGACTCAAGTCACGACGACAAATGACTCAAGACTCGACTTTACATGATTGAGGCCTTGTAATGGGCGACTTCCATTACAAAAAAAACACCAGAAAAGGTACAACAGCATGTCCCCACCTGACTCCCAGAAAAATTACAAAAAAAACCAGTGTGATGGCATCACATGGCTATCTGTACACTATTGTGCCCGTTCATTAGAAAGTGCAAAATTTCAAATATACTATCCAAAACGCCGGTCACTTAGTCACCCGTCACCCATGGGTGCATTTTACCAGTTGTAACCAAAGTCGGGTGCAGTTGTTTGTCAACGAATTATTATTTTGGGGGCAAAAGGAAGAGCATGAACTATGCATGGTTCCTGTACAACTGAAGTTACCAAAATGCTTACCCAATGACAAAAAAAACTAAACTAGTTTTTGGTTACAACCACCAAACTGCACCCAGTTGTCTCCCATGTCAAACTCCATCTCGAGTCCACCCCTCACTAAAGCTAGAAGTAGAATTTAACGTTCACAATATAAAAAGCTTCAAACCTTTCAGATGTGGTAAAGTGCCCGTCCCAGTCGTTGGTATCAACAATCCATGCTTCAGCAGCTCACTACTGGTGAACTGACTATCCATGGCAAACACACGGATCCACTACATGTATGTAACAGATGTTCACAGCAGTAATGTCACTTGATGACATTCACTGAACAACCCATTCACATGATGGCAACACAAATGGTATTTGTACGATAACAAATTTTTCTTTCATAATTTCGTCTTATTCTAATCAATGCCATAGACCAGACTGCATGTACGATGTACATTGCACATGCACATACCAGCATCTACATGCGTACTTTCTGCCGAAAGGACAAATAAATGGGTCATGTGAGCCAAGAAATTTGCATACTTTTTGAAATAGTTCATTGTTCTGAGTCAAAGTTGAATATCAAGAAGTTCATTTCAAAGCACCATTAATTTTTATTAAAGGCAAAGCTGTCAAAGACAATACATGTACATGTAGCTTTGTAGAAATAGAATGTGCATGAACGTGTATGTTTAACAAATTGCACATGTATGTTCTTAACTGCATGCACATGTGTAGATTCTATGCAGACTACAACATATTACACTGATGCATGGACGTGATCCGTTAACAATTAATGCACGCGATATACACAACTGCCACACCTGTTTGATGAATCTTTGTGTACGACTGTACAGGTACCTACAGTGAACAGTGTCAGGTGCTAGAAACAATGTACATGTACAGACCAAGGACATGTGATGTGGACTGTGTAGTGTTGGTACTCTACTGAACTGTATGTCATTTTTGTACAATATGTAAAGCTAGATGTACATGTACATGTACATGTACATGTACATGTACATGTACATGTACATGTACATGTACATGTACATGTACATGTACCGGTACGTGGATATGTTCATTTGGGCATCCCTTTTGATTCCTTTGGTTCTCATTTCCGACTGACCCTATTTCGGGCTTCGATCTGACCCAAGAATAAAAAACTTACCCATGACCCTGTTTGGAACCCTGCTTACTAAGAAAATGAATGGGAAAAAAAAGAATACAAAATTCAGGAAAGTGGGCTCTGTGTTATTTGAAAAACTATGGAAAAATAATACCAGACTTTTAAGCAAACGGTGTAGACCAACCAGTGCTATCCCAGAAGATGCAATGGTGTTAATGCCACTCATCAATATTAGAGGTCTCTAAATCTTTACAGGGGCATGGTACATCGACTACATCTTGCCAAAGATGTCCATATTATTTTTTTCAGTGATCAATATCAACTCAAGATAATCTCATTGCAATAAACAAAACAAGAGACAATATGCACTTGGCATCATTTAATTTAGCCGTTTAGACGGGTCCAACTGCAGTTCTTCTTTTCTTCAGATTTTTGGTTATTTTGCCGACTGACCGACCTTACATCTGAGGCAAAAAATTGTGAGAACAATAAAAACGGACGCCCTTACATCAAAAGCCGCAAGACCGAAACCGAAACCATGCCACATCAAAAGCAACATAAACTGAGGTCAGCAAGGAGACCAAGTCTGCATGGCATATGTGCATAAATATGTACACCAATGGACAAAGACATTTTCATTTTACGGTGATCAAACATTTCCACTGCAGTATTGCTTACATGCAGGTTCAATACATCTGTGTATATGTAAGTGAAGCTTATACACACAAGATAACTGCACAAGAAAAACAGCTTCCGAAAGTCTGCCGCTAAATCTGGTTTTCCATAACATTTTTAAAGCAAAGTTAAACACTGAACTTCAGTCAAGAAAATGAAGTGTTCTTTTCCTGCAACAAGCCACATATGTACACTGCACGGTCTAACTTCCTTATCAAAGTGCTGCCTATGGTTTCACTCACTGCACAATCTGGTACAAATCACCAACCGATACTGGATCATTTTGATGTGTGTGGCCTTATACACCTTCACAGTTTAAAGTATTAAGGGTCATCAAAGTTCACACAAAATGAAATTACCATTTCTGATATCCAAATTCACTGACTCTCTGCCCATGGCTAGTACATCAGAGCTAAGAATGCCTGCTGAGCTAAACATGTCTCCATATAAAATCACAACAGCACAGTTCCTTGTAGGGCAGCATAACGATCTGATTTTCTCTGGCTTGCATTCAGCATGTTCAGTGCCTGTATACATGTAAGTGTGTCTTGCGGCCTAACACTACAGGAACTATACACCAGTTGCCATCAGCTATGCTATCAGGAACTGAACTAGTTGGTATCAGGAACTACCCTACATAATCATGATAATTGGTGGCTAGCATGGCTTTTTGACCTTAGTACGTACACAGTACTTAATGATGTACACAAAGATTGTATCTGCTTATTAGGACACACACACACAATACACCACAATTAGCTGATGATGTAAAGTACATCTGACCAATACACCACAATTTGCTGATGATGTAAAGTACAGTAAAGCCTGAGACAGAAGAAATGTCTTTGAACAGTTTGTCTTTGTGCCAGTAAAATCAGGCTCCTCCCACCTTCTTCAGGCTCCTCCCACCTTCTTCAGGCTTGAAGTCACATATTAAACAATTCTATTAACAAGACACGTGCTTGAATTATAATCGTAAGTTTGCAATTGCATTTTACCACGTCAAACTGACCCTAGAATTTCTCACACACCTGCATAAAACTGCCTATATTAATTCACTGAATGTTGAACCAGTTACACGTGTGGTTGATAATGACACTTTTTTCTGACAGGCCAAAGGTTGTACCATGCAATCCAGCCATGTATGAATAAGGTCAATCGACATAGGCACATGATGATGAGCTACGGATTATGTCATCATCCATTTAGAGAAATTAAACTATCAATGAAATATGTCAATCTAGACCTGGTGTAGGTGGATGAGGTACATGTACATGTATATAAAATCTATATATAGATTTTATTATTCTGTCCATGGGCCGGATGGGCATCACTAGAAGTAGAATGTTTCTCTAGAGGGGAAAAGCAGTCATCAGTTGCACAGCAGGAAATCCCCACTGTGTAAAGTGTGTAGATTTTTTTTTAAAGGGGGAGGGGTGTTGCCGGAGAGGTGAGGTGGGGGTGGCACTTGGGGTACTCTTCGTGTGTCCCCTTCTCTTTTCCTCCCCACCCCGTAGATGCTCATCATGGTTACCTCAAAGAGTGCAGGAATTTGTAATATTAATATCAAAGCAGTCACAACTTGAATGTATAAATTCTTATCAATGTTCTTGGTTGAAGCTGGTCAACAATTCAAGGATGATTTCTGGAAAGACTTTGAAAAAATTTAAATTATGCAACAAACTGAACACAACCAACACACTGAAATAATGGAAAATGGGCATTCAAATTAATAACAAATAAACCACAGCGAAAAAAAAATATCACAGCTGGTTTTCCTGTTTCATTAAAATGAACTAAACCCAGGGGTGTGAGTGACCACTGATAAAAATAGCTGAAAACGGTGTAAAAAAGCTGAATTTTGGAAATCTCCTATACTTTTGTACTGTACACAGCAAGTGAGTGAAAAAAGCTGAAATCCAAAACAAAAAAAGCTGAAATCAGCTAAAAACCTGAGATTTCACACCCTTGTAAACCAGACATTCCAGTGCTGAACCATGGGTGCTGAACCATGGGTGCTGAACCATGGGTGCTGAACCATGGGTGCTGAACCATGGGTGCTGAACCATGGGTGCTGAACCATGGGTGCTGAACCATGGGTGCTGAACCATGGGTGCTGAACCATGGGTGCTGAACCATGGGTGCTGAACCATGGGTGCTGAACCATGGGTGCTGAACCATGGGTGCTGAACCATGGGTGCTGAACCATGGGTGCTGAACCATGGGTGCTGAACCATGGGTGCTGAACCATGGGTGCTGAACCATGGGTGCTGAACCATGGGTGCTGAACCATGGGTGCTGAACCATGGGTGCTGAACCATGGGTGCTGAACCATGGGTGCTGAACCATGGGTGCTGAACCATGGGTGCTGAACCATGGGTGCTGAACCATGGGTGCTGAACCATGGGTGCTGAACCATGGGTGCTGAACCATGGGTGCTGAACCATGGGTGCTGAACCATGGGTGAACCCTGGGTGAACAGGTCCCATTTTCAATGCTACCAATTACAGTTTTGGGGTGCATGTAACATTGATCCCTGAGTGATTGTGAAGTTATGGGCCCCTCTTTGGTTTCAGACCTAATACTCATAGTGTTTTTATCATTCCAAAATTATTTCTTTACCCTAAAACTATACTTCTGTCAACTCTACTGACCCTATGTTTTTTTGGGGGTGAACTGTATTTTTATAAAGTATACTAGTACATCTATATATATAAGAGACATCTATATATATAAGAGAGAAGTTTACTAGCCCCCGAGATGATGTTTGCTCCTGAAAGGATCCGAGACCGCAGTCTCCCGCGGCGCCAAAATCGCTCCACGTCCGTGGAAAAATGCGGAGGGTGTCTTCCGCCGGGTCGGACGCTTCGGGTCGTCCTAATTTTCCCGTACGGACCGGCGATCCGTTTCGTCGATTTTTCGTGACTGCATTTTGCACAGGAATTTGCCGTCGTGTGCGCTTTCACGTTGACTGCCTGGCCGCCCCGCCCCCCCCCCCCCCCTGCTGGCTTTTCTGCGTGTCTAGACTGTGCGAGGTCAGCGAGGTCAACGTAGGGGTTTCGTTTACGTGTTCTACTCGGCCGTTCTGCAAAAGTGTTCACCAAACGTTAGTATGGGGTGACCTTGGTAAAATATTTTTTGTCCACGGTGCGTGGCCACCAAGTGTCCCTATTCTTTCATATGCTTCGCTTGCCGCCCCTGCGCCGAGTGCAACGAATACTCAGAAGGACTACACATTAGTATGCCTAGCGTGGTCTGACCAATCGAAAGTCTACACTGCGTGGTACTTCCCGGCTATGCGTAAAACCGTCACTGGCAACGCGTACTGCAGCCTGCTCCACACCCTGGAAACGAGGTTGAGTCTACGGTGCTCGCTATTTGAAGCACAAGCATGTGACGTCGTGTGATAGAGTGCTGTTGCTTCCATAATGTGTTTACAGCTCCATGCTTCCACCACCAAGGCTGAGCATTGTGAGTTCGCTGCCCGCCACGTATAATTCAGTGTCGTGTAGTAATTTCGGGGGCCTGTTTGGGGTCAACGAAGGATCGATGCATTCACAAAAAAATCAACGAAAAAAATGAGTGTCCGACCTGGCGAAAGACACCCACATTTTTCCACGGACGTGGAGCCATTTTGGTGTCGCGGGAGACCGCAGTCTCAGATCCTTTCGGGAGTAAAACTTGCTCTTATATAGATAGTTGAACCAACTTAAAAAATAAAAGTTAAATCGACTTTTTCCTCGCAGACAGTCTCGCAAATTGTAAGAAGTTCAAGTTTACGTTTGTTGAACAGTCCAATACTGAAACTTAATTATGACCTTCCTCCATGATTCAGACCGTTTGTAATTTTATGGTAACACTCAACATTTTCATTTCAAATGACACCTTTACGTTTTATTGCATTATGATTTATTGTCAAAACTGTACAATCAGCCTTCGCCTGTGTACTACAGTAACCTTTTCACTGCGTTTTCCAAATGCGACTGCCTCACAAAATGCCAATTTAACAGACCAACGGGAACATTTACAGACAGTTGCCATGGTACATAATTATCATGTGCGTAAATCGACGGGGGTCAGGGGGACCCCCCCCCCCCCCCATTTTAAAGCGGGGGAATTGTTTGGTTTCCCCCCCCCCCACTTTTTCTTCCCCGAATCAAAATTGTAGCCTACAACAATAATTCTATTGCTCAGAATACATGTAGCTGATTCAATTACTCCAAACTTTAAAAGATGATCTTTTGCTGAAATTGGTTTTAGTGGTCAGAAATTGCCTCAGATCACACCACAGAAATTGCTTTTCTATAACTGCATGTCTCCTTAACTATATCCCCATTTACATTTTACTCCCCAAATTTTCATCCCCAACACTACGCCCTACCCGATCTATGATCGGGTAAATCAGCTTGTGTAATATACATGTAGTATACATGTAGTTTAGGTGAGTCCCAATAACCTGAAAGTGGAGTTTCGTTCTTCACTATCACCATTGCACAAATGCTGTAAGGTGATGAAGGTCACTCAAGTTGCAGCCATTGTATAACTTGAATATTTTCCCTACATGTAGGTACAAACATTTCCAATCTGCTTTCACTCAAAAGCTCATCATGCTCATCATGCAAATAAATATTGATTCTTCAAAATGTGTCATTTGTTCACAGTAACACTCAAAACGGAACATCAAATGTTTATTATAAACCAAATAAGTTCAAAACATACTTCAATTTTGAAATTATGCTAAACTTATGACAAATGTATGAAGCGGTAAAAATCTACCAAAATGTCCTGTGATTTAAAAAATGTACATATGTACATGTAGTATCCTACCACCACATTTTCACAGTACGCTAGTGGGTAAATATAACCTTAGTGATTTTCAGATGGCAAATAGACTAAGATAGTGTACAGATACCAAAACAATAAGGTACACACACAAAAACAGCCGAACTGGAAATGCCCGGTCAGATGTTGTAAAAAAACCACAGAATACAAAGACAAGAACGACATCAAAATCCGAAATGTTTTTGCTGTGACAACTGAAAAAGTGTTATATAAAGTATGTAATCGGCACATGGTTGATTTTCACACACCAAAAAAAATAATTCAATTCCATGCGTCTGATTTTACTTCTAAGATTATCAACAAAAATATATTATAAGATATGAGAACTTTGTGGATTTAATTCATTTACCTCAAATTTTCAATTATGATATAATTTTAAATATTTTGCATGTTGTGTCTACCAAAATCGAACGAAATTTATTTATTTCGTATTTAAACAAACATGTATTTTTAGGGCCTCTTTCTAGAATATAGTTTACACAACATAGTTTTAGCTCCAGCTCTATAGGCCTATGTCAAATTCCTGATGAGCATTGGCAGGTTATTGGAGCTGGAGTTACTCAAGCTAATCGCGATGCATGGTCGCCATCTATCTTTATTATCGTGTTGCATTTTGTCATTATATTTTTACCCTTCAAAAATTCAAAACCCAGCCCTCTATCTTTTTATGACATACCTGCACATTCTTAATGTCGCCAACTTGTTTGGTAAGCAAAATAAATTAAAACCTAAAACATTTGTAGATTTTGTATAGCATAGTAACCAGGCCCATAGTAGTATAGTCGTTTTCCTAGTCCCGGATTTTTCCGAGTTCCGGATCGCTTCAAATAAAAACCTACCTCTTTTGGATTAGTCTCCAATAATCAATTTTTTTCTGACAAAGTGCACTTTGAAAAGGAAAATGTAAGCTTCTTGATACACAAAGATCTTTTGGATAAAATCTTTTGAAAAAGGAATTTTGGCGAGATTTCTGACTCTCACTTTGACATGTTTGGACCATTTGTAGAAAATCACAGGAGCTGCGAATCGACGATAAATTTTCTCCTCGGTACATCACCTGACAGTGTGATTTTGAATATTTTGTTCATACACTACAGTCGTAAACTCTTCCATCGAATGTTTTTTGAATCAAAATAAGTTGTAGAGTCTCTAATATTTGAAAATTTGCCAACGAATGACCGTGTGTTTTGCCTAGTTCCGGATAGGGAGTGCACTTACGACCTAACTGCACGCGCGTTAATCAATTTTGTGTGACGCATTCTGTGCTGGGTCAAAGATCTTCGGTCCGTGCGTGAGTTCCTGCCATTGCGCTGCAGACAAAAGTTTCAAAATCATTTACGTTTTTTCTCTGTTTTAAATTTCCTGGAATTATCTTGAATGAACTTTTTTTGAAAATTTAATTTTGTTTTTTCGCGCGCAGCAGTTTTTGATCGATTAGGAACTACTGGATTGAACCGATCCGGAACTAGGAAAAGTGACATCGGTACTTAATTTGACGTCGCAAAGTCAAAATGAAAAGAGCTTAAATTTGGACAATTATTTTGTAGTATCTCCATCACTCAAGGTAAACTTTTTAACCAACGTCACTTGAATTCGAGGAGTAGTTGAGCCGAATGATGCCTGAATGATGTTTGCTATCCGGAACTACCGGTAGGAAAACGACCGTAGTGTAGTGCACGATCACTTAGCCCAGGTTGGACGACATCTTCATTGCATTACGACTGACGTCCAGGGTATTAATTCTAGTACTACCATAGCTAAAAAATTATAAAACATTTTTTTCATATTTTTACCTGATGGTGGAAGCTGAAATTTCCTTTACATATCCCTTGTGTCCAGAATTGTGCATACGCTGGGTTCAGAAAAAGCAAATATGTCCGTGGACGGCGTGTTTACCAAAAATAAACCGCAAGTTCTACGTTTTTGTTAAAAACATTTTCAGTACGAACTCCCCGCGTGAAGACTAGACGTACACGCACGTGCTGTTTGCTACCGTGGCGGCAGCATGCTAGGTGTGCATGCACGCAACCGCGTAATCTTCACGCGGGGAGTTCGTACTGAAAATGTTTCCGAGGAATACCCCTAGAACTATCAACGCGAACATGCTGTATACTCTACAAATAATATGGAAGAGAGTTTTGATGCGGCAGCTGTATATTTGTACCACAAGACTATGCCCAGTACTTCTTGACATACATGTACTCACGTTCTGTTCGCTTAAAGTGTAAGGGTTGAATCAATCCCGATGGTACAAGAGGAGTGCCCGATCCGGACATGAGGAGTGCCCAGAGCGTCAGTGCAGTGCAGCGTTTATCAAGTGGCCTCGTGATTGGCCCATCTGACACTGCCAGCGATATGCACTATTAAGATGGTGTCTGAGGTCGGTTCTCAGACCAAAAGACTCCGACGTCACGCCAACAATGCTTCGCGAGCACATTAAAACGTTAACACTCAAGCTGTAGCTTTGGTACGGAAAGGGGACTGTTTTCATCATTTTTTTGCACCATCGGGATCGATTCAACCCTTACACTTTAAGAGAACAGAATGTGAGTATATCAAGAAGGACTGGCATAGTCTTGTGGTACAAATATACAGCAGCCGCTCCAAAACTCACTTCCACACTATTCGTAGCTCTAGTATACAGCATGTACGCCTTGATATGCCTACCTATGGGTATTACATGTAGTTCTAGGGGTATCCGAGGAAAGTGTGGAATTGCGGTTTATTTTCGTTAAACATGCCGCCCGCGGACATATTTGCCTTTTCTAAACGGTAAACCCAGCGTGTGCACAATTCTGGACACAAGCATGACAAGGAATATATAAACGAAAATTCAGCTTCTGGTAATCCTTACCTTTAGGACCCCGTTCCTATATAAGGTTAAAAGACTCAACAAAACAGCTGACTAAATGACACTCAAAAGTGACATTCTGATATTTCTTGACACATTTAAACAGTTGGCAATGACACCTTTTTGAATATCACATATCAGCAGGTTTAATTTTGTAGAAAGAGGGCAGGGCATTGATTTATGAGGGGTTCAAGACGACGATGACCAACAAAAAATATTATTAAAAAAGCAAGATGGCAAACTGCAAAAAAAGGTAGGAAAGTCACATTTTCTTTGAAAGTGCTTTCAAAATTACAACTAGGCTAGGCCTAACATGAGTTTATCTGATTCTAAGAAAAAAGACTGCTTTACTAGCCTGCAAAAGTCACTTTGGTACTGCACAGTCATCTGCAAAAGTCAGTTTTTAACAGAACTCGTAAAAATAGAGGTGTCCTAAAGATAAGGATTACCTCAGCTTCCTCCATCAGGTAAAAATATAAAAAAAATGTTTCAGAATTTTTTTGCGCTATAGGTGGCATTGGCATGCGGCATGCATAGCACGGTATCCGGTCACTTCGGCACCTTGCCAACTCGGCACCTGCCAACTCGGCACCTTGGCAACTCGGCACCCACCAACTCGACACCTTGCCAACTCGGCACCCACCAACTCGACACCTGTACAAAAACCAACTCGGCACCTAGCCGACTCTGCACCTGACCAACTCGGCACCTCCCCTTGTGCAAAATTCGTAATGTTTCCCAGTACTCAGTACGCAAATTACTGATTTTCATTGAGTTGGTAAATACGCTGTTAGGCCAAAAAAAAAAAATATTCGGTCTCTGGTCAGACCAAAGTTCCGGAATTGACGCGGCCACGCGGTTTTTTTTTTTTGGCTTTTTTTTTTCTTCAAACTTGTATTGTACAGACAAGGTGGGTACTATTTTGCTTTTTTGGTGTCCTCATGTACATTGGTGTCCTCCATAATTTGCCTTGGTGCTTTCGATCATTTGCCTTGGTGCAATTTCCCATTCCTTGGTGCTCTTTGGTAAAAAAAATTGAGGTGCGGAAATAGAGGGCGCTGTTTGAGCTACCGCGGAACATTTTGGAGAAAAAAAAGATCGACGTGCATGATTAAAATCGATGCGCGCGCTGACCAGAGACCGACTTATTTTTTTTTTTGGCCATATACTAATAGCCTATTGTATTTATAATGGAACTGGCGATATCAGAATGCAACGTTCGTTTCCAGTTCCTCCGATATTTTGAGTACGGGTAGCAAGCACTGTACGCCCAGCGCTGGCCGTCACCGGTCAACGCTTGTCCTTCCAAGTCCACGGCAATGGTGCACTGCGCCTGGCCTGGCCGCACATCCCCACTCCGGCCATCGCCACAGTGCACGGCCGCGACGGTGCCGCGCCTGGCCGCACATCCCCACCGGCCATCGCCTCGGTGCACGGCCGCGACGGTGCCCGTCTGGCAACACAGGCCCTCCGGCCATCGCCACGGGGCACGGCCGGTGACAAGTGCCACGCCTGGCCGAACAGCGCCACCGGTTCCAGCGCCCCCAACCCCCTCCTCCCCCCCCCCCCCCCCCCCCCCGCCTCCCCCCCCCCAAAAAATTAATAAATGAAAATAAATAAGTCTATAAGGCGAAGTAAAAAAAAAAACATGTTTAGCGTCCCCGCCCGCTTCCTTTTTAGAGGCCGCCTCCTTTTTTTTTTTTTTTTTTTTTTTTTTGTTTAGACAAAAATTGATAAATTTTAACGATCTCTGACGAAAGAAAATCATATTTTTAGACTTTTATATCGTGTATAAAGCTGTGGAAATAGTCAATGAGTCCAAGTGGCGGCCATTTTGAAAAAAGCTGGTAACCATCTTGAAAAATAGCCCGGCCGCGTTGTCTTGAAAAATGTGTCTGGCGGCCATTTTGAAAAGAAAAAAAAAAAAAAAAAAGGGCCTCCTCCTTCCTTTTTGTCAAAGTCGAGGCAGGACGCTAAACATGTTTTTTTTTTTATTTTGCCTAATCGTGATGGGGTATGGGTTGTGAATAACGGCAAAACAGCATTTTGCTCTCGGGTGACAGGTGCCGAATTGGTCAGGTGCCAAGTTAGTCAAGTGCCGAGTTGGAAGTTGTGAGAAAGAGGCAAAATTCGGGTGCCGAGTTGGCCAGGTGCCGAGTTGGCTAGGTGCCGACAAGGTGCCGAGTTGGCAAAGTGCCGAGTTGGCAAGGTGCCGAGTTGGCAGGTGCCTAGTTGGCTAGGTGCCGAAGTGACCGACATTCCATAGCACCGGTAGTCTCCGTTGCATGCATGTACACAACGGAGGCCAACCTGGGCAACGAACGATCATCGACGATCGCCTGAATGTCTGGCCGTTGTTTGGGATCCATGTTTGGACGATACACATAAGACTGATTGGTTATTGGCTTTAATCTTAAAAAACAGAAGATGTATACTCACTTGTTCTTTGATTTCCTTAACAGCACCAGAACAGAAAGTAACCAAAACAAGCTGCAGTTTACGTGGCTGAGCTCAGCTGACCAAACGCCATTTTTCTTCCAACAGCAAAAAGTGAACAGCGCCCTCTGACATGTCTGACAATTTGAGGTGCACGTGCAACAAGAATAAAATGGCAGCGCCCTGTGGTGTGTCATCATGTCATGTGTGTGGCATGGTAGCGAGTCAACACAACATAATTATTTGACATGCACTGTTTCTGTCGCATCATAACTGGTCTATTTCAAGCTGAACTATGATGGTAGACTTTCTCAAGGACGTTAAAAGCATTTGTTCTTCTGGTCATGTGCTATGAGTATGAATGATGATAATTGTTTGTTTACATTTTGACCAGGACCACGTGGATGACCGTTTCTTCTTCAGAGTTAATCAGACTGTACAATGAATGTACTTGTCCATAGAGCAGGAAACCTTGCTCTATGACTTGTCTCACACCGCACGAATATGACTAGTTGGCCCATGTTTGGTCGTAGCAATCTTCGTCCAAGAAAAGTATTCAGTAGTCGCTAAAGATGGCGGACTTGCGAATATTTTCAATCTCACTACTTTGCTTTTTATCCGCCTCAATTATTGCATGGGTGTACCACAATCATGATTTATATGTGCTGTTCAGAATGCCAGAAACAGAGGATAAAATGAGTCATGAGATTGTGATTGGCGTATTATCGGCAAGAGAGAACACCGCTCAACGCCAGGCAATCAGAGACACGTGGGGACAGTACATTCGAGATCATTCCAAGCTGAGAGGCAAGATGTTAGCGAGATTCATCATCGGAAACCGAGGTTGTGAAATACCTCACGAGTTCCGGGAAGATCAGTACTCATGCCAGTCCATGTTATTGAAGACAAAAAATGTGAATCTGGAGAAAGAAATGGTTGCTTTTGACTTTCAGATGCCATTGAGTAAAAACTATGGAAGACGAACCAGTTCAGGAGAATACTACGGCATTGACTTCAAAGTTAATTATGCTGTGATTGTGAAGAAACTTGGTGTTTATGCTGCTGGATCATTGGAACAACAGTGCAGTGTGACATTATATGATACCTGGAGCCAAGAACCCGTCATCAGTGCAACATTTCCACCAGGGGACCCAAGCGAACTGCAAGATGGCTACAGATATAGAAATGTGGAAACATATCTCTTTCCCAAAGACTTTGAGGGCACTATTGTCGTTGGACCTCTTAGTGAGGACATACAGCTGTCAACAATCAGCCAAAATGGAAGGCAAATTCACAACACTCATAGGATTTTATCCATAAGATCGTTTTTACGGACTTGCAAGACGGCAACATTCCCAAATGAAATTGGACTTTTTAACCTGCCTTTCCTGCCAGGAAACTTTATTTTTGAAATTTATAAACCAGAGGAGGTGGAAGGAATGCTGAATTCTAGTGCTGCCTTGGTGCAATCGCAGATTGAAGTGAATCGTCAGGAATCACAAGCTCTTAAAGACGAACAACAGCATCACAATGATCTGCTCCTTGTGGATGCAGTTGATATTTACAGGAACATCCCACACAAACTACTTCATTTTTTTCATTGGGTGACAAGCACCACAGAAGCGAATTTCATCATTAAAACAGACGATGACTGTTTCATGAACGTTAATGCAATCATGGAAATGATTCAAGATGGACAGGTTGCTGCAAACAGTCGCACATGGTGGGGCAACTTCCGTACAAACTGGCCTCTGGATGTATTAGGTAAATGGGCAGAGCATGACTATCCATCCCCAGTCTACCCTGCATTTGCCTGCGGTTCAGGCAATTTATTGACTCGGGATTTAGTGCAGTGGATTGCACAGAACTCCCAGTTTCTTCACACTTATCAAGGGGAGGACGTGTCTATGGGTATATGGCTGGCCTCCATTCTACCCACCTATCTGAATGACAGGAGGTGGCAGTGTGATGACGAGTGTCAAGAGGATGCTTTGGTTTTGCCAGAACAGTCCCCTCAACAGCTCCGAGTTTCCTGGCAGAATTGGATCCGCTGCCAAAATCCATGCAGTTGTGACTGGTTGAACAAACATCCGAGGTCATGTTCTGAATGAAAAGCTGCAAACTTTATGGCAAGCAAGTGTTTGATTTGGGCACAAAATTAAAAACATGAATTTCTGTTGAAGCATCCAGCTAACCTTTCCCTGCAAAAATGCAGTGCATAAGGGTGAATATTTAAAATACTTTAACCCTTACCCTACTAGACCCTCCAACGCATGCCAATATGTGCCTCAAGAAAATCTCCTATGTTTTTTGCATGGCCCTCCAATATCTGCCATGTCATTTCAAGGGTAACTGGACAGGCACTCCAATACATGCCACAGAGAACAATGAGAGTCCTCTGATAACAAAGTGAGTGCCCCCAGCTGGTCAGTATCAGGCACCCTCCAGGGCCTTCAACTCCTGCCAATTGGAGCCTTCACTGTTAAGACAAACTATCTGCCAATAAACTGCAGCTGGAGGGCATTGGCATAACCAACTGACATGCAGTAAACTACCCTCAGGGAGTAAGGGTTAATCAACTGAAAGCATTTCAGTAAAGCAAATTAAGATAATAAATGAGTCTAAAGAAAATGCATGTCATTTCTTGTGTAATGTTTTATTAAACTCTTCCAAAGTACATGAATGTGAAATCAGTGAAACAGAAATGATTACTTCTAGGATCCAAAATAAAAATGTCGTGAATTCTTAATCAGTGTTTTCCTAACCACATCTCACAAGCATAAAATGGGGGGGACGGGAGTCTGCAAAAATTAGAGGGTGTCACGTAGTGTACCCTAATTCACTGGTTCACGTAATGCTGTTCACCAGAATGCTCATTTTTTTCCAGTTTTACACCACCGAGGGAAAATGTGCAATGTACATGCATCCACCTTTACCAGTTTATAGGCCCCTTCACACTAAATTTGTACCATCTTGCCTACCCATGTTGAAATCAACATGGGTCTACCGTAAGCGTAACAGGGTCCCATCGAACAGGGGTAGGCAATGCATACCATTCACACTACACTGGTGTGCACAGCTCAGCTGTATATTTGGATTATCTACCTGGGTAGGGCCTCTCATCCCTGGTCAAGACCTGGATTGGATTTTACCTGTGTACTACATGTATGCTGACATGTGTAGAACTACTTGGTAGTGCGAAAGAGGTTCCTGAAATGTCCATGTTGGACCAAAGTCCAACAGGGAGATTTTGGGTAGCGTGAAAGGCCTGTTGATTCAACAGGGCTACATGTACAACATTACATGCTTAGAACTGAACCACTTTGAATTCATCAAAACCAACTCCCAGGGCAAGTTGATGGACTGGGGACTCTATGGGCTCTGTGCACGAACAAGAGAGGGTGCTTTTTGACCACATTGGAGAGCCCCATGGACGAGACATGCCATTCGTACATATAGTGCGAAGTGCAATGACTTAATTTATTCTAAATGTCCATGAAGTGATAACGTCTTCGCTTGAGTATCCAGCATCGTCAGCAATGCGTTTGAATGTCTCTCCCAGTGGTCTCCCCCAACTTTCCCTTTCTTACTGTTGAAGGGGTACATGTGCACGGAGCCCATATAGCATAGCTTCTTATATCTTGATGGGGTTGGATGTCCGATTCTGTTAAAACAAAGGATATGCAGTAGCACAGCACAATAGAAGGACACTACTTTCGCGTCACTTCTGGTTTCCCATGGTCACCGCCATTGTTGGCGTGGTGAAAACATTCACAAGGGGAATGCGGGGGCGCGCGAGGTGTAAAAGCTACATTTGCAAGCATTTGTTTTCACCTCGCACTGACCCAAGGTCATGCAAAGTCGCATCTGCCTATAGCAGATGCGTGAAAATTCAGGGTGGTTCCTAGAAAAGGAGTCTTGAATAGGAATGTTTCATAACATTAGGTTCATGAAGAAATGGCAGCTCACATATACACCAATGTTCACCTATTGCCCAACAATGAACAAAAACGTCATGACCAGCCATTTGTAGAAAGGTACCATTTCCTCTTGAATACTGTCTGTCGCATACACAAAATCAGGAGACGGTACGACAAGTTTATATGCAATGTCTCAAGGTTGCTGAGGTCTGTTTGTTGCTGGCTTCATTCGTCGCTGCCCTCCCCGTCCAGAGTGTCTACCTCTTCCTCTTACATTCTGTCTATCTCCAAATCCAATCATGCCCAACTGTTCCTTCATTGCTTCCACTATATTAACATCATCGGGAATCTGAACATAGCGTATTTGCGGTCCTTGTACAAACAAGCTGTCCAGTTTGGAGTTGGTTCCATTTTGTGTTGTGAACGTGACAGCAGTCATTTGAACATTCATGAATCCGTCGACGTGGACAATGCGTCCCTCCGCGTAGCTCTCATTACGCAGCTCGACTGTCGTTACTCTTCCTTCCAGAGCTCTCAGTAGGCAAATCAAAGAGTTCCCTGCTTTAACCTTTTCTCTGATTGACATCATGATGGCGCTGGGTTGACGTGGCTGAAATTAAAGTGGTAAATCAAGAAAATAAGTCGATGAAAGGAATAATGACATTTAACACTGACGCATTGCGGTAATCATGCAGTTTAGGACATCCCTACATGTATGTTTACTTACAAGTTCCGTTAATGAAGCAACATTGACTGACCTACATTGTGATGAATTATGAAGAAAAAAGTGGCGTCATTCTTTCCGCCAAATGTTTACACGTAGGTATTATTAGTCCCAAATCAAAATCAAAGTCCCAAATCATAAAAAGTGTCCTTTCCTTCTTACAATGTAAGAAGGAAAAGACACTTTTTATGACATGGGAACGGGGTCCTAAACTACACGATTACCAAAACATCATACACCATTGAGACACAATCAATTGTGAATTTTCAGGCATAAATAATGAACTAAAAAATTGTAATACTAATAGTAATAGGCCTAGTCGGAAGAGAGTCCAGTGACTGGCCATCCATGCTAGTCCGAGTAACTTGGACCCAACTTATCGCCTTTTTAACATTCGGACATGGTCGCCAGACATCCATGCCTGGTTCTGGCCAACAGTCATTGACAGTGGGGAGTAGCTGGCTGGTATATTTATATATTGTTGATGTACCCTAACGTGGCGCGGCCCCTAACGTGGCGCACTTTGATTTTTCGCCTGTAGCGCCTAGCTAGAGTAAAAGTTTTAACTGAAATTTCACAGAAAGTGAAATTTCACCAAGTTATAAACACTCCCGTTCATAAATCGCGAGTTTATTTACACACTACAAAGTTAAAAGAAAAATTTATTTTGGCGTGATTTTCCGATTTTATTTTCAAGTGCAAAGTGAACCCTTTGAAAATGCCCCGAAAAATCAAAAAAAAAAATTTCTGACAAACATCTGGCTGGGTATGTAAGTAGAGATAATAATGATTTATCAGAATTTATCAAGTTTACAGAAATTCTTAAGTGTTAATTTGGAATTTTCCGAGATTTATTTAAGTGCGCCACGTTAGGGAACACTCCGCCAATTTGTGCCCAATTTCCGGACGCCACCGGTTTTTAATTTCGGCTTAAATTTTATGAAACCGAAATTGTTTACAGAGGTTAAATAGCAAGCATTAATAAGGTGAAAGTACCAGTATTTCACTGCATGAATTTGAGGTTTGTCAACAAAGAGGTTTGGCAATGTTGTGCCCATTCTTGAAAATCACGCATTCTCGAGAATGGGCATGCACATTCTTGAGAATGTGCAACTGGATCCTTGCTCAATCTTGGCAAAAAATAACTCTTCCAGATTGAGCGCACATTCTCGAGAATGCGCGACAAGATAACGGTCTTGTCGATGCCGAGCACCGGCTGCGCTTGGCAAGTCTAGCTGAATCCTCGTTCACTGATTCTCAATAATTATACTGTTGCAACGCAAGGCGCTGAAAAGTAGAGTGGATATGATAAGTAAAGGCGTATTAATATGGGGGGGGGGCCGGGAAAATATAAGAGACATAATAATACTAGTGCAAAGAATTCTGATTTTTGGGATAATAAAAGCGGGGGGGGGGGGAACGTAAGAATGAAGAATGTGAAGAATGAGAATGAATACTGCGACATCCCATAGTGCTAATGCTATTTCCCATTTAAATTGCCACCAATTTATTGTTCACATCCCACCATAACGTCGCAGAGCTGGATTCTATCTAGTCAAAAGAGCAATTTTGGCAGCTTCTGGACATCGTTTTTTTTCGTGGCACGCATATGATACATGCAGGGACTTGTAACTTGTCTAGCCTAAACAAAGCACTTCCCAGACTAGTTCCCAGTCCTCCGTTATTACAAAACTTCCCATAGTGGGCAGAAAAAAAGCAATAATAACAGGTTTAATTTGATTCAAATTTTCGTAGTTATACGAGTACAGAAGCATAGCACATTTTCTTTCCTCTTTATATGAATTGTTTCCCTTTTAACCGCTATACAATTCATTTAACATAATTATGTCGTGCAATGTTTGTTAAGATTGGGCAAAATTCATAAATTGTGCACGTGATATTCCCACCCAATCTTAAGAATGAGCGCTCATTCTTAAGAACGCGTGCTCGTTCTTAAGAATGGGCGCTCATTCTTTAGAATGCGCGCCCATTCTCGAGAATGTGCATGCCCATTCTCGAGAATGCGTGATTTTCAAGAATGGGCACAACAGCAACACTACACGAGGAAAGTTGGGTAAGCTTCGAAGTGCGCCACGTTAGGCATGTTAGGGAACACAACTATACTGGCACATGACTGGGCCCCCAAGTCAAATCTAAGTTACAGAAATATATTTTACCGTACAAACTCTTGAATACACAAGCCATGACACAATAATCAAGCCCTTACCGAACCAACAAGTATGTGAGAGAGACAATCAATTATTGGTTTAATTATTCACTTCACTCCATAGCGCTCCGTTCTTTTGATTAACCCGCGCAAAAAGTCTGCTTATGTCGAATGTCGAATCTGGGCCTTGTGTTGTAATCGGCCGACGAGCCTGGTCTAGAAGTGTCGGACTCGTTCCCGACTGCATCGTCCAATTTGTACACAAAACTTAACTGTACGTCGGTTATTATGTAGTGGGTACGGGTACGGAAGGGGAAAATATTTTGTACCGACTGTACTTGGAGAAAGAAAGCCAAATTGCGAAAACTACGATGAAAGTTCACTCTCACTCGGTTCTACTTCTACTTTAGCAAGGAAAAATTTGTAAATTGATGATATTTCAGGAGTAAAGACGAGGCAGACAATGTCATTCCTTTGTGGGCCGATGAGATTGAGAACCAAAAAGAGAAGAGGTAAGAATTTTCAACGTAATAAATCGGATTCAAAAGGTGTTCATTTCTGTGTTCGTGCGTTTTTTGTTTGCTCAACGAAGGAAACAGACCGATGTTCACCTTGGTTTCGATCCAACTCGGACCCAAACCAACTCGGACCCAAGCCAACTCGGACCCATGCTAACTCGGACCCACTACCAACTCGGACCCATGCCAACTCGGACCCACTACCAACTCGGACCCACGACCAACTCGGACCCACTACCAACTCGGACCCACAACCAACTCGGACCCACTACAAACTCGGACCCATGCATGACCAACTCGGACCCATCGTTTTCAATCATTCGACATCGTTTTCCATCATTCATTTCATAAAGTTTGTCCACTTCTCATCTGTTATTACAGTGATGCTGTTTAGTATAAATTTTCATTGTAACTGTAAGGAAAATTATCTCATATCTGTATTGCAGCAGTATAACATTTTTGTAAAGCGCATTGAAATGCTATTTTGAAATGCGCTTTAAAAGTGTAATTAATTATTTATTATTTTTATTTGTTTCCATTAAAACATATTGCGCTTTAAAAGTTTAACCAATTATTTATTTTCATTAAAACATATTAATTGACATCGTTCACACCATCTTGCTAAATTTAACAGCAATTTATTTCGTTTTAATCCAAACTTCAACGTAACGAGTATACAAATTAAGAACAGGGCTGATCTTCATAGAAAAATATAATTGAAAAATATGGCATTAAAACATAAACACTTTCAAACATAACATTTTTAACTCAATAAATATAAGTAAACATTATAAGTCAATAAATAAAATAAATAAGATATAAAAACGAAGTCTATTCTAATCTATATTTTAAAAGAAACGCATAAACACCATTGCATACACTGCAAGAAAAACGAAGGTTCCATATTAAACAAAAAGTTAAATCAAAAAAAGTATAAAAAGTTAATCGGATTCGTAAAAAACACCACAAAATTCAAAGCCAGCATGTGAATTAAAAAATGATCAAGTTTAATCCCCTACAAATAGATGCAATGTCAATCATCAAAAAGGAGTATTGGAGCTCTGGGAAGATTATCCTGCAAGGCCTTACAGGTAGCTGCCTGTATGTTCCACTATGATGTTCCAAGGGGAAAAAAGTTAAATCAAAAAATTATTAAAAGTTAAACAGATTCATAAAAAAATCCCACAAAATTCAAAGCCAGCATGTGAATTAAAAAAGCCAAACAATTACATGAAATGAAAGGCCTAAATAGTTATTTCAAATTAATAACTTCCTCACTAAAGCAAAATGTGCCACTTAAAACCACTTGTTACACGACACAAAGGCCTGCAAAAACAAACAAGTAATTTATTTTTTACTGAAAATTATAATCCTTTGAATTTTGTTTAGAAAAGAAAATCGAGATTTTGAAAAAGCACGTATATATCAAGTTGTACAAATGACATACGATATGCCTAACCTATACTATACGCTATTAATACCTCTTGGTTTAGCTTCACAGGTCACGGTTTCAAAAAGCTAAGCACGTTTATAATTTCATGACGTTCAAAACGATAAACGTTTAGCATCAGTATTTACTACAAAATAGCGCTCCACACAGCAGCAATACAAGAAAACAAAACTAAAAGCCCCATTCTGCCCAATGTATTTTTTACAGAATATCTTCACTATAATTATAAGCACTAACATTAAGATTACCTATAAATATAATCTCTGAAACTAATGATTGAGTCATTGTTGGGTCCGAGTTGGTCGTTCTTGGGTCCGAGTTGGTAGTGGGTCCGAGTTGGTCGTGGGTCCGAGTTGGTCGTGGGTCCGAGTTGGTTGTGGATCCGAGATGGTAGTGGGTCCGAGTTGGTAGTGGGTCCGAGTTGGCGTGGGTCCGAGTTGGCATGGGTCCGACTTGGCATGGGTCCGACTTGGCATGGGTCCGACTTGGTTTGGGTCCGAGTTGACCTGATACCTTCACCTTTCCGCTAAGTAAGTGTAAGTAATGCACATTTTGACTGCCCATGATTTATTATGGGTAATCCTTACCTTTGCTTAAAGGGAATATACATCATTTGCTTCTGCTGTAATTTTCAGAAATGGATGGAATTGGGGGGTTGGAAATATAAAGCAAATATAGTTACACTGACTTTTTGGAGGTTTTGGGTTCGAAAATGCTATAAAAACCAAGAAAAACGATCATTTTCCTGTAGTCGGGTTCCCTGACTCCATATAAGAAGAAACAGAGCAGTTTACATACATTGGGGAATTGTAAGGTCAGGGAACCAGTCTAGCTGGCTCGTACCCGTTCATAGGTTTGTAATCGATTGCAAACAAGTGCCATGGTCAATTGGGGCCAGTATTTGAAAAAAAAGCCAGTTTTTTCCAACGCTGATCGGCCGATCAGCGTTGGAAATTGATACAAAAATACCACTTTTCTTGAAAATGACAGTATACCAGGCACCATAATTTTACAGGATGCTTTAGACTGTCATTTACCAACATCCTATTAAGGTATTTCGCAAAAACTTGGTAGTTTTATTTTTCGATGTTTGCAAATGTTGTATATTCCCTTTAAGGACCCTGTTCATTCCTATATCAGACTCACAAAACAGCTGACTAATAAATTATTAAATGACACTCAAAAGTGACATTCTGATATTTCTTGACACGTGAACAGTTGGCAATGTAATGACACCTTCTTGAATATCAACAGGTTTAATTTTGTGGAAAGAGGGCAGGGCTTTCTGTTTTATGAGGAAAATTAAGGGTAAAAGATGACGATGACAAACATAAAATAGACTAAAAAAGCAAGATCGATGGCGAACTGCTAAAAAATGTAGGAAAGTCACATTTTCTTTGAAAGTGCTTTCAAAATAACTAACATGAGTTTATCTGAAGAAAAAAAACTGCTTTAGGCTAGCTGGAGTTACCCAGCCCTGAGTTTTATCATTGGGTTGTCATCTAGGGCTGGAGCGAGTTTTTCTCGTAACTTGTAAAGTTGTAGTATAGGCAAAAAATTTTGGAAAATGTTCAATTTTGTCCCCGTTACACACTAATTGCAACTGCAACTCACCCCAAACTTGCCTGGAATAACCATTACACAGGTCCTTGAAGTAAAAAACGATCCACGATGAAGATTCAGCCTACAATTGCAGTGAAAACAGGAGGAATAACCGCTAACCTGACAACCTTTCAGGCATGGCCAGGACTGCAATTGGTTTGTGCACAAAAAAAATTGTGTACAATGAATGGCGGTCGAATAACAGGCACAGAGAGCGATCGCTGTCAACTACTCGTCTTTGCCGGCTGCGCTGGCTGTTGACGCATGACGTCACGCGGAAGCGCAACACCCGATGACTGTTTCATGCACTAATATAAGGTTTACCACTCGCATCACAGCTTTGGTACTGGAACCGCAACCAATGCCCTTTTATCTATGAGTTTCTGTATGTTCTTAATGTCGCCAACTAGTTTGGTAGGTCAAATAATTTAAAAGTGGATTTTGTTCCCTTATAGGAACCGGGCCCGTAGATACACGATCGCTGAAGTAACCAGTTTCTTGTCCCCGCCCGCTCCTTTTTTGACGGCTGCCGCCTTTCTTATTTTTTTTTTCTAAGTTTTTGTTTAAATCATAGGTCTGCGGCTACGTTTGCAAATATATTACTAGGCCTGCGTCTTTATAGGGCTTATACTTTTTTATTTGTATCCAACAAATTGTAGCTGTAGCTAGGTGTAGAAAGGGTTAGGCTGTGACTCCTTTGAATGCAATTTTGTATCAGCGAAACTGTCGAGAAAATTTAAGAATCCATTGGTCAACTTTTTGAAAATCCATCATCTTAGGGGGAAAAAAGCTGGACAAGAAATTATTTCTGTATTTTACTCGGCCTGATCTTAAGTTTGTTAGCCTAATGTGCCTAACAAATGTCCGAAGAAAAACCGAAAACCACTACTTTTTAATTGAAAGCAGAAATATATCTATTTTTTTTTACCTTAGTCCGAGTAACTAGGTGTATATGTCGCCAGGAAAACCCAGCTCTTAGGCTCATGAGCTGGGTTTTCCAAGCTAGACCATGACCAAATGTTAAAATAGTTGATTACATTTATTTTGTAGAATCCTAGTTTAATATTTGGACTAGGGAAGTATTTAAGTTTATATTCCTCCATGATTCCATTCCAGGAGATAGTGAATCGTTACTCCATGATGACAACGTACTCACCGCTGCCAAGATTCCCAACGATCCTGCCTCGCAGATGACAGTTCTTTATGACTTCATCAGCTGTCTGAAGGATGAATTAAGTGTCAATAAAGGGCAGACTGTGGATATCTTAGATGTGGATAGAAAGTGGGCCTATGTGGCATCAGGCAGTGGCCGGGGCTTCGTACCCTTGTCATGTCTGGGACCTTCTTCAGCACCTAAGAGATCTGATTCCAGCACTATCGGCAAACCTCACACAGAACATGAAGATAGCCCAAGTCGGACGGGTACTGAAAGTGTGTTTGTGAGAGACCCCAACGGTCAGTATGTAGTGCTGTATGACTTCACTGCCCAGGATGAGAATGACTTGTCTGTAGTCAGTGGTGACTGTGTCATGTTACTGAATGAAGATGATCCTGATTGGACATGGGTACAGAAGAGCGACGGAGCCGAAGGCTTCGTGCCCAGAGCCTACTTATACTCCGACAGTATCCCAACAGATAATGTATCAGTGTCATTGTCTGTGCAAGACTCGTTGCCATCATCAGAAGCACATCTTCACAAACTACAGCTGTGTGGAACAGAGTTAATGTCGCTGTATGATTATCAGGTACATTTGTATGTCGCTTCATATTACTGTCATCCTCGACCTATAAAGGCACATACCAAGTTAATAGAAAAAAAACTTGCTGAAGGGGAATAGGACTGGGCCCAAATACATGTACCTTGTGAAAATAGTTTGCCAGAAATAGTTTCGATTGAATGAAAACAATCATTGACTGTGTAAATAAGTGTGTTGCGGGGATATTGCGTTCATCAGCAACATAAATCCAGTTACGAGACCTCCAAAATTGTGCATGCGTTTTCTCTGTTTCCTCATAATGCACGGTAGCCATTGAGCTAAAACTTCTACAGGTTAGTTGTCATGCACCCCACTTAAGATTTTGAGCAGTTTGTTTTCCTCAACTGAAAAAAAAATGATCAAATACATGTAGCAAATGAATTGAGGCTGTCAATCTTGTGGTTTTTGAGAGATGTTATATCAGGGTATATAAAGAAGTCACTTTTAATGGATGGCTTGATGGAAGTACATGTATCTTGGTGTTTGTATGACAGCAGTTTCTTTGAATTTGTTTGTTTTTTGACAGGGTCGCATTGCAGATGACCTGACTGTTGTGAGGGGAGATTTACTGTACGCCGATATGACCAATCAAACACACGATGAATGGATATGGGCTTACTGTCCCAGAACACAGACGTGTGGCTTTATACCAAAGGGCTATGCAAGACCACCGGCCATCGAATAGAACAATTGTTTCATACTGTACTTATCTGGATAATAATAGTGGGTATTTATAAAGCGCACGTATCTACCAGGACTGGTGCTCAAGGCGCTTCATCAATATTACCCCTGCTCATTGGGCCCATGAAACATTCCAAATACTATCTCAGCTCACTTGGGAGTATACAGCTCGATGCAGCCTGTTCAGTGCAAGGAAGCTAATTCAATCACAATAACCATCTCTGCCCTCACAGGTACCCATTAACTCCTGGGTGGAGAAAAGCAATGAGTGACAAAGTGCCCTGCCCAAGGGCACACGCACCATAACCCCAGGGTGGACTCGAACCCACAACCTGCAGCTTTACCCCCGGATCACAAATCCAATGCCCTTAACCACAAGGCCACAGCACTGGATAGAATGGATTGCTTAACAAAATACCACAGCCAAAGATCTGTTCCACCTCAACTTTAGCATCATGCCATCCACAACAGTTTGGGTGGTCCTAACTGTAGTTGGGGCCATTACGTACCTATAACAGTAACTCAATTAGCCTATTTTAGGTATGTCGGACAAAATAGGAGTGTGCTTTTTGGTTTGGGTAAATACAAAAGACTTTACCCAATTACAAAAGACTTCACCGAAATCAAACAGCGCCTTCCTATTATGTCTGTCACATCTCAAATAGGCTAATAATGGTGCTATTGTGTTCTTGAGCGAAACAGCTCAGTGCAACAATCCTAAAGCCAAACATCACTGGTTATTATTATGAGAATATTGTGTGTGCTCTTCCGGTAGTTAAGGTGCAAAGCATTGAAAAGTGTTTGTTATGAATTTTGTAATTTATGCAGGGCATTAACAAGTTAGCAGTTAGAATCAGTACACGGACCTCAGTAAAAGGGTCCATGCGATGAAATTTTCTTGGAAACATATTTTGTGCAACTTTCTACTCTTAAATGTATGAAAACTATTTGACATCCTTTTTGGTTGATTTTATTGAAAAATGCACTTCTTTGAACATTTGAAATTGTACATGCTTTTCCAGACAACTAATGCGCTGGTGTTGTGATGTCATTCCAGGAAGATACTGTTCAGTTTAGGGGGTTTGTTTCAAATTGTGCATCCAAAATTTGCTCATTGAAAACATTTGTTAGAAAGTGTTGCTCATTGGCTGAATGCCATGTGCTTACACGACGAAACACCAAAATATCCCAATTTTTAGCAACTTTTTGTGCTGAAATAGCTGTAACATTGAGGTCTCTGCCCGGAATGACATCACAGCTTTGCTCATGAATAGGGAAATTTACAACACGCAAGGAGCAAAGCCAGCGACCTGTTCGCAGCGAGAGGGGCTGGAAATAGGAGTGTGGTGCCCGAGGATGATGGCTTCAACCCACCTGGCTTGAGGTCGAGTGAAAATTAGTCCCATGCTTCGTTCTGTTCTTGTCAAAATAATCCCAGCGCGAACTGGTGAAAAATGGCAAAGCAATAATTGCAAGCCAGGTCAAATGGGACACGAAGATGTGAGATTTTCAATCTCACATCTTATTTCGCTCGGTTGCCACTGTTTTGAACCCTGGTCTGAAGCAGGGTTGGGTTCAGCCCGGGGCAAAATCAATCTCAGGGCAAATGCAGGGTTGAAAATTGTTGTCAACCCAACGATTTGTTATGTGTGAAAAGGCCTAAAAGTGCATTTTCAAGGATTGCATTAAAAAAAAATACAGCCCTTTAATGACGGGACATAGACTGGATACAATAATTCATTAATGTTTAAATGACCTATGTTTTATTCTCAACTCAAAGCAACTGGTGGCTTAAACGTAACAGTAAAACGGTATGCAAAACTGACTCTAATCGGCAGAACTATATACATTGTATAAGAAACTATTTGCGTAATTAGTACATTCACCATTTATGTTAATTCTTTGTACAAAATACATTACCCTTTAACATTTGAACAGTGGTCAACCCCAACTATTTAATTTTAACCTTAAAATGATCAGATTGATAGTACTTATAAGACTCCCTTTCCAAGCAAAAATAAAGACGTACATGTATTGTAGTGTGCACAATTGATATTACAAATATGGTACTAGTTCTGTTGTGCAAAGATGAACATTCATTTGTACTGTTGGTAAAGATTCAATATTCCATTCCATTAATACAAAAACATACAATGGTATTACAGTTATGCAAATAACTGACTTAATGACAAACCCAGTCACACTTCAATCAGTCGTGAATTTTCACACGCAATCCAAATGTTAACTCTTACCAAATGTCAACTAACCACACAAAACATCCTGCGTTAATTTAGTGAATGACTGAAGTTCTTGAAACAAAATCTGCATAATCGCCTGTTTGGATCAATAGTCGCAGTGGAGTAACATTTAAAACCATGCAGGTTTTCCTGATCTAAAAATATGCCTTTTATGAGTTGACAGATGGTGAAACCATTTCACAGAGTGCAATGAGAATATTGGTTACAAAAAAGGAGAATTTCTTGACATGACCCCCATACACGGCATGCTGTGCTAATAAAAAATGGTCCCTTATTTTAATACAACAGTTTAATACCTTTCAAAATAAGTTACACTTTAAGCAAAAACATTAACTCCAAAATACAAGGCTCTAATGAATAGAATACATGTACATGTTGAACAGCTGTAACTCGAATGAAGAAAAAGATTGTTCAATGTAAATTATTTGCAAGTTGAAACTGGCCATAGAAGTAGAAAAGACCCCATGAAACGCATAAAAATGGAACCAATTGCCCCTTTATGTAAAAAAAATACTCTAATTCTTAACTAGGCACTGAACTGGACTGCAAAACATTCAAATTAATACATCTTAGATCATTGTAAAATAATTATAAGTTTAAAACGAAACAAACATCTACCCAAACCTTAGTTAATAGCTGTACTGCACAAAACACCTATAAGAGTGCATGCATGTACATTTGTATACAGGAGATAAAAAGAAGTTGAACATTCTACAATTCATGCATATCTCAACAAAACAAATATAGAATGCAATGAAATCTAAACCACAGAAACGATCATCAATGCGATTACTGTATTGTTGAAAACTGATTTCATATTGAGGCTGTGGCACGAATTGTCGGATATTTTTATCATGCATTATTTGGATTCAATTTTAGATCTCAAGTAGCAATAAGCAAGCATTACATAAACATAATAGTCTGCCTCTAGTACCATTAAAACTTATAGAATTATACATAAAAAAATCACCATTATTACGAAGCTTATTTTTAAGATTATCAAAAATATATAATACCTGGCTACAAATTTAACTAAAAGGATTCAATATTTTACAAAGAGGCAGTGAGTTTACAAAACAAAGATATTCAAGGCGCGTGCAAATATATTTGATATTATAGGAGGCAATTTTGCAGGTTGTAAATAAAACACTGAACTACGCAAGTCTCAAGATATATTATCATGGGTATGACAATATTTGAACCCAAACACACAGCATGCACTCCTAGCATCTAGTCAAATAAAACATGAAAACAGGATGATAGGGGGCAACGTTATGATGATGCATTTTGCATGTACATGTATGTCAAATAATAATAATAATGTAGACATTTATAACGCGCAACATATCCACTCAGAAAGAGTGCTCAAGGCGCTCACAATTAAATGTTCATGATAAGATACACAGTCTGACAGTGCAGATGCAACAAGTTCATCTTTAAGAAAGAGTATTTGTCCAGATGTGTGTTTTTAGTTTTCTCTTAAAGTCATTCACAGTCTCACAATCCTTCACCGAGTCCGGTAGTCTGTTCCACAGCCGGGGAGCTGCTGACATAAATGCTCTATCTCCCCATGATCGTTTAGTTTTAGGGACAAGGAGATAAGAGGCTTTAGAGGAACGAAGACCAGAGCGAGATGGTTTGTGGAAGTTGAGCAAAGATGAGATGTATCGTGGTGAGGAGAACTTCAAAGCCCGGTATGTGATGAGGACCTTGTAGGCGAGCCGTTGTTCGACAGGAAGCCAATGAAGTAACATCTTAAGTCGTTTTGAAGGCAAGAACTTTACAAATAAAAAACCCAATCTTATACCTTAACATACCCAATGCATGTTGTACACTGCACCCATGTATGTTGTGGTACTTCATAGCTACAACAGTGTACAGCGTACAATGGTGTCTGCAATGTGTGACAGCGTGAGAAAACATTAATAATGACACATTTCAACATCTAGGCATCCAGAGCTAGGGCTACGTCTATTGTCAGGATGTTGCAATGATAATGGCCCAAGACCTCGACAGTAGCCCCAAAGAAGACATTTGGACATGGCTGTGGCTTTTGTGGAGCCAACGAAATTGTCCACATGTGGAAGAGCAAGTGTAAAAGTAAAGTACAGGTGCAGTAGCTTCATTTAAAGACATCGTTTACTTCCTTCTGTGCAAGTTCTTGCGTGCTTATTTGGGCCAACTTTGAGCTTTTGAGAGGCAGTGCCGTTATTAATAATGAACTTATTTGTTCACAGTCAAAATATTGCTTTTGGGGTCATTTCTTTTTCAATGAGCAATAACTCAAGTCAAAAAGTAACAAATAAACAATGGGAATTATTTACACACAATCATTATCATGTCATTTATACAATATAAAAACCAATCCATTATTTGCTTTAAAAAATAATTATCAAAAAATGGCAACTTCACTTATAAGATTTCCTATAAAACAAAACAAAAAATTCTAAAATCAAAAACAAAAACCATAAAACAATCTTGCAGTCGGTCCAAGTGACGAAGATGGGTAGCACTATATAATCTACCATTGACCTACCAACATGCAATATGCACCACGTCAGTCCGTGATCAGAAAAAATACACCCAACTTAATACTTCACTTGATTATACGTATTAAAATCAACAAATCAATGAAGTAATTTCCAGATCACTAGTCAAGGCGCTGTGAGCAGCTTGCCTTATTACAATCATGTGAATTGACAGACAAACATATATGTACATTACTTAATAGGAACTCAATGACTACCAGGAACCAACTCTTTCCAGGCATAACGTGTTGAAAACAGGCTTGAATATGCACTTCCTATGTACAAAATTCATTAGAAAAACCTTACTGTCTTTGAAACAAAAATTCAATCAATTTTCTGTTTCTGAAATGCCTGTATTTCCTTCAAAATCCTAAATTCTGCAAGTATTAAACATATGTTTGATATATACAATGTGTGTACAAACTTAATGGTTTACAACCCTTTTTTCAATCCACGATGTTGTTGAGTATTTGCCATTAAGTGCTATTCAGATGCGGGTTTTGCGCCACGAATTCTCTCTCCCACTTTGAGGCTCTGGTTTTCTTGATGGGGCTGTCTTCTGTAAACATCTTCATCTTATCTCGGAATGACAACTTCTCAGTGGTAGGGCCTTCCTTGTTGTTCTGCTTACTAGCCAGGAGTCGATCCCGTGGATCACGGTACACCTCCTGAGCCCCGATGACAGCGGGCGTATCTCCAGTCGTAAATGTATTCAGATTCTGGGAGTTTTCTGGGGTGGCATACTGGTAAGTGCCAGATTGGTTGTTGGTGTTTGGGGTGTGGTTGTAATCTGTGGCGGCCTCATAGGCACTGTTATCCTGCATAGGAATCTGACTGATTGTTGACGTGTTTGCAGAATAAGGCAGAGGGCCTACAGGAGCATAGTTAGAAGCAGGCCCACGTCCGTTGGCTTTCCCAGCTTGGAATGCAAATTTCTTGGGAGCGATTGGCGGTTTAGGTTTGATAGGAGGAGGGGGTTTCTGAGCATGTTGGTTATTTGTTGGGGGTGGTGCTCTCTCCGTGGTCGGGGACAAGTAGGTTTTTTCTGGACCTGGGACATAACTGACGTTGACTTTAGTATGAACCACGTTGGAGTCATTAGACGGGGGTGGATTGTACTGGGATTGGTAGTGAGGTGGTGTAGCCATCGGAGCATTGTTAGGCTTGAATGATAACTGTTCTTCAATACGACGTCGTTCTTGCTCAATTTCAGCTTCTCGCCTCTGGTACTCTAACCTCTGCATGGTGTGTCGTCGATGCATCTCTTCTTCCTGCCGCTGAAATCCTGGCCCTCCATCAATCTGTCTCATGAACTGGTCTTGTTCCGCTTGTCTCAGCTGACGATGTTCTCTCTTGCGTTGGAAGTATTCTTCTTCTTGCTGCTTGATGACCTGTTGCTGTATGGCCCTCTCCCTAGCCAGTTCTCCAGACAGCTTGTCCAGTCTTTGTTGCTGCTGTTCTCTAGTTGCCATTTGTTGCTGCTGTTCTCTAGTTTCCATTTGTTGCATGAGATGTTCGGCTTGAGCCTGGGCAATCTCAAACTGCTCTTGTCGCCTGGCAGCTTCCTCTTCACCTTCAGCTTCTTCTTCATCATTTTCTTGACGAGACTCTTCCAGACGACGTTGGAATTCTTGCTCCATTCTCAGCTTCCTGAGCTTCTCCTGTTGTTGTGCAGTCAGATTGTCTTGTCTTGTCAACTCATCAATGGCCTGCTCACGCATCATCTTCTTTTGCTTCTCTTGCCACTGCTCCCACTTTTCCCTTTCTTCTCGTTTCCATGGTGATGGGCCTTTAAGATCTTCGTCTGAAGTGTGAGTGTCAAGAGTTGCACTCCACTTTCCTGGATCTGCTGAGCCCATATCCTCACCACTTGATGGATATCTAGGATCTGAAGTCTGTCTTTGTTGTGATGGTGATTCATAATTCTGACTGAGTGGTCGTGGAGACTGTGGTACAGCAGAGGGATAATGCTCACTTCTAGGCCTGCTTGGTCCGTCCTCAGACGGCTTCCTGCCTGGAGCTCTTGGTATTGGTACAGGTTTTGGACCCGAGTTTTGCCTCTGCAGTTCAGGTCGCTGTTGGTCGCTGTTGAATGAGCTTTGTTTGTTAATACGTCCCTGTCTTGGCAGCGATGCATATGCTGGCCGGTCCTGCTTTGCTTGCTGTGTTTGTCCCTGTTGCTGTTTGGTATCCATGTAAAGTTGTCGCTGGGAATTGACTAACGCCTGTTTCTCTCTCATCCGTTGCTCGTGCTCTTCTTGAATACGTCTCTTCTCTTGTTCATGCCACAGTTGATATTTCTGCATTGCCCCGGGTGGTAGGGACTGACTACCATCTCTTAGCTGACTACCATCTCTTAGCTGACTAGTCAGTGGTGGTGGGGGAGGAAGCTCTTGATGGAAGTCTGCCTCAGGAGGCGGCGGGGGAAGATCAGCAGGGGGTGGTGGGAAATCATTGGTCATAGAATCATATGCATCAGGAGGTGGTGGAGGAGGGGGAGTATCGGTATTTCTCTGGCCATCAGGCATACTGTAAAATGGTGCACTCTGATACATCTGCTGATGTTGAGCACTGATAGGAGCATAGTTCTGCTGTGGGTTATACCTGTTGTCCTGAGAGACTGAGGTTCGTGGAGCTGGTGCAGGTCTTCCCATGTCATCTGTGTCGGCTTCCCAACCACGCTGAGGTCGGTCCTGATACTGAAAATCTCTTGGCTGATCTGGAGGGTACTGATAATTGGAGCCATAACGATCCCTCGGTCCTGGCTGATACTGATTAGGTGGGAGTTGTTGACGGGACTCATTCTGGCGATAGATCCTCTGCTGCTCTTCCCTGTCTCTCATCTCTTTTTCTCTTTCTGCTCGCATCCTATCTTCCCGAGCTCGTTCCCCTCTTGCTCTCTCTTCTCTCAACCTTTCAATCCTTGCCATTTCTTCTCTTGCTCGTTCCTCCTTCAGTCGCTCTTCCTTGGCCCTTTCTTCCCTGGCTCTTTCCTCTTTCAGTTTCTCTTCTCTTGCCCTTTCCGTTCGAAGTCTTTCTTCTTGAAGTCTCTTTTCTCTTTCTTCTCTTGCCCTTTCCTCTCTCAGTCTTTCTTCTCTTAATCTCTCTTCTCTAGCCCTTTCTTCTCGTTGCTTCTCTTCTTTGGCTCTTTCTTCCCTTAATCGCTGTATTCTTGCTTGTTCTGCTTTAGCTCTTTCTTCTCTCGCTCTTTCTTCCCGCAGTCTTTCTTCTCTCGCTCTTTCTTCCCGCAGTCTTTCTTCTCTCACTCTTTCTTCCCGCAGTCTTTCTTCTCTCGCTCTTTCTTCCCGCAGTCTTTCTTCTTTCAACCTTTCTTCCTGAAGTTGCTGTGCTTTCAGCCTTTCTTGTCTGATGCGTTCCTCTCTTTCTCTCTCCTCCCGTTGCCTCTCTTCCTCCTTCTGTCTTTCTTGTCTTGCTCTCTCCTGTCTTTCCCTTTGTTCTTTGGCCCTCTCTGCCTGTTCTTCTCTAGCTATTTCTTCTTTGGATTTTGGTTCTGCAGTGTGGATATCTTTCAGACGAGGTGCTGGAATTGGGCCACCCATGACTTGAATACCTCCTGGTGGCGCCGCTCGGACATTAGCTTGAGATACGGCTGACCTTGGCAGCTCATGATTTGGCATCTCGGGCTCTGGATCCAGGTGTGATGTTGACTTGGAACGTTGGTACATCTGTTGGCTGTTGGCAGAAATCAAAAAGAAAAAGAAAATGGCAATTAAAAAAACACAATCTTGACATTGAAAACAAAAATTGCACACACTAAAAGGGGAAATTTACATTTAAGTGTATATGCTGATATGTTAAATTACTTGAAAATTTTCCAAACCCTTATTTAATTATTTTTATGCTGATCAAGCCAGCAGTTTTCCTGCACTCACTAACGTGGCTACCAAAAAAATCAGCATGACACCATTGGATCTTCATAGTTGAAAGTCATATTTTCTTGGAAAATAACTCCCTGTCCTCATAGTTCTAATTATACAACTGACATACAGATCCTTGTCATTTGATTGGTGGAACTCACATCACGTGACATTCGTTATTGCTCCCATTCATGCTGGGGCTCAAAAAGTCCTGTTCACCCATGGTGAATGGGATTTACTATGCAACAGTTAGGATCATCCTTGTTCCATGGCGCGGTATTTGTGTGCAAATGCATGCTGGTGTGCGCATTGCGCGTATTGTTCCCAAGAGCCAGTAGCTACAGAGTTGGGTTCAAACATTTTGTGAAGGGTTGGTTTGGAAGAAATACATTTCCCACCAATTTTGTATTGAAATAGAAGTTCATTTTAACCGTAAATCAAATGACAAGGATCTACATGTATATGTCAGTTATAAAAACAAATATTGAGTGGCTTTAAATTGTGAAATGGGAGGAATATTATCCATTTCACTTGGCAAAATCCAGATTCTACCTTGCGATAATATTCCTCCCATTCCACTCTGAGCCACTCAATATTTGTATATTAAAGACTATTTTGTCAGAATTCAAGAGAGAAGGGAAATGAGTGAAAACACAGGGATCAAAAGCAACTCTGAATATCGCATGCAGGAAATTCAAACCCATTAACACCTGTACGACATTGTATTACATTGTATTTATTCGCTAATGAATCCATAAAATCAAAGAGTGCTTGGGTGCTTTCAGGCATTACAGGGAGTAACAGGCAGGGAGCTTAGGAAAGGTACAGGGTCTAAACTGTTAAAAGCTCATGCAGATAAATGGATTTCTACAAGACATACCTGGCTGGAAGTTGACCCCTGAGGTTTGTGTTGGATGCTGCTCTGCTGTAGGGATCTTTGTTGACTGTGGCATACAAGTCACGATCGGACTGGATACGTTGACGGGGCTCCTCTCCTAATATGGATATAGGTAACACATTAATGCCTCATTATCTATACCTAAAGATCTCACTTAAGTTTAACTGCTCAACTTCAAAATGAAACCCATAAAACATAGTATCAAGGAGTTTTCAATGAAGTGAATTGTAAACGTTATTGATCTCAAGATAAGGTTAGCAGCAAGAACTCACTTCTTTGTTTCTGAGAAACTTGTTCAACAGTTTTGGACATCACCCACATCACTCAGCAAGAAATGAATATTCATGTTAAATAAATTAACCCTATCCCAACTGAATATAAGAAATATGAAGCAACTGAAATATGAAGCAGTGTAATGTTCTGAAATGTATTAGATCAGATATGACTCAGAACTCAACGTTTTCTCAATTTGCTGCACAATACGCCAGTTCGGTATTCCTACTGCGCATGTGCACATTAAGATTTGACGATTTTTCTTTCGGGATAAACATTTCATCGTATGCGTGCAAAAGCATAGCTGGGTACCAACAAAATTGAACAGATTGTCGTGTTCTGTAATTAAAAAAAAAAAATCGTCTGGACAGCGAGGTGTTTTTAGGTGTCTTGTGTGTCAACACTTTTGTGCGAACGAAAGTTTCCATCTCTTTTCGATTGCACGAAAAATCACACAGAATGCCGATTCGGTTACCAAGTCCCCCATAGCCTTATGTGCATTTATATGCCGTTTTTATCCCAGACAACAATCGTTCACCAGACTATTCTGTAATACTGAACTGGCTTATTGTCCAATGAAGTTTTTGGGGACGGCATATGGGAGGGGATGCCGCAGAAAGCCCATGTGATTTGTCTTTGAAGAAGGGGGTGTTAAAGCGACTGACTGATTAGCAAGACTAGCACAACTGTACTCACTGAGATTGGGTGATGATCTAGCATAGTCAGCCTTGCTCATATCATAACGGCCTAGTCTTGGCGCAGCTGTCGGGCCATCACGCTGCGCTGGCCACTCTCTACTATCGGGATATCTACCGACAGGCTCAGCCATCTGAGGGGGAGACATGGCCTGTGATATCTCTTCACTCTTTGGTCTCATCTGTGGATGAGGAGAGGGCTGGGTTGGGGTGGATGGTTGCTGCTGGGAGGCTGGCGGTGGGGCTCCTTTGTTGGCTGTTGGTAAACGATAACGTCAACAAACGGTAAAGATTTGCGTAAATATAAACTGAAAACAGTTTCAGTACATGTATTGAGTACACACCTGCACAACCCAGTACTTCCTAGCATGATTTACTAGGAACCATACCCATCCTGGCAAATTCCGACACCATATGGGAAACTGCACACGCATATTTCTGACTTTGTTTCTGGCGGTGTGCCAACCCAATGTAAAAGACTGTCAGTTTAGGGGTACTGTACCCATCCAGCAGCTTCCAACAAAACATGTCGTTGGGGTTTGAGGGGTTGAGTTCTGTAAGGGTTAACCCTTATGCTTTTTAAACAGTCACAAACAGTCAAAATTTCCATCCACTTCCTCTGCTATACTTTTAGCACAGGCTAGTCAACAGCAGTCAGATCATATGTTAAGCAAGCACTGTGACCAGTCAAACTCAGTCAACAGACCATGAATAGACAAAGCAGGTAAGTTGTGGGCACAGCTGGCTTATCAATTACCAACAGTCAAAGCAAAGCTGTATCGAGTTACATAAACAGTCACGGTCAGTCAATCCTGCTTTATGTAGGCTGGGGATTCTTAACTGTTAAAAACAGTCACTTGATTGATTTTGACCGAAATGACAACTTGGCACAGAATGTTTGCATAGGATGGTTAATAATGTTTAAGATTCCATTTCCTAATAAGAATTGCTTGACTGACCTCGTTGCATTGGAGGCGATGGCTGGCTGAGTATTTCTGCCAAGCCATGGAAGATTGCTCCCTGCTCTGCTATCTTGAGAGATACAATCTGCCCTGTCTTCATCAGATGTACAGCAGCTCTATAGGGATAGCAGACACATAACATGCTGACTTAATCCTTGAGGAGTTCTTATTTCTTTAAACTAAGGATGGGAATACATGTTTCGGGAAACTTTCACACACTGTTTAATTGCAAAACCATTCAGTAAACACTTGACTATGTACATATGGAACCCTGGGAACTTGTAATTGTTCAGGAAAATTTGTTAACAGATATTAATTTTTTTAATTTTTAGTTGATGTCACATCCTTTTTTCAAACGGCTTGCTAGCAATCAACAGTGTATATATTATATTCTCTTACTTTCGCCACTGATTCATAAATGCAAAAAAAATTCCAACTTCAAGGCAAGAATTGTTGAGAGCTCAAACAAAAGGATTGATAATGGACTAATTCAGCATGTTGAAGTGTTGTGAACTCACTGTTCTTGATTGAGGCCCACCAGGCTGTTCCCATCTACCTCAAGGAGCTGATCTCCAGCCTTGATACGACCGTCCTGAAGACAAAAAAATGGTATTAATACAATTAAGATAAACTTTACATGGTGTTACTGCAAACCTTCCATACTTTGTTGAAATTTTATCTATATTCAAATGACTTCTTTAATTTATTTTAAGGTTTTAATTTCATTCTTTTTGGTATTGAAACCACAGATTTTCAAAAGTGCAAAGGAACTGCAGCCTGGAAGCATGAAGGATTTTACACGGAGAAAACAATGAACTTGAAGAAATGTTCAGTATCAGAGGTGGGAGGAAAACACGGGTTTGATTTTCGAGGAAAAATCCATAGAGTTAGGAAAGGAACTGAAAACTCAATCCACATGTTGGTTCGAGGGGGACTTGAACCCAGGCCACAGAGTAAGAAGGCTAAGAAAATTCCACTGCGCCAACCAAACTCCTCTCATTAGCAACAACGACTCCAAAGAGTTTGGGACAGTTTTGAGAGTCCACTTGTTCTTTCTTTGTTGACAGTGACTGATCCACCCATGTCCTGCCCGACTACTCACCTTGTGTGCTGCAGCTCCTGGTACCACCGCCTTGACATACACACCAATCTTCTCCTGATTGACACCCTTAGCTGCTATGATACTCAGACCCATCCTGCTTCCTCCTTTGTTTAATTGAATGGTGAAGATGTCAGGTTCCTTGCCTGGAGGTGCCTTAGCATCGGCCCGTACTTGGGGCGGAGGCTGAAATATAACAAGGTCGTCAATCAAAATCTGCTCAAAATTCCATCCCATGCAAGACTGATTTGGGAAAAATATTGGTGGATGTAGCCCGTTAGCACTTGTCTTACGTTTATTACACTGTATTTACTCCTTGATGAATCAATCAAACTATTGGGCGGTGGGGCAGTTTGGGGTAGTATAAGGAGTAACAGGCAGGGTGCTTTAGGGTGGTACAGGGACTAACGAGTTAAAGAATCATCATATTGTTCCAAATGTTACAAGATTCTGTATTTGGGATTTCTGTCAAAACCTAAACGAACTGCTTACTTTAACCATGATGGGTGACATTGGAGGCACTTGCTGCTGTTGTTGCTTTTGTTGTTGCTGTGGTGGTGGTTGTTGCTGCTGCTGTTGCTTTTGTTGCTGTTGCTGTGGTGGTGGTTGATGCTGCTGCTGCTGTTGTTGCTGCTGCTTCTGTATTGGAGGAGGTTGCTGTGGCTGCATAGGCTGAGGTGGTCCCTGCTCCATACTTGGATTACGACCATACAAGTACAATGTCCAGTCACCTGATGACGTTGGGTTGACAGTCAACCGTGCCAGGCCTAAGCAGGAAAGTCAATGGTTCAATAAATGGCCGTTTCTCTGTTCACTGCTAAAGACACTATGAAAGACGAAATGTCCACATCATCTTATTAACTGCTGCGCAACCACGTAATCCTCAGGTACCTACCCACAGCGCACGTGGGCAACACCATGTGAGAATCTCCTATGCAACACTGTGTGCTCCAGCGGCGCGCCATACCCACGTGCATGCATGTCTGACCTTTGTGCTCGCATGTCGGCCATTGATTACTGCTGTGACTGGTTAAAACACCTCGGGAACTAGTTTGTCAACTTCCAGTACCGAGGTGAGCCAATATCGACTATCCACTCGAAATAAACCATGTTATTTGTTTTACTCTACCTCATACATACATGTATATCAGTTGCCAAATTTGCACATTACAGTACGCATCTCGCGGGCGTAAAATCTTCGGAGAAACTTGTCCAACTCACCAGAAGAATATTGCTCAATCTCAGAAAAGTTCAGTTTGTTTTGCAATACAGTAACTCCTAAGAGTTTATACCGCATTGCAGACTGCTTTTTAGTAGAGAAGGCATCTTTATTGTCCACAATATTCTCTAGTTCGGCATCATTGAGCTCGGGAAAACACTAATTAACATTTACGTGTGCAGCCATCATGTGTAGCTAGGGAGATGTTCTTGCATGCGTACCTCACCCGTGCGGCAGTTCCATGATTGCTCCGTAAAGCGCACGCGTAGTCAACTGTCACAGGAGTAACCCGTGCGACAGTCTACAATGCATGCGTATTTTAGCCTGTGCCTGAATACTCGCGCATGCTTGGTAAACAGCAAAAATAGCATCTGGCGCGTGATGATGAATGGACCAGTGAGAATTCGGCTCTCAATCATGAATATATATGAGGTATATAGTTATACCTGCTATCTACTTTGCTGATATTATCTGACAATCTTGACAGTGGACAGAGCAAGTTACAATGAATTCTATCTATGGTTGTACCTACCTGCACGCAGCAGTGGTTCAATGAACTCCTGTAGCCCATTAGGTACACCTTTGACTATCTCACATGAGTAGCCATCCTCAGGTACGATGAGTGCCAGACGTAGCTCAGGATCTTCCTCTAAGGGGACCGGGCGGCCATCGATAGATGGCTCATCATTGGTGCTCTGCGCAATGGTTACCACCTGTTAAAGTGAACAGATAATGGGAATAACAATGACTACACACTACTAGGATCAAGTACTCACTCAGCAGTGGAAAGTGAAGCACTGCAATCAATGCAAAAAACGTTCATGTTATAACTAATGTTAACCCTAACCCCTTGGCCCTTTTGGCTAGGAACCAACCTCAATCTTGCAAAATCCTCCAAATGCCACCATGTAAAAATTGGAGTCAGCATCAAACCCCAAAATCATCCGTTATTTCTTGAATTTGGTCAGAGGAGGGGTGACCTTTGCCTCAATCCTTCAAAATCCTCCAAAAATCGCTGTAATGGTTGAGGCAGTGCCAATGACATTCAGAAGCAGAGCAGATGATATCTAGCATAATGCAGGGCTCAACTATGCATGACTGAACATAAACAATGCCGGGTACCGCCTAAAAAACTCGACACAATGCATCCTCCAAAATCAACCGACACTTTTTTTGCCTTTCAGCCTCAATCCTCCAAAACCGACTGGAGGATTGTAGCCTTGGTCAAGGCGTTCATCATTATAATATCCGTCCCTAAAGTATACTCAGCGGCATATATCCTCGTTAGCGCTATGCAGTGCATTAAAAATACTTTTTCTAGCGCACAACCTCCCAATTACACCTTAGGAAATCCCGACATCATCAACTTATTTGCAGCTATTCACCTTTTGCGGACGTGTCAGAAATCACATTTTTGTGCAATGGTGGAGTGTGTAATGTGAGACACACAATGTGTGTATTATGTACAGTACATGTACATGTCACACGTTATCGCTATATGACCTTTCATCTATTATGCAAGTTTCCACGCAACGATCGGCCAATAAGAACTTTTAAGGTCAGCTTAGGCTATTAGCATAATGAGCACCACCCCCAAAACCTCACATGGACGACTGGACCAAAGCGTTAGTCTAGATCCAAAAGATTTGCATATAAATAGTGGCCGCATGAGGTCGCTGTTCGCGCTGAATCTTTACATTCACTGCATAGCAGTCAGTCAGCACGCAGAGAGGATATGCCGCCAAATACCGTACAGATGACTAATGATGAACGCCTTCACCAAGGCAATGAGGATTAGGGAGAGTTAGAGTTCAATGGTAGATGATAATATTGCTCTAACTTCTAGCTCTGTTTTTTTCCTGACAACGTTGAGTAGCAGGTGCACTTACTCTCATGATGGCATCACTGGGCATTTGTCTCTCATTGTGTGAGGGGATGTAGTTCTCCAGCAGTGCCCTGAGCTGTCTGGAGTTGAGCTGGAAGCACTGTGAGCAGGCTGCATTCAGAGCATCCCTGGAATCTTTAGGTGCCATCATCAATCGCAGAGCCTGCAAAACAAATAACGCATTAACGTAATACATGTAGCTTTGTGCATTATAAACCAAAGGCACTTCAATGCATCAGCCTAGAGATTGATTTCATGGGGCTATAGGCCTCTCTCAAATAATGTCATTTCCTACAGACCAGCCAAATGCATCGGCATTTTGAGCGTCAACTTGCATAACGCGCATCGGCTGCGTCGTATTTCGAACACATTTCAAACAACAAGCGCGCGCGTTTGAAACATTTTCACCACTGCGCAATGCGTGCTTGATTGCGTAAAATACGCAGTTGCAGTTCTCCTACAGAGGTCATCTTTGTGAGAGACCGATTGAACATAGAAGTTTGGTGAAAGCATAAACATTTTTGTCAAGCAAAAATAGGTCTCATGCAAAAAAATGTCATTCAATGTATTTTGCTTGCCAGTTTTTCGGTCAAGTTTTGCTAGCACATGAAAGTTCTAAGCAATATTATCTTCACAGCAACACCATGAGATTGTGCCTTGGTACACAGAAAAGACCCAGAGCACTAAGTGCCCACATCAGGCTCTGTGCATGAATCCAGAGGGCGCTGTTTGCCAGTTTCTACCATTTTCAGACACCTTTAACAAAAAAAAACAAGACCTGACAAGCACCTGAATTTTCTGACCAAAAATTTAAAAGCAATTTGTAGGTGCATCAAATGTGCAAGGAGACGGTCGCATGAGGCATGTTATTTACGATCACAATGAGCATTCGTGTAACATGGCAGTTATAGGACGCAGTGTTTTGTGGTCACAAACACACAACTTAAAAGCATAGGCTTGTCAGGTCTAGTTTTTTTAAATGTCTATGACCATTCAACTCAATATCATGAATAAATGAACTTGGCAAAGAAAGATGTCAGTTATCTCTAAAGGGTGCCATTTAGTGTCACTGTATCAGCTCTTTTAACCCTCACCCCAGGACATTTTGGCTAGAAACCCTGCCAAACGCAGCAACATGCAACACTGACAAGCCTGCCCAGTGTAGCAAGATCCATCAGGCCAAAAGTCTCAAGGCCAAACTGCCTCAGAGTCTGTGGTCACCGCATGCAGCAGGATACAACTGTGGCATTGTTCTATGGGACTAGCTCTCATTGTCTCAGAAGCGGCCGTTAATGCACTGGTGTTGGTAGCTGAATGCACCAAAGTGCATCAGACTTTTCCACCTGATGCACTGTGCTGCGTCTTGCAGGGTTAGGGTTAAAAAAGTAGTTGGGAAGACAAACAATTTTAATGACCTGACCCTACCTGTGTAACCTTAGTCAAATGTGCCTCAGCAGCCAGCTCAAGTCCTTGTTTCTCTGCCCAGGCATTGATGCGACTCAGCCGACGAAGCAGCATGGATGCACACTCCCGATGACACAGACGCAACTGTGGATGAGCAACCAGCTTATTGAAGATCCAAGCACCCACAAAATGGAAGAGTTGAGAGAAGAGTTGAATAGTCAGACCGGCGTTGACACGACAACGGCGCAGGAGAGTCATAACGGAGTGAAAGACGTTAACGACATCACCTGTAAGAAATCAAATAAGTACGGGTCAGTTGAACAACGCTGATACCATGCTGATAAGAGGAATTTACATTTTTCTTAGTCTTCGTCTGGATCTGGATTTGTTCCCCTTAAAGGTAGATTACATCATTTGTCGTTTGTGCATTTTTTTTTGAAGAAACAGAAGTGCTAAAGAAGGGTGCTAAAAATCTAAAGAAGGGTGCTTAACAACTAACCTGATGAAGTTTTAGCTCAGTGAATGCTGTATATTCCAAGAAAACAATATTCTAGAATCTCGATATAAATTCAAAAGTTGCCAAGTCTTGTTTTGAAATGCACCCAAAATTGCAGCTATGCAAGGTCACACACTAGCACGCACGTGTGCGCCGTGTTGACTCTACTTAATATTCGGATAGCTAATTAAAAGCTGGCGGTCATATTGAACCAAAGTTGACGGCCATTTTGAATTTGAATACTTGGCGGCCATCTTAGAAAAAAAATTAAAAATAAAAAGGCCCTCATCCTCCTCTTTTTGAAAAAAAACCGGACTATCAACTGGTTCTTTTTTTTACTTGGCCTTAATGTTGAATGTCTTATGTTAGTATCCACATCTCAATAACAGTAGGTTTCAATCCTGAAATCTCCTCATGTGCAAATGAAATGTCATTTTGAGATGTCCACAAGAAGCCGATAGAAGCTGGGAAGTTTTATCTCCGCACACTCCAAAGTATGACATGAGAAAGTTTAGCATGACAACGACTTAGTCAAAGTAATGATAAAAGAAATAAGCCATTATTGCCATTCCAACAGAATATGATAGTGCCACGCACTGTGTCACAGCGAAATAAATTCCGGTAAGATGCTAGGCTGAACGGAGAAGCATTTGAACCTGGTGATGATGAAGACAGAGCATGAGAGATGAAATCTTACCAATGTTAGGTCTGGTCTGTGCAGGGCCACGGTTGGGTGGATTCAACCAACGTGCACTGATGCGCAGCGGATTATCCTTACTACCTCCACGCCCACTGTCATTACTCTTATCATCATCTGAATCAGCATGCAAGGTGAGAATGGCACACCAAATCAACCAAAGCATGAACAACAGATGCACAGCATGCAAGATACAGTGAGTATCAACAAATATGCAAACAAAATATAACGGAATGCCAGACGGAGAATGTGTAACCAACATAGATAATATAGGTATGGTTTGAAAGATACGCCTTTCCACTTTAAAATGAGACATCAAAGCTTCAAATCTGATAATTTTTGACAGAGTTGTGAGTAATTATCCAAAAGAGGTCAAATGGACCATGGGACCAAGTTTGAAGGTTTAGGCATTTGGACAAAGGTAGCCTAATTGGGTCTGTGTGGATATTTGCCTGGCCTACAAAAAATGTGTAGCGAGTAAACACAATTCTAAACACTTTTTTGACATCACCTCATGCTAAAAATGTGCAGCATGTAAACATGTTTACAAACACGGATCAAGAAAGTGTTTGGAATTGTGTTTACTCGCTAAACACATTTTTGTCAGCCAGGCAATTATCCACACAGAGGCAATAAGCCATTTGCGAGTAACCTATACCCTTTGGGATTTACATTTCAATAACATCTGGTACACTGACTTGCTCAGAATGCTTGGCACATTTTAACTTTGAATTCTCTAGACCAAAGACACTGTTGCTAATCACATGATTCGGGGCAAGCTCTTGCATAGTTACATAAGAGACGCTCAGCATCAATACATCGCTCACAATGGGTGAGAATGGCACAAAGACACCAGACCATGCCAGAGCTGGGTGTTGCTAGCGTAAGGCTTGCCCCGAATCACGTGATATAGTAACCATCTCTTTGGTCGGGAGAATGCAAAGTTAAAATGTGCAAAGCATTGGATTAAGTCAGCGTTCCAGATTTTATTCAAATTTAACTCGCAAATGGCTTATTAGGCTACCTCTGTCCCAATGCCTAAAATTGAAAACTTGGTCCCATGGTCAATTTGACCCCTCTTGGAAAATTACTCATAACTCTGTCAAAAATTATCAGATTTGGACGTTTGATGTCTCATTTTAAAGTGGAAAGGCGTATCTGTTCCTAACAATATCACTCCTTTATCAAAACTTTTCAACTTGGAAGAAAAAAAACAAAAATGTTTTTATTTACCAAAGGTAGAGAGTAAATGTTTGACTAGCTTTGAATTGTTTTAACAGCTTCAAAAGAAAAAGCCAACATAACCATTTGACAGGATTTTTATGGTTGGTGAATGGAAAGAATTCATGAATTGCAAATGCTGCACACCAAATAGCCTTGGTCAATGCTCTCGTCGTTATTCGTCCCGTATGCGGTCAATCGTCGGCATATATCCTCACGCGCTATGCACATGCATGTAAAAATACAGCGCGAACAGCGACCTCATGCGGCCACTATTTTTTTATGCAAATCAGTTGGGGACGATCGAGAGCCTTGGTTCAATCGTCGGCAAAAGCTTATGTTTTTCTTTACTTTGCGCTAGATTTCCAGCGCACGACCTCGTATGCGAATACAGATAATGTAGGCGGGGCTAATATGTGGAGTGTCCAATCACACCTTGGTAAATCCGGACGTCATCAATTATTTGCAGCTATTCCGCCTTTTGCGAACGTGACAGGAACCACAGTTTTTGTGCATTGGTGCCGTGTGCAGAGACACACAATGTGTACGTGTATGGATTATGTACGGTGCCACGTTTCACTATGCAAGTTTCCACGCAATGATCGACCAATAAGAAAACAACATTTAAGGTCAGCTAAGGCTATTAACATAATGAGCACCACCCCCAAAACCTCACATGGACGATTGAACCCAGGCGCTAGAGCGGGTCCAACTGATTTGCATAAAAATAGTGGCCGCGTGAGGTCACTGTTCGCGCTGTATTTTTAATGCACTGCATGCATAGACATATGACTGCATGCATAGCGCTAGCGAAGATATCTTTTACCGCGCTACGGCCGGATGAATAACAACTAGCGCCTTGACCAAGGCTACACACCAAAGGGTATTCAACGAAAAGACATGATAGAATGCCAATATAACTCATGTGCAAGCATGCTGGGCAAAGTACAAAGAAATATCAGACTGCAAAACAAAGGTTAAACTGAAATACAGAGCAAAAACAAAAACTCTGTTAATGGAAGACACTTGCGAGTGCTTTGCCACTGCAATGTATACATGTATGCATGAGTCTTCAAGTAAACTCACCTGTAGACATATCTCTCTCTACATCAGCATCTTCACTAGGATCTAAGAATGCTGATAAGGTCATGTTCATCTCCAGCTGTATGCTACGAACAAGATGCCTGCAAGACAACGCCACTCTCATTCAAATGTCTTATCACATAGCATTCAAGTAAGACAATAGCTAGATGTCCAAAAGATGCAATGTCCAAAGAAAAGTAGTCAATTTAATGCTCAGCATGTCAAACAGACCACTACAGTAGTATCAGCATCACAAGAACAAATCGAGAAATTTTATATCTGTTTAAAGAAACAAATGCAATCTGGCATTCTTGAAAAAAAAAATTTCAAACAAATTTCTTGAACCAATAATGAACGTAAGAAAACCATGCAAAACAGAAAGGATTCAAATAAGCAAAATGCATATCACTGGCACAATCAGGTAACTCATGTTTCTGACTAAATGCACTTAGGCAAGAGAATTCAATGCAGTGTAACTGAGTCCAACCTGAACATTTGCTGGATGCATTCTTGCAAGATGTCTTGAGCATCTTGAGAGATGCTACTCAGATCTTGATCTTCCTTGATGAAATGAAGGAACTCAGAGGCATTGGCTAACCAGAAGGCCAGCACACCAGCAATCTGATGATTGTCCTGAAGGAGAAACAAACACACAACAAAACAAGACCACAGATAAATACCACATACAATCTCAAGACAATCAACTGAAAACCACCTGTCACTTCCTTGTTGGGACAGCTTTTGAAATTCAGTGTTAACCCTAACCCTGCCAGATGCAATACAGTGCATCAGGTGGAAAAGAACTGGTGCACTTTGATACATTCAGCTACCAACACCAGTGCATGAATGGCCAGCTCTGAAGCAATGAGAGCTAAGTCCCATTGAACAATGCCACAGTTGTATCCTGCTGCATTCAGTGACCACAGTCTCTGAGGCAGTTTGGCCTCGAGACTTTTTCCCTGATGGATCTTGCTAAATTTGGCAGGCTTGTCACTTAGTCAAGTGTGGCATGCTGCTACATTTTGCAGGGTTCTAGCAAACATACTCTGGATTGTTAGGGTTAATTAATGGTACATGTTCCCCATAGCCTAACAATTCAATTGAATAGCAATGAACTTGAACCAAATTATATCCCAAGTTAGTGGTGTGTGGTTTAGTTTAGTGTGGTGTGGCTGGACTATGCCAGATTGGTAACATTAGCATCTGTAGTACACTGTATTACATAGTCTTACACTGTATAGTCCCCGTTCACTTTTTATGTGAATGTCTTGGTACCAAACACTGACTAGTCTAGTCACAAACTCCCATATTTGAATTTACCCAATTGTTATCAGATTAAACAGAAGTTGAGGTCAACAATTTGAATTTTATAATAGTCATCAATTTGCAATATGTTGTAAATTGTAATGCTTTCTTTTCTTTCGAAATACCCATTTATTGCCCTTGATTGGATGGGCCCAGTCAGGACGCACAATAAATATACAAAATTGGATGTTAAACACATTGTAGATCCTATACATGGTGCCTGAAGGGGCTGTATTCTTGTAAAATCTCAGGTTTTTGAGGTCAAAGTACACACTCTATTTACTGTTGGATGAATCCATAAAACCATTATATGTTGAGGCAGTTTTTGTTGTTGTTTTTTGTGGGGGGGGGGGGGGAGGTGGGGTCGTAACAGTCAGTGCCATTGCAAGGGGCCCACAATGGATATACTTGCAGTGAGGAGCCTGCAAGACCTTAGGAGCCAAATTTTTAATATTTGTTTCAACTTTATCTGTGTTATTTGAAGAAGAAAAATACGAATCAAGTAATCAAGAGACTGCACATGCTGCCCTTATGATTGATTTCTTTCTGCAAATCAAGGAGGAGTGCATCTTATCTGGGAGCCCATTGCAGACGCAATCTAAGGATCAACAGAATATTCATTTTACCCCCACAGTGCGGTCAATCAGATCAGCCGTCTTGTTCAGGAATGCCGTCAGTCTCTGAGCACGCTCAGTAGGCCCCATCTCAGGTCGATACAGCTTGGATAACCTGAAGCGGCATCCCAGATACAGAGTGTAGGTAGGAGCCAATTTGAAGTAGATGTTAGCACCGTTGACATCCCGTATGAAGGTAATCAGGAATTTGTCCTCTCCTGTCAGATGAAAAAAACATCATCGTCACCAGCTCTGAGCCATCTGGGTCTTTGAGACCTCGGGCATTCTCTTAAATAATAGTAACTTCTGCAGAGTTTCTTAAATTTTTACAGATTTTCAGTGAAAATCTAGTGATAAGCATATCCCCCTTGGCAAACAAACGTAATGTGGCTTAGCGTATGTGCAACGGATACCCGTGGAATCCTAGAAGGCAGTATAGATTCCAGATATGTAAAACTGATTGCACGGCTGGGTTCAAATCAACATTCTGGAAACTCTACCAAAAGTTCATGGAAATTACCCATGCCATCGGTAACATCCGAGTGAATTTTTTTTTTTTCATTTCTTTATTTAGTTTCATTATTCCAAGAAATATGTTTCTTTTCTATTTTCCCTGAATCACAGATAGAATGTTTTCAGTCATTTCCTTCTGAAGTGGCCTTTTGACCCAATGCTTAACATTTGTTTGAGTTGAGTTTTCCCCCATAAAGACAACAAATTAGCCAGAATTCCAAGATATCCAATGAGGCTGAATTTTAAGTGATAATAAATGGAATATTTGCTGACCTGCTTCCTTGAATTCCAGAGTAGCTGGCAGCACCTCTGGTGGTTTATTTCTCTTCTCCATCTGGCCGGCATTGGTTTCTATCTTACCGTCCACATCAAAGGTTGTCTCAAAGTTATTGGACTTCTGCTCTCGCTTAGCCCAATCCTGAAACACAACAACAACAACATTATGAGTATCTGGATACAACCAATGTTGATAATGTACAAATGGTCTATAAGGGTCTATTATTGCATATTGCTTAGGATTCATGTTGAGTTGGACTAAACAAAATAGACACAAAAGTACAAACTCTAAACTCAACAGGGTTTTTCTCAGTAAAATTAATACTAACTTTTTTTTGTAGGATTTTGCTCCTAGAGGAACCTCAACTTCCTCATGTGCAATTATCTTGTTTCTCATATTCTTCCGTAAGTTTCGTGCATTATTATTCAACCTTCTCAACTGTGATGTGAGCTGCAAAACCCTTATGATCATGTAATCTACTTTGCTATCGCTTAAAGGTAGAGTAGATCATTTGTCATTTGTGCATTTGTTTCGTTTGAAGCAACAAAAGTGTTCAAAATCTAAAGATGGGTAATAATAGCAACGAATAATATCAACCGCACACACTTGTGCGTCATGTCAACGCTTGCGCGCACCCATTCACAGATTCACCCAATCACAAACGATATACAAATGGAAATTTCCAAAAATGCATCAATTGACTCATCTTTAGAAATGACCTTTTTTTTTTATTGTTTTCTTCAAAATTACAGCATGCCAGAAGGAATAATTACATGGGGAGTTTAGTGCCATTACACTCTTTAAAGTAATTTTTTTCAACTACAATTTTGTCAGTTTTTTTTTTTCGAAAGCTGCAAATGATCTACTCTACCTTTAAATCAAGTGTTTCTGCATTAGAGCCTTTTGATTGTAGTTATGGAAATAAGTAAAAATCAGCCCTGTTTAGTGCTTATTGTTACCATGTGAAGGGTTTTAACAGGTTGCATTACAATTGGACATTCCATAAAACAATAAATAAGTAAACCAAATGATAAAAACTAGCCAACTTACCGGGTCCTCAACTTGTGGATCACAGAATCGGAAGCAATGATGCCTTCCAAACCTAACCACAGCACCGTGTTGCAGCATGGTAGTCTCATAGATACGATGACCGTTGACATAGGTCTCTGATTCAGGGCTGGTAGGTGTGACGGTGACCACACCTTCCATATTGGCTACTACACAGTGACGCGGCTGAATACCAGGCGAGAATAACTGGGAAAAAAGGTACCAAAACTTTTCAAATGTTGTCAAAAACAGCTGTTTCACCAGTTCTTTTCTTCATCTATGTTCAATTTCATGTAGCTACAAAACAAAGATATTTTGAGTTACGCAGTTCAGTAAAAAACATTACTTATCACATTTACATGCTTTACATTAATGCAACACAAATCAATGTGGCTTAAAGTTATCAAACTATACTGTACATGTTTTTAGTTACACTGAATAAACTCAGGCATGCAACTGGAAATTTAGAAAAAACGAGGAAATTCCAAACAACACAAGACTTTGTACAGTGTTTTTCAACTTGTAATGGCATGTATTAACATCCATGAGAAGTAAAAAAAAAAAAAAAAAGAAATCAGCGGATCCGAGGAAAAGTTGCATGCCAGTAAACTACTGCACATGTTTTTAGTTACAATGAATTATCAAGTGAATTTTTACATTGAATATTCGATTGAATTTTCAACACATTATTCAATTGAATTTTCAACGCAATATGCGGACATGCAACTGGGCAGTCAAGGAAGAAGCAATGAATTTCTACTGCTTGGTTTTGAACACAAAAGTGAAGGCAAAGACAAAGACATTCCTGACTTCGATGAATGTACCCACCTGCAGATACTGTCCTGTGTTAGACACTTCATGCTCACTGCCCACTTCAGTCACATTCTCCTGCAGACGATATCGCTTGGGTTTGTAGTCAATGACGTCTGTCCCATCTACAAAGGACAATAATAAAAATAATAATAATAACAGGCATTTATATAACGCTTTACAATTATTATTACCCCTGTTCAACGGGCAAACACTCCTGAAACCTTCTCAACTCCCTGGGGAGCATACACGGCCGGTAGGCAGCCATTTCGGCGCTCTTGGCCGTAATCAACCTCTCACAGTAACCATCTCTGCCCTCACAGGTACCCATTTACTCCTGGGTGGAGAGAAGCAATGAGTGACAAAGCGCCTTGCCCAAGGGCACACGCGCCACAAACCCAGGCGGGACTCGAACCCACAACCTGCAGAATTACCCGCAGACCACAAATTCAATGCTCCATACCGCTAGGCCACAGCACTCCACTGTAACTGTTTATAACAGATCTACATAGGACATACAGCTCTCGGGGAAAATTACTTCATACTATGTGGAGCATGACTCATTGGCAATAGTAAATTTAGAAAGACGTTTGCGGAGACCCATGCTCTAGCACACAACCACCATGAATGGACGAGACGAGACTGGTGTGCAGCTTTCCAGCACAGCACCCCTACAACTCCTCAAGGAGTTAAGGGATTGAGCCAAGGCAAGGCAAGCTCTTATGTCAAGCTTTAGGTTTCTTTCAGTTTATCACCTATGCTGCCCTTTAAAAAAACATTATAACATTACTGCAGTGGGGTTTCAAGGCTTGTTATGTCACTGAATACGAGTTGAGTAGATGTATCTTGCCTTCATTCAATTCCAGGAAGTACGGCAGTCTCTCAGGCGGTAGTCTTGGTGAATGCATGTTGTCCCTTCCCTGTCTCTTCTTAAGACGTGGCTGGTAGTCAGAGGGTCGCAGTTTCAACTCAAAAATCAATTCACCTGTCATAGATAACAATAGAACATTGTAGTTTTGGGTTTGAATCAATCTCTATACTTTTCCAAAATGAATGGAATGGAATCAAGCCAAACATTTCAACTTGTATACAAACCATGGAGCATTAACCTTTAAATAACCCTCCCGATCCTTCAAAATCCAACAGGCTGTTTTGGAGGATTTTACAGCTTGAGGAAGGTAGAGCCCAGCCAGTTACTTTATATACATCTGAGGCCCCTTGCAAGTTTTAAGTACAAAGGATGTGTCATTGGTTTCCTACACAATGGAGCAGTACGGACATTTCAGGCAGTCTCCTAGCTAAAATGTTAGGAGAATATAATATCAGAGGGGAATAGTTACCACACCTCAGGAATATTTGTTATCCAATATACAACTTAACCCATATTTTAATGTACAGTAGAATGCCACTTTATTGCACACCTCTAAACCGAACAAGTCAACTGTCTATTTCAAACATCCCTTTGTTTGGTGAATTTTATGTTAAATTGTTTAAATCAAAGCACTTACAGTGGAAACTGCTATAACAAATGACCAGCATACCCAACAAGCTTTTGTGGACACCATTGATTTGTTGCAGTATAGTTTTACTGTTCGAAATCCAGTAATATACCTTATGCGTTGCAGGTGTCTCAGAGGCTGTTCTACGTTATTTAAATTTACAAAATGTGTTAGCAATGAATACACAAAAGATTTACTCATTCCCATTCTAGTGATACAAAACCATTGCCCTTTAGTTCCGCTTTAACATGTGAGGTCTTTGGTTAAGTTGTGACTGTGAATATACCTCTGCTTTCAGGCCATCTGATCACAGCTTCCAATGGGGACTCATCATCATCCATGATGTGTTCTTTACCCCATCCACCCTTCTCAATATATGCTGCAGGATCCTCATTGGGTGGTACAACAACCTAAATGTACAAACACAGAAATAGTCAATGAGCATGTCAAATGACTTGAGCTTGGGAGGGACAGGTTATAAAAATGAAATCGACTTAATTGAGGAGTGATGATTTACGCTTGATAAACAAAGAGATGTGCCAGCTAAATCAATCAGAGAAATGAGGGGCATTACTCAAATTTTGCCATGTTGACAAGTTACAATTTTAAGAAGTTCCACTTCAGTTTACAAGCAAATCTTAAAATGTACAGTTGCTCGGTTGAGATGCCAACAGTTTAACGCTGAAGAGTATTTCAAAATCAGACAGCTTTTCATCTCAACTTTTTCTTATCACTTAAAAATGGCTCCATAAATACTCTGCAATCCTTTTTCAACTGATACGTATTTGGGATGGCTTATCTTATCTAAAAATGCACTAAACAATCCTACATTAAAGCCCTACATTTGATATACTCACATTGGCAACATTAAAACCTTCCCTTTCTGCCTGGCAAAATCAACAACGCCATCCCAACAGTCAAACTAAATCAAGTGACTGTTTTTAACAGTCAAGTTCTCCCTGCCTTCATAACACAGGATTGACTGGCTGTGACCATCGATGTAACTTGATATACATGTAGCTATGCTTTGACTGTGGGAGATTGATGAGCCAGCTGTACCTACCAGGTTATACATGCTTTTGTCTGAAGATGGAATTTGACTGTCACAGTGCCTACAAGAAATGTGATCTGATTGTTGGTGGTTAGTCTGTGTATAAAGGCATGGCACGGGACGAGGATGGATTTTTTTGTACTGTGAGTGACTGTTCAGACAGCAGAATTAAAGGGACCCCTACTGATAGTTCAATCCTTCCATAGCTTGAAATCATTGAATGTTATCAGTTTGCAGGATACTGACCTTGACGAGACAGAAGTCCTGTGGGTTCTCCTTGGGTCTGCCAAACTTCTCCAAGGCTTCCTTGACGATGGTATCAGCTGACCTGTCCACATCTACCAGTAGGGTCTTGTAAGGCACCTCAGGAAACAAGGAGTGGGCATAGATCTTCAAGGCTCCTCCTGTACAAAAACAAGATCACAAGTATCAAATCTGCATGTACACGTACCCGGCAGGATATTGCCAATGGAATTTTTTAAGTACGCAGCCACTATCACTGGGATTTTGCCAACGTTTGGCTCCATCTCAAGCTTTGCTTCAGGGTTTTTTTAACCTCTGATTCGGGTGAACTATGGCTCAAAATGGCTTCATGCTCGTTTTCAGAAACATCGCATTCAGTAATGAGGCAAAAGTTTAGAGTACGAAAACAATTCTCTTAGGGAAGCATGTGAATTGTTTTCGTTTTGCTGAAAGAACACTTACCTTGTTTGTGATCTGTGGACAGAACTTTTAAACGGTGTTTGTGTTCAAAATTCCATAACTTGAAAAGTACATTGGTGATTTGAATGATTCTTGTATCAAAAGAAAGCTCATTGACTGGGCTTTCATATCCTAGATTTTAAAGGTGCTACAGGCAAAACTTCATTCAAAAGTTGGTCCTGTCATTTGGGTTTCGTTTTTTTACTCACCCTGTATTTCCATTTGGTTTGGATGTTAAAGGCTTCTGATGATTCTCAAGCCAGAGATGGTGCTAAACCTGGGACAAAGCCGGCGTTTCAAAACCACCATAATATAGAGTATGGACTCCATGCAACAGTTACAAAGGGAGACTTATGAAGACTACTGGGAGGAACTCTAGAATGCCTTACTGATGGTGCCTAACGCTCACGCAAAAATGCAACAAATGTGTGCAAGTTCAGATTAAAATTAGTGGTGTGTACTTCACGCCATATGTGCGTGAAACAATATGCGCACCAAGTATGTCGCTCCCATTGGAGCTCATGACAGTTGAAACGAAGCGAAATCTCCTGTTCAAGCACGGAGCCCATATCTACATGTTACCACTGAGTACTGACTGACCTGACTGCGGACGACTCTTGAAGCGTTCCATCTGCTCTAGTTTCTTCTGACGTTGGCGTTTCATGACCATCTCCGGGTTGGAGATGGTACGAGTGAAGCGAGACTTAGACAGGTCCTGGTACAGCTTCTCCGCCTTGCTTTCCTCTGTTTCATTTTTGCTCTAATGGACGAAGAAGAAAAGGAACCAATTCAAATACTCATCCAATAAAGAAAAAAACAATCAAGTTATTCAATTTAACACCTAAAGTTTACCTTGTGCATTTCAATAGTGTACGATTTTGGCAGGAAAACAAATTCCTACCTTGAGTTTAGCTTCTTTATCCTTCTTTTTCTGTTCTTTCTTCTCCCTCTTGGAGAGCTTCCTCTTAAATGGCTGTGGAGGAGCATCCCCACCGTATAGATTGACCTGTAATGGAGCACACAAACAGGATTTAATTGTATAGTATAACCAAACCAGGACACCAAAATTCAGTACAGTATTCCTTAAAGGTCACAGTGTTACTTGTTCATTTTGTTTGTTCAACACTACATGTACCTGTACCTGTTCATACATGTACAGTCCAATCAATACTGCTTATTTATTTGGCCCTTCACCATGTAATTTCATAATTACTGTACACACTGTGCTGTCCTAGGGCTTGTGCAGAAGTCTCAGTACTTGATAACTGAGCTTATCACGGTCAGCTGGCTGGTAAGGCATCTGTACTAGTAAGCAGGGGGTTGTCGGTTTGAATCCTACCCGAGTAGAACGCCATGGTCTACTGGTTACGGTGTTTGACTCATGTACGAAGGTGTGTGGGTTCGAACCCAGCCAGGAACATGGTGTTTGTGCCCTTGGGCAAGACACTTAACTACAATTGCCTCTCTCCACCCAGGAATATAAATGGGTACCTGTGAGGGTCGAGGACCGATTGAACGCTGATATCAGCTGCTGCGTGGTCCCATGGCCTGATGAACGGGGTAATAATTGTAAAGCACTTTGAGATCGTTGATACGATGGAAAGCGCTATATAAGCACAATTATTATTATGACATTTGTGAATCTTTACTCGCTAATCCTTGGAAAGCACCGAGTATAAAATGCTTATGAAATTACACCTGTGGTAAAGCAAAAAAAATTGAATCTTTCTTCAAAATATTAAATGATACAAAATAGTGAGTTTGGATCCTTGCAAGCCTATGACCGTCTTTACCTTTGAGGTATCAGTTGTCATCTTGAGCAAGAAGCGACCTTCTCGTAAATCTTCACTCCAGTTTAACTGCACCTTCAGGGGGTGCTCATCCTTCTTGACTACACGTTCCTCTGGAAATATCAACAAAAATCAACAGAATACTGGTACATCATCCTGAAAATTACTGTAAGTCCATAAACGAGAAGTGGATCCCTGTGTACTTTCCAACATGACCAACATGTGCATGCCCCACACAGTATGCATTATAGAATTTGTCAGTGCCTATCACTTTGGAGTGCTAGTAAGTTGAAGTTTCAATGGATATCAGGTGAAATACAAGAAAGTCTTCTTTTGAAATTATATTCAGCAGAAGCAAACCCAATAATTTTGTGAGGGTACAAAACTTCATTAAAAACAATTCATTAATTCTGAACACGCTGTTACCTACTGGTAAAGCATTTTTTTTTTTTAGATTGCATGTATGTGGAAAAGTCTTTTCATTCAATTTGAAACATGGCATGTACAGGTTTATCATGGCTTCTGACTAGCGCCCCATGCACAAAAACATTGACAAATTGGGGAACTGCCAATAAAGGAGCTAGATAGCTCAGTTGGTAGAGCACCGGAATGGCAATCTGGAGGTCGCAGGTTCAAACCCTGTTCAAGTCAATTTGTTCAAATTTGAAACATTATTATAATGCACCTACATGTGATCAGTTCCCTTTGTGTGGTTTATTTGACAATTTGAGACAGAATTAATTTGAAACAGATTTTCCATGTTTCTCTTACATGTTTTAACAGAATTCAGAAATTGAGAATTACCAAAAAGAAAAACAAATTGACTGTTAACAGTTTGGGTATACATGTTTGAAGTACATGTTTGAAGTACATGTATACTGGCAGATGTCTGATCTAACTGTTTGGGGACAAGGCTACGTTAGACATACTCATGATCTTGCCATTCCATATGGTGAAACTGTTGATAAGCATTGTAAGGACAATTCTATGTGCCAAAGGTATGACCCCAGACAAGGACAAAGATAAGATTTGTCCTTGAGGCAAGGAGCCTAATTAAGCATGTCATGCATAATTTGTACATAAACATCCTTGCATCTATAGGCATATGTTCCTGATGCATGGTCACAACTTGTTCATTCACTTCTGGTACATGTACATAATTAATTTGTACAATACCATGTGTACATGTACATTGTATATAGTGCGCCATGTACATGTACAAAATGTACATGTATTACATGGCTCCATGTTCATTCTATAAAACAAAAACTTAAATCACACATGAAATTTGCTGCAAAGGCGTCAAAATAGAGTTTATTGTCCTAATCAAACATTATCTATTTAGTCTCTCTTTCAAATGTAACACAAAACTGATCTGTGCCCAAGTACATGTAAACAAAGAGAGACGCGATTTGGTTTGCTGCACACTGCACAGTCATTTGACAGTGTTGGTGTTTGGTGGGAAGATTCCTCCAATAAAAAAAAATTCCTTTAGGTTGCAGTGAACCGATGCCCTATGCAAGGTACTTTTCTTCCCATGCACCACATGCTGAGTCTGACCTGTTGTATTTAGTATGTGTAATCAATGACAATAGCCACTGGAATGTCAATGACATGTTCAAGGTTGTGCCTACTACGCACCAAATTACCGACATACCATGGGATGATTGATGTACAGATAACCAAGTGATGTGGGTGTATGCGTTTGGGCTGTGCATCCGAGCGGGTACAAGGGAACCCCATCCCCCCCCCCCCCCCCCACCTCTGAAGTCAGGAACCGGTTACAGATCATGAGATCTGGTATCCATAGCCAACTTTACCAATTGGGCAATTCCACACTAATGGGCCCAAAAGTGTGACATTTGAGAAGACCTTTAAGTTTTGATGATAAAACTGCGATTTTGGTCTCTCAATTTTTGCTGTAAACATTGCAAGCTTCGAACAAATATCCCACCCTGCAAATGATATAACTGGATTTGTATTTTAGAAAATACAGTGGATATTGTTTTAAAAAGTGTTACATACGTAAAGAAGGACAGACATTTTAGATAAAGTCACAAAGTATAAAGCATTAAATTTAATGATCCCCTAATGTGGACTTATTTAAGAAGATGTACCCTGGAGGAATGCTATTCAGTCAAAACCTCGAAAACTCAGAGTCACTGTGAAGAATTATAATGATATTTTATAATCAGGATTTCTACGTACGAACAGACTGGACATTTGTCACAAAATGTCTGTCCCTGTTCGTATGTAACCCTAATCACATCATCGATTGATAACAATGTAAAATGGCTTAATAATGTCACTGGAAGTGCCTATTAGAAACTGAGTTTGTCCTAAGCACCCTTTTCCTTGCAGTGTGTCTGTCCACGTTACATGCGTATCACACAGAAAAGATGCCTGTTATTTTCTCAAATAAAATCATCTTTTGTCTCGTCTTGTCCTAGTCACTTTCAACTTACAAATGTAGCAAGGTATCGGAAAAAACTTTTAAAAAACACTAGCTCATCTTTTACTCTTATGCAACATCCATAAAGTTATCTAATTGGCCCATTAGTGTGGAATTGCCCATTTACTTAGTAACTTCTCAGACATTGAGAAAAAGAAAGGCTTTGAATGTCATTTCTAGGGAATTTTCAAAATGAAAACCAGGCTACATGGGAAAAACAGAACAGATGTCACGTTTATGATGCTTGAGAAAGCTTCAGAAGTTCAGTTCCACCATAAAGCTACCGGTAGTACATGATAAAACTCAATGTACACACTTGTTTCGTGCTGCTTTGAAGTACCGATGTTGTAGTATTAAAATCGTGCAGACCTTAATCGGGTACCCGGCTCCCGTACTATCTGTAAATGCACACCCCTACTCCTTGAGCGTGCATTATAAACACGTCCCAATTTCTAACAATATCTCATGCAGTGATCCCTACCAGTAAAAATAGCATACATTTACAGCAAACTAGATAAAACATTGAAATCATATCAGCTTCTATGTGGGACATGCTGTATTTCTTTAGCAATTATAAAGTGTAATAAACCGCAAACTGAAAGTGATACTGATACTGATACCCAACCTCAAATGACTGAAACCTCAAATGACTTATGATGCATTGTAACTAATAGCAAAAACAAATCTAAACTTTAATTAATTAAGCCATTTACGTTTTTCTGTTTACTTTCTGCTACATCACTGTAAAGCTAACGTTGTGTCTGGAGAAGTACAAAAATACACTGTACATGTACAAGTACATGTTTCCAGACACATATTACAACTGATCACATTTTCCTAACACCAAGAGTATTTTGAGATTCTTCACAATCCACTGGGATGGTTTGGGTGCATTTTGCAGGACTGAGGAAGGTGCAGCTCGGCAACATGTGCTATTGGGTCTTAACAGTGGTAGATTTAACAGGATTCAGAAATGTTACATTTCACATTGGCCTAGTATGAGTTACAATGTACAAGGATGACAGTACTTCTCCTGAGTTTTTTAACCCTAACATCCTAGACATTACTTCGGCATAAGGAACTGAGTCGTACAGAATACTACAAAATTATGTATGCAGGCACCAAATACCAAAAAATACTATGAGTGCTGTGCCCACTTACATGCTGAAGTGCTGCATACTGGTACTACAGTTTAGTATTTTGTAGCTTTAGGTAAGGTTACGGTTAAACAGCAAGGCCTTTTTATTTAGTTATAGACCAATGCATTAAGTCCCGCCTATGACTGCTCAACCAATTTGTCAAACAAAAGTCTGACATGTGCAGCTGGAAAACAAAGTGTCTCATTGGGGAAATGTTGCTAACCGAACAGCAAAGTGGGTGGGGCTCATGGCCACATCCAGATCAGTCCACTTATTAGCCCACGTTCAGTGCACTTACAAGCTTTCATGTACCGGTATTTGCGATAAATTTCATCGAAATGATGTGCATGTGCCAGAGGTTGTTTTCATTGCAAGGCAATGTAGAAGTCATTATTTTTAGTATGATAATTGGTGGTGTTCATGTACATGTAAATGTACACGTGTACACACATGTAATGTGGCATAGATTATTAGCATTTGTACCATGGATTTGACGCCACTCACATCATGCTCACATGTACTGTACATGTACATGTATACATATAATTTGCTGAATTTGGACTGCTATCGTATGTTTACAATACATGTATATTTTATTAGTGCCATTTGTGCCTCAGCAACCATGCAGGTTTGCAAACCCAGCAGAACGTGACCAACAACTGACCTCCACTTGGTTCTCACTGCACAATCCCTCACCACATGATGCAGGGATACTGGATACAATTCAGCATTATGCAGGGCACTGACGCTAGAGCCTAGGGCTAGGCACTTCCAATCAGGCTGCCATGCTGGTAGTAAAAGTCTGTCACTTGTCAGCACACACAGATGTTCACCTGTGCGGCTATTAGCAAATGACTTAGAAAATAATATGGTAACAGTATGCATCACATTAAAACAAATGTAAATGTACCTGTACAGTAACGGATACATGTACATTACATTTAATAGGCATCGGTTATGTAACATGTATATGTACATGTACCTGTTCAATAACAAAAACAAAACAAAAAAAGACATAAAACATAAATTTCTAGGCCTCACAATGCCACAATTTTCACTAGATGTGCATTTACTAAAACTATAGGTTCAGGTGAAAGACAGTGCAGTGGGTGTACATGTACCGCAAATAGAATGACCAGACACGTCATTTGGCTGACACAGCACATACCTACACCATAGAGCAAGGACAGACAGACACAGGGTGAAGATATGTGGACAGGCAAGAAACAAAGGGCAAATTTGCCCACATCCCGCCTACGTATAGGCCTACTGCACATGTGTATGTATACATCTTCATACATGATATTGGGTTATAATGTATCAAACACTACCGGTACTACATACATACGTGTAAGTATGTACACCTCACATTTTGGGCAGAATTTCAATAGTAGGCCTACCGGTACTTCACTTTAGTACATAAATGTATGTAAAGACCTACTGTAGTAATTGTAGGACTGAGACTTAAGGCCATTGCATGGTGCACACTTTTTACTCATGTACATATTCTACATGTACATGTACATGTACACTATGGGAAAACAACATGGATTGCATCTGTAACAAGTGACCATTCATTATCCCAAACATGTACAAGACTTGAATTTTGGAAAAACTTTACTCCAAGCTACTCTGAACACTGAATCATGCAACATTTCCTAACACAGTACTTTGAACTCTTGGCTCTTGACAAAGGAACAATCACATTCAATGTCATTTGATCGCTATCTGGAATACATGGATACGAATTAAAAATATTTACCAATAACTCTTTTGTCTTTGAGAATAAATCACGAGCAAATATGACTTTAAAACAAACATAATAGTACAACCTATCCTGAACAGTATGTGCCATAAAAGATAAACTCCTAGATGGCACATGGTAGCATCTGTGGTCAAGGTGTCAAAAGTATTAGTTTACATGCTTATAGGCCTACATGTAATTTTCTCATAGATTTCTAATATATTTCTCCCCAACTGAAAGGCCCTAACCTATGCCACTGTAAGGGTCATAGAGCACAAGCGTTAGAAGCTGTTACCATGGTAACCTGGCTGCCTACAGCAAGACCAATCATCTCAACATTCTGGATGAACAGGCAAAATAAACCACCTGACTTGCACAAATAAATGGTCATCAGGTTAATATTAGAGCTTGACAGATAGATAAATAATCCACACTAGTTTGCATACATTGCAAAGCATACAATGTACTGCACATGTACATGTACATGTACACCCTGTTCAGAGGATCACAAGCCTTAATTAACCCTCCAAGGCTCCAATGCAATTATTGTAATTGTCCTTTCACTCAAAACCAGTCAAGTGACTGTTTTTAACAGAACATTTAAGAGCTCCTAGCCTACATAAAATAGAATTGACTGGCTGTGACTGTTTACAATGTATAACTTGATACAGCTACATGTATGCTTTGACTACAGGTGATTTACAAGCCAGCTGCACCTACCACTTGCCTGCTTTTGTCGGTTGACTGAATTTATGAAAATATGATCTGAGTGTTGGTGATAAGCCTATGTAAACTAAAAGGCATAGCAGGGGAAGAGGATTGATTTTTAGACAGTCTGTGACTGTTCCCACAACAGGAGGGTTAATGTTATAATTACAGATCATGTTTTGAGTAAAAACAGTACCGTATGGTGGCCCTGAAGGGACATCGCATATCGCAAACGTGTGCGCATACATATGCGATGTCGCGAAATTTATCGCGAATGTGTGTGCACACGTATGCGATGTCGCGAAATTTATCGCGAATATGTGCGCACATGTATGCGATGTCATGAAATTTATCGCGAATATATGCGCACACGTATGCGATGTCGTGAAACAATTCGCAAATATGTGCGCACACGTATGCGAATTTGTTTGCAATGTCGTGAATTTTATTGCATACCTTGTCGCATACCTTTCAGTAAAATTCCTAATGAACTGGGGAGTTGTAGCAGCTAGTCTGGAATCTAGACGTACTGTTAGATATAAATGGGGTCTGACTAATAAACCTTTGAAATTTGCACGCGCAAGTTTGAAACTTGCGCGCGCAAATTTCAAAGTTGCGCAAGTAGCAAGTTTGCGCTCGACAGTACTAGTACATGTAGTAACGATTGCACGAGGAACAGCGTGCGCGTGAAGGTTTATTAGTCAGACCCTATTTATATCTAACAGAACGTCTAGATTCCAGACTAGCTGCTACAACTCCCCAGTTCATTAGGAATTTTACTGAAAGGTATGCGACAAGGTTTGCAATAAAATTCACGACATTGCAAACAAATTCGCATACGTGTGCGCACATATTCGCGAATTGTTTCACGACATCGCATACGTGTGCGCACATATTCGCGATTAATTTTACGACATCGCATACGTATGCGCACACGTTTGCGATATGCGATGTCCCTTCAGGGCCACCATAGTACCGGTACACATGTATGTTCCTACTGTATGCAACATTTATGATTATACACCCTTGATGTGTAAATGAGGTCGTAAGTAAATTTGTGTGCATGATCCCTCTGAAATCCATGAAAGATTAAAATGACGGCACAAAAGTTGTTGAGGTTGACCTCGTTAACCAGGCAATTTTTCTCTTTTGTAAATCCGTGAAATCAATTGAACACAGTGTAACTAAATGTATCACAGAGCCAGGGCTTTTCTCCAGACATTTACTGCAACTTGTGTCAGTTCTGTGTATTCGTGGACTCATGGGCACACCCAGGATCTATCTTTGGACAGGGCTCACCAGTGATTCTTACACCAGCCACGAGCAAACTCAAAAAGCTGGACAGGGGTGGGAAAGCTGGACCTAATTTGACACTTAGGCCACTGATAATTTTATGTATTGTACACGTATTTAGCCCTGATTTTATGAGTGTGCAATTTATGCAAAACAAACTTAAAGGGGGCCTGCTATTGGCTTACAGCTCCTTTTTTTTGGGGGGGGGGGGAGTGGAGGGGGGTTGGCGATGGTGGTGGGGGTCTAGGTACCTCCAAAAGTGCAATTTCTGACCTTTATAACCCCAGGGCAAACTGTACTCAAGCAGTATAAACTGATTATGACAGCACTGGCTCAAAGAAACTTGTTTATATTTTTAATACCCTTGGGCCAAAGATTGTTGGTATCACACGGACAGACAGGATCTGGCTTTCAATGTAAACTACATGTAACGACTAAATTATGTAAATTGTTGCATAGTTTATTGCTAACACTCCACAGCGTTAAACTTCCGACAACCCATTTTTTAATTTGAGGTGATAACCAGTAGTCTAAATTCATATCGATGCATATTTTCATTTTATTTCATCTGAAGATTCCTGCACTAAAATTTCTCTGAAAACAATGGTGCTTTCATTACATGTACATGTACATCAGTAACATATTTCAAAATGAAGTTAAGAATGCCATGGTCCAGTGGTTACGACGTTTGACTCATGTACGATGGTGCGTGGGTTCGAACCCTGCCAGGAACATAGTGTTTGTGCAAGACAATATAACTACAATTGCCTCTCTCCACCCAGGTGTATAAATGGGTACCTGTAACTAGGCTTGAGCAGTTCCAACCTTCCTGGAACCGGTTCCGGTTCCCAAAAAAGAACCGGTTCTGAGTCGGAATCGGCTCCCGGAAAATTTAATGAAAAGCATAAGCTCTGGAAATTACATGTAAAGAAGTGTGTCACCTACGTGAGGCCGTGCTCCTTGGATTTTGACGTGCAACAATACATGTTATTCTACGGTACTACGTATGTTTTCAGTGTCTTTTTCCTGTGAAACTGCGAGCTTTATTACTTCATTCTCTGTTCCATTCCCATGATTTAATTTACTGCGGCGGCGACACCGCCATACTGTCGAGAGTAAACAATTCACTGCACAGCACAAGTACATGTACACGCACACGCTACGCACGTACACACTGGTACCTTGCTTTCAATGAACACGTGGAACTGATCGAGTGCTGGAATCGGCTCTGACCATAGCTCTGATGGACCCGTGTACAAATTTACCCGGCTCTGATTCGAACGAGTCATGGGCGGTCCGGATTCGACTGCTGTATTATCTAGCAGGTATAGCAGCCTATTTTTCACCATGTGCACCGAACAGAAAGAAGTTTTAGAAATGAAGCAAAGGAATAATTCATTTTCATGCAACAGTAGATTCGAGACTCGTATGGAGCTGGGGATTTTTTACATGTACCCCGGCCCACGGCTCATGAAATCCGAATCTCAAAACAGCGCTGTACCCAGTACACGGGTCCGTAGATCCGATTCCTGCGGCACTCATCAGACAGAGCGGGGGCCATCACAGCCGATTCCAGCACTCACAGGCGGTGTGACAAAAAAATTGACTCATAACAACGAACTCCTTTTTTGTGATCATTCATTTTTCTAATTATCTATGCAGAAGCATGCGCAATACCACCATGGAGTATTTTATGAACCTAAATTCACGCTACACCGATTGTCCAAACGGACTTAGTATTGGGCTCAATGCAATGCACTGCTATGCATGCATGCACGCCTCGTGGCCCGACCGCAAACATCGTAGGGCGGTTTGTCTCCGACTCTCTGTGATGTATTTGGAGTCTGTGGTTTTCTCGCCGTTGTTTTGACTAGCGAGATTGAATGATGTCCCGGTGTTGACTTCCTACCTGTATGTAGCTGATTCTCGGCTCTGGATTTCGTGCACAGAGAATTGGTAATTTAATCTGGAACCGATTCTTTTGGACGGGACACACAGCGTGTGCGTACTGTACTTTACTGGTTATAACGCGCGAAGTACCCAAGACTTCCTTAATGTACCAAAGTTATTAGCCATAGCGTCTTCGCATGAGCGTCAGGCGTTGTTGGCGTGCGAGAATGTTCAAATTTAATTGCAATGATCTCCCAGACTAATCCCCGCCCCAAATACATTTGGATCACTCGAAATACACAGTCTAGGTCTCCCCCAACTCTCCTTTTCTGGCCGTTGAAGGGGTACTTGTGCAGGGAGCCCATACAACAACAAATCATTACTATACTTCATACATATTCATGAACCAGAGCCGAACTCTCACTGGTCAATTCACCATCACGTGCCAGATGTTATTTTTGCTGTTTACCAAGCACGCGTGTGAGGATTCACGCACAGGGTAAATACGCATGCATATAACATGGTTTATTTCGGGTGGACAGTTGATATTAGCTCCCCTCGGTATTGGAAGTTGACAAACTAGTTCCCTCGGCTTCGCATCGGGGAGCAAATATCAACTGTCCACCATCAAACCACGTTATATTTGTATAGTTGTCTGATTCTTACCGCCATTGGCATGTACTTCCACCAGTATGTAGTCTGGAATGGACAGCATGCGCATATCAGGATGGAATTTCTCTATCAATGTATTGATGACATCTGTTGTGTTGGCTGAGCTGGAAACACGAATGCATTTGGATGTCACTTTGTCACCTTCCTCCTGGTAGAAGAAGCGCATCACTCCGAAGAATTCCAGGTTCTGCAGATAACAACACCAAACAACCATATTCTCAGAGTCAAGTTTCTTAAAGAACCTTTGTGTATCGGTACATATATGGTAAAGCCCTTTTTGCCAACTGACTATTTTTGGGGAAAAAGTAATTAATGACTTAGTAGGCTATGGCGCATGAACTTACTTCAAAGTAAAGGTACATGTACGTTGTAGTCCTAATGTTAAGTTGTTCTACAAGTTTGACATTCATTACCTTTGTAAAAAAAAAATTACAAACAATTACATAAAATTCACAAAACATACACTGAAACAAAACAAAACTTTTACAATTGCTTACTTCTAACAAGTACATGTAATTCCATTTAATTAATTGAATTTAATTAATTGAATCACGTAAAGACTCAGCTCAGTGATGTACATACATGTACATGTTATATTGTGTATGTAGAGGCAAGGGATCCTCTTAATAATTTCAGCAATCTGATGTTTATGTAAAGAAACTCCTTGGAATGTGATAACGTAAACATTCCATACATCCACATCATACAGACACAGCCTTTGATCTCGATAATGAAGAGTTGAACTGAGAGACATGCAAGTGCGTATAATGTTTATAAATCTCTGTGTGTTTATTTTAAATTTCACTAAAGCCTACTGGGCAACTTCTAACCTTCATGTTACATTTATTTGGCATGTATACTGTACTGCATGTCGATGGCTACAATCCCACACCCCTAACCACCCCAAACCAAAATCCAACTGCACAATTTGTTGGAATCTGTTGGAGTGGGTACTGCACTAGTAAACTGGTAGGGTCGGGCATACATTGTACATGTACCACCATAATCAGAGTCCAACAGTTTGGGCATTGAGTTAGGTGTTGGATTTTGCAAGAGTGAGGAAGGTTCCTGTAAACCACTCTAGGGGGTAAGAATTAATACTAGTGCATTCAGGGCTGTGGAACCACCCCATCATTATTTTATGAATTTGAACATGTACCGGATATTTCACTTTCTCTGTTTTCTTTACTTTCCTTTTTTCTTTGCCATTGGGTAATTTTGGGTTATCAGCATTGGATTGCAAAGATTCTGGGAAGGTTTAAGCAGGTTCAGTGGTAAGGGCTTTCTATTGCTTCATGCAAATTGCTGTCTTTGTGTACTGTGACGTCTCCATAGGTATGACTGTATTCAATGGATTGTAGTTTTAACATTCATTGAGCTCTCATTGCAAGTGCAGCCCACTACAGCTGTTGACAGTACACTCTTCATGTATTTTTGTTGTTCAAAAATGCACATCATTAATACCTTACACAGCCAAACATCTTGGACATTTTTGCAGGACGCTTTTAAACACAACATCCAAGTGCATCCAACACAATACAATAGCCCAATGCAACTGGCACAATGCACAAAACTGGAACACATTGCTCATTATATTTTTAACACCGTCTCAATTTTATTTGTATTCATTACAATTTACATGCCGTTGGGCTTACATGCAAGTCCTAAATCCAACAAAATTATGTGTTAAATTGTTGAAGGGTTGGAGATGATCAAGGTTAAACAAAAAGTGGCTGTGCCAAAATAGTGCTATGAAATTGGTTCACGAGACTGCAAGTGCAATGTAGGAAATTGATGGCATCAATAACTTCCTGTAGTACTTCCTGGATACAAATAAAATTGACACAATGTTAAAAATGTTTAAAAACCACTCCCCTTGCTGTATAATACATGTACACAAGAACAATTAGCCTACAAAACAGCAAAATGATTAAATAAACAATTCGCAACAAACTTTAATTTGGAGTTTACTAACAATAACATGCGTTTTAAAATAAATACATTCAAATTTTACTATATTCAAATTTTACTATTCAAATTTTACAGTTAAAAATGTTCATGTTTCCCAAATGATTTTATCAGAATACTATACCAGTAATGTTTCTTTCCTTACATTTCTGTATGAACTTGAACATGTCGGACGGCGTCAGGTTGCAACATTCTTTCCAAATCAAAATCTCAAACATTGTGTCAAATTGACAAACATTTTTCATTAAACATGATGAAATGTCACTAAAAAAAAACCACAATTTGCCTTCATAATCATTCACCAAGCACAGCAATTGTCAAACTTTATGCTGGTTACATATCATTCATGTTTACAATGAAATCACAGTCTGTGTCATGGTTTAGGGTGTAATAAATATTAGAGGAATTTGAAAGAGTGCACATTATTTTACCTCATCTGGTTCAGTTATTTCGAACAGATCCAACCGACTTGCATTCCATACTTCGATGACGCGCTTCAGGCGGAGTCTTTCATCTTGTGCGCCCCGCCGAAACATCTTGTTGCAGGTGGTACCGTTTCTCTGGTCTTCCACTGACAAAATTATGATTCCATCCGGATGAATATTTGTGATTCTGTTGGGTAAAATCCGTCGAGTTTACTTCTGTTTTCACACCACACGACGCGACAACTCCAGCAGTCGTAGTAGTTTTAAACCATTCTTAACTGCGCATGCGTGATACAATCATTTGAATGGAATGCACTGTGGTGTAGTCTGGTGCTCAAACTGGATTTCTGGATTATATTATAAAAGAACCGTGAGTCGGTTGGGTATGGGACCAGGAGGGGTGTGGGTATTTTTATTCTTTAAAATCCATTTTGTTCTAGTTAAACGCGTTTCGATGAGTCGGCTGAACGTGGGTTCTTTAGTTGAGAAAAGTATTTGACATGAATCATACATGATGAGCTCTGACCGAAGTCCATCAGTAGGAATTTGACTTTTATTGTTGTGGGTGAAACAGGAAGTAGGGGGATCTTTTTTTTTATTATTATGTCGGCGGTTCCTCCGCGATTCAGTTGATGAAACTTGTTCAACCGTATAGGCCCATATTTATTTCAGCAGCCCTGTATCTCTGCTGTGTGCAAATTGCATTTCTCAAGTTTCAGGCTCTTTGATATTCACAAAAAATGCCGGCGGGGGGGGGGGGGTTCATCAGCAAATCATTGATGAAATGTAGACAGCCTACACTTAATGGCCTCCATAATGTTGGGGACAGGCTAGGGGGGGGGGGGGGGGGGGGGGCTCATATTTCATACTCTCAATGGGGGCGCTGTCCAAATCCCAAGAGTACGTATTAACACTATTATTACAGACTAGTGTACGTACCCCCTAATAAGCTGGCTGTACAGTGTAGCAAAAAACAAATATTAAACTGGCTCCGTCCGTATTTTGTGCACAGGCATACATTACTATATAGTTTTGGGGTGTCAGAGCGGGGGTGGGGGGGTTCGCATTATTTTTAAAGAATTTCTATGAATAAAAAACACATTTTTTTTTACAGACCTAGGGGGGTCCCCCTGGATCCGCGCCTGTACGGTAGTAAATTAAAAAATGTTTAATGATAAAAAAACTTTTCTTCTGTTGTATTTTTTTCGTGAATGACTTTTTTTTAATGATGTTTATAATGGGTTGCTTTGGCGCACAAACATCATGCCAAGCCTTGCAAGTACGTTGCAGTTATGGGAGCTTTCCGGTGATTCTCTGGCGGTAAATAACTCAAATTTTGTAAAGTAGGCCTGTAATATTATTGTCCCAAACTACACATAGATTACTTTTTGTTGTTCCATTTCTCATTCACGGGTAAAATGGTTGTTTTGTATAAAGTAATTTTTTCATAATTAAGCTAGATGGATGCGTATCATATCGTAATCTGCCTCATTCAAAAGCCCAATTTAAATATGCGTTCCCCGTGCCATTTTCGAGTTGTGACCTCGAAAAATCGATCTGTTTTATAGCAATATAAAAGTTATTCACTTTTGAATGAGACGTTGAAAAAATATCCAAGGACTGTTTAGTATTTCTTCACCAAATACGACACTGATTCGGCTCTCGCATAGAGGGTTATTTTTTTTAAAGAGGGTTCGATCTCTTGCAGACACCCAAAATCAGAATAAAGTATTCGTTACTTTGGAGGGGACAACAATCCATTTTGAACAGCATGATGGGGCATGCATCTTGAAAACGTCGAATTTCTGCTGCGTCTAAACCCCTGAATAAAAGTACACTAGGAACGGCCGGCAAAAATTTGACGTTTGAATTGACGCGACAGTCTGTCGGATTTCTGCAGAAAGTTTGACAGGCTGTCACCACGATCTTGCGGCACTTGAAGACTGATACGGCTTTAAACGTCGAACTTTTCTAATCCAATTCGACTCGATGTGGCCCGAATCCGAATTTCTATCACCGTGGAAACTTGCAAATTATGCTGTCAAGGGAGGATTTGGGGGGGGGGGGGGGGCAAAGGGGGCCATGCCCCCCCCCCCCAAAAAAAACGACCCCATTTTTAAAAAAAAGTGACTTCGCAATAAAGGCAGGCAATGAGTACACCACCAATATTTCCTAAAAAAACATTGGTTAAAGTGGTCAGAAATTTCCTCAGATCGCACCACAGAGCACCTAGAATCCAATTTTTTTTCGGGGCCCTTAAAGCGGGCCCCGAAACCAATGTCGTAATTTCTTTGACCCACTTTTTGGGGGACCAAATATTTTTTTTTTTGGCCCCCCCCCAAAAAAAATTGTGTTCTGGATCCGCCCTTGTATGCTGTAGCCTAGTGTACTTGAGGCATAAAGGGAAAATACAACATTTGCAAACATCAAAAAATAAAACTACCAAATCATTTCGAAATACCTTGCTGGACTGTTAGTGAATGACAGTGTAAAGCATCCTGTAAAATCATGGCACCTGGTATACTGTCATTTTCAAGAAAAGTGGTATTTTAGTATCAATTTCCAACGCTGATCGGCCGACCAGCGTTGGAAAAAACTGGCTTTTTTTCAAATACTGGCCCCAGTTGACCACCGCACTTGTTTGCAATCGATTACACACCTATGAACGGGTACAAGCCAGCTAGACTGGTTCCCTGACCTTACAATTCCCCAATGTATGTAAACTGCTCTGTTTCTTCTTGAATGGAGTCAGGGAACCAGACTACAGGAAAATGATTGTTTTTCTTGGTTTTATAGCATTTTCGAACCCAAAACCTCAAAAAAGTCAGTGTAACTATATTTGCTATTTATTTCCACCCCCCCCCCCCCAATTCCATCCATTTCTGAAAATTACAGCAAAAGCAAATACCTCTTGGACCCTCTTCTGCGAACTCTTGTTCAAATAACTTTTGATTTTGATAGAAAAAAATAACCCAAACAAAATATGTTCTTCAGGGTGAAACTCGAAAAAATGTGCACGAACAATAAAAAAAAAAGTGCCCGGCCAACGACCAAAAAATGCCGCAAATAGCGCCCTCCCGCTTTTTTGAGCTTTCACGGCTAGCCCGTGCACTTGAAATTTGGGTACCCATGACAAATTTCTCGGTACGCCATATTTTGTTTGTTGCCCCCCCCCCCCCCCCTTTTAGACCAAAGTTACTGCCATGGGCGTCACAATCGGTGGGGGACGGGGGGGGGGGGCAAGTCTCTCACCCACACTTTTTTAAAGTGGGGGATATCACTTATCGTTTGCTCCTCCCCACTTCTTTCGTCCCCGAATAACAAATGTGTAGCCTACACGTGATTCTATAACTCAGAATAGCTGATTTGATGACTCCAAACTCGAAAATGATGTGTATTCACTGCAGAATCAATCAAACCACAGTGCTCGGTCGGTTTAGCGCGCCACAGTGTAGGCGGGTGGTTTCGGGTGGTTTCGAGCGCTACAGTAGTGATTTTAGTGTTAAAAAATGAAACACTTTCATCATAGCTAGAAGACGTCCGATAAACCACCCGTAGGTACATTAGTAACAAAAATGCTTAGGATCGTTACACGGTGGACAAAAGCACCATTTTTTTCACCAAAGCATCTCCATGGTATACCTTTTCGAAAAAAAGACGGACGCAAAAATTGGATGATGGGAAGGACATGTATGACGTCATTATGACGCCATCAGCTAATTATTACATGAAAAAAAATATAAATTGATAATAATCTTCAGAACTACAAGCATCACAACAACAAATGTGGTATCAAATTAAAGGGGACAACAAGATCTGTCATTTGAGTGGTATGTCATTGGGATGGAGTATAGTTAACCTTTTGTTTTGGTCAAAAGACCTTTTTTTGGCTAAAATCATGGATTTTGGGTAGTCACTTTGACACCTTGTTTTAACATGCAAACAGTATGTGGTATTGTGAGATATTGTTTTTAAGTCAGAGAGAAAGGTTAAAATTCTGTGTCAAAAGAGTTTTTGTAATTGATTATTAGTATCCTAAATGTTTAAACTTGTTCCAAAGATAGGCGGAAAAGTGAGGTACCTTATAGAAAAAAATCTTGACACGGGTGGACAAAAGCACCATTTTCACACCAAAGCATCTCCATTGTTTACCTTTTCGAAGAAAAGTAGGATGCAAAACATATGGGAAGGGCCATTTATGACATCATTATGACGTTATCGGCTAATTATTACACACTTATACATGTACATTAAAATTGAGAAATTAGTTAGGAATAAGCCATGGATCGTTTTTTTTTTCACCTTTAATATACGTTTCTGAGATCAAGGAAATCAATACAGTTGCCAATTTTGTTCTTAAACTATCTTTAAAAGATTTAAATACAAATAGTTTGATAAAATTAGATTGTTTCCTAATTTAACGTATTAAATTAAACATGTATGTACATGTACATTTAATACACCCTCGCTTCTATCCCCTGTTGTGATCAATGATTTGTTAAAATGCAATGTCTTATGTCATGATTACCTCATTAATGATTACCTCAAGAATGATGCCACGAGGCATTATTTTCCACAAAAGTTTCTACTGTCCCTTCGTCTCCGTATTCTACATCAACTGGCAATGCACTTATTGCCCTAAACCTTTCAGCATTTGCCAGGAATTGAGCATATACATCTCCGGCGTTACAAATTAAACCTTTTTGTGGACAACGTAGTTTTTTTGGTGTAGTTTGCATGCATAATAATGCAAGCAGTCCAATCCATGATGACTGTCCTGAAATACGATAGTAGCAGTTTACATATAAGCAATAAAACGGAGAATGTTCAAACCAATTGTATACGTTCCAATGTTGCAAAAAAATACGTTTTTTGGAGTTATGTGGAAGATAACAAGAAAGGATAACTACTCACACAATGGACCTTCAGAGATGCTCTGCTCGTGTCACACAGAAGATGATGTCTGGTGGATACTTCAATAGGACAGACGGTCCGAGTGCCACCCGATATAGTCCGAAGGTCCGATATAGTCCGAAGGTTCTTTAGTCCGAAGGTTCGATAGTCCGAATAGACGATATGGTTTGATAGTCCGAATCGACAATAAGGTTTGATAGTCCGAATAGATGATAAGGTTCGATAGTCCGAATACACGGTAAGGTTCGATAGTCCGAATCGAAAATAATGTTCGATAGTTCGAATTGACAATAATGTTCGATGGTCCGAATTGACAATAAGGTTCGATACTACGAATTGAGAATAAGGTTCGATAGTCCGAAGGGACAATGCGGTTCGTCAGTATGACACTTCGGACTATCGGACCTTACTGTTGATTCGGACTATCGGACCTTATAGTCTTTTTGGACTATCGAACCTTATTGTCCATTCGGAATAATGAACCTTCGGACTATTGAACCTTATTTTCGTTTAGGACCTTCAGAGATGCTCTGCTCGTGTCACACAGAAGATGATGTCTGGTGGATACTTCAATAGGACAGACGGTCCGGGTTCCACCCGATATAGTCCGAAGGTCCGATATAGTCCGAAGGTTCTTTAGTCCGAAGGTTCGATAGTCCGAATAGACGATATGGTTCGATAGTCCGAATCGACAATAAGGTTTGATAGTCCGAATAGATGATAAGGTTCGATAGTCCGAATACACGGTAAGGTTCGATAGTCCGAATCGAAAATAATGTTCGATAGTTCGAATTGACAATAATGTTCGATGGTCCGAATTGACAATAAGGTTCGATACTACGAATTGAGAATAAGGTTCGATAGTCCGAAGGGACAATGCGGTTCGTCAGTATGACACTTCGGACTATCGGACCTTACTGTTGATTCGGACTATCGGACCTTATAGTCTTTTTGGACTATCGAACCTTATTGTCAATTCGGAATAATGAACCTTCAGACTATTGAACCTTATTTTCGTTTAGGACCTTTGAACCTTCGGACTGATTAAACTTATTTTAAATTCGGACTGTCGAACCTTCGGATAATGAACCTTTTTGGCTTATGAACCTTCGGATTAATGAACCTTCGGACTATTGCATGTTCGGATTAACAAACCTTATTTCATTTTCGGACTAACGAACCCTCTTGTGGAATCTCATCAAAACGCTTCACGACCTTATTTTCATCCGATTTTTTGCATCCTACCCTATTTTTGATCGTAACACATTGGCAAAGCTTTGGTGAAAAAAATGGTGCTTTTGTCCACCGTGTAACGATCCTTAGCATTTTTGTTACTAATGTACCTCACTAATTTCTGCCTATCTTTGGAACAAGTTTAAACATATAAATGATCAATTATAGAAACTCTTTTGGCATAGAATTTGAACCTTTCTCTCTGACTTAAAAACAACATCTCACAATACCACATACTGTTTGCATGTTAAACAAGGTGTCAAAGTGACTACCCAAAAATCCATGATTTTAGCCAAAAACAGGTCTTTTGACCAAAACAAAAGGATTTTTGACCCACAAAATCACCTTTAACTATATTCCATCCCAATGATATACCACTCAAATGAAAGATCTTGTTGTCCCCTTTAAATTGATACCACATTTGTTGTTGTGATGCTTGTAGTTCGGAAGATTATTATCAATTTATATTTTTTCATGTAATAATTAGCTGATGACGTCATAATGACGTCATACATGCCCTTCCCATCGTCCAATTTTTTGCATCCGTCTTTTTTTTAAAGGTATACCATGGAGATGCTTTGGTGAAAAAAATGGTGCTTTTGTCCACTGTGTCACGATTTTATCACTAAGGTACCTCCGTCACTAGAGTGGCGAGGGCCTACTTGAAAATCACCGTCCGTCTTTGACGATTTCGATAATTTATTGAATTCACATGAATTTTAACGTGTTCTTTGTTCTTTTGACAGAATTCCGGTGTGTCTTGATAAGATAAGAGGGTGGCTAAATAGGCGCACTGTTTGTCCACTATTTGGAGCTCCACAACCTCCAGTTAAAAAAAACCAACACCACATTTCATTCATAACAAAATCGAACTTGCCATGATCCAAAGGCCTATAAGTTTTTATGAATATTTCATGTTGAAATTGTTTTTTAGTAACAATGATATATATTTTTAATTTTGCATATAGTTCTCATGTAGGTTATTTACGTTGGAAGTGAAGTCTACCTTTGAATACTTAGTATAGTGCTTTTAAGTTTCCCTCTGAGCATGTTTTTTTTGTCAGGTAATTTCAAATGGTAAAGGTCACGCAAAAAAAGGTTGACGTTACGCGTTTGAATGACGCATCTCATGATAAGCCAAAGCCTTTCACCGATTTGGTGAAAGTGACCGATTTTGCAAGTTTAGGGCGCAAAATCAATCGGGAACAATTAAGCCGTATAGTGGAGATTGTGTAAAGAGAAATATAATTTAAAATCATTGTTTTTAATTATTTTTCATTTTAGGCCATGATATGGCTATTTATTATTTTTTTTTTGGGGGGGGGGGTACAGGTATTCACTTTCCTTCTTTACCAGTCAGATTGCGCTTATTTCACTCAGTTAATTCTTTTAATCGCATTATTGAAGATGTTATCCAGAATCATAATTAATTTAATTTAAACTTCTAAAATGTTCCTCGTGCCCAGTTATCTTTGTTCTTAGTTGGGTTCTTGGCCAATTCCTACATCCATTCGGAGTTATGTAAAAGTTAAACGTAATGATGTTATCACTTTCGACTTTTCCCAGTATCATTCTTCTCGTTTTTGTGAAATGGGAAACTGTTTAGTGAAATCAAAATATTATTGTATTATTTTAGAATGAATTTTTTTCTACTCACAATTTCTTCATTTCTACAAGCGAAGTTATTAATCAAAGGTCGCAGGGAAAGAGAAATTTAATTGCTGGCTCTTTAATTCTATGTGATGTGTATGTACAATATTATCGAAATCAAGGCACATCCCCTCTTTTGGATCCCACCCTCAAACTATTTTCTTTTGAAATATGTCTGACCTAAGTATGCAGTTAGTCCTGTTTAGGCTCTTCAAGATTAATCGGCCAAAATGAATTAAAATACCCAAAGAGACCATGATAAAGCTATTATGGAATACGCATGCATGATAGACATCTAATGGTCTTAAGTTAAACCGCCCTCTAGTGATTAACTCTCAAAGGGGTGTTCTGTTACAAAGTGTCTGCTCAAAAACAGAGATCGATCTCGATCAAGTACTTAAATCAAGAATTAATATAATGTCAGTCAAGCTCTATTTAATAATATTTTTTTCCTTTAGAATGATAACGGAACTGATTAAGAACTTTAAAAAAATTCAAATTAATATAAAGGGTTTCCCTTTCTGCCGGCCTAATATGTTGTTGGTACAACATCATCTGAGACACTAGCACTGTTTGCAGTGTACTTTCATGACTTATTTGGCACACTCATCCACGTATTTTTTTTTTTAATATTTAACCCATACAACATGGCTTTACGTGGATGTTTCCCTGCACGATTACCCTGCCTGATACAGCGATGCCTTGTAAGCAAAGGTGAGTGAAACTACACCATGACATTTAGAATACAGATTTAGTTTCATGGGTAAGTTTCTGTAGTGTAAACTGACACTTGCAGTGACACTGTTGTGCGCTTTCATGCAAATCACGCAATCTTAAGAATGAGCGCGCATTCTTTAGAACGAGCGCGCATTCTTAAGAATGAGCACACAATCTGAAGAATGAGCGCTCATTCTTAAGATTGCGTGGGAATATCACGTGCGCAATTGATGAATTTTGCGCAATTTTAACAAACATTGTACGGCATAATTATGTTGAATGAAATGTATAGCCGTTAAACTTAAAGGGGAAATAATTCATATAATGAGGACAGAAAATGATCTATGCTTCTCCGAAGCATTGCCCTGTCACAGCAAACTCCATCGCACATCAGCTGCTAGCCCCACTAGTGTGGCCGTCGGTATGCTGCGCTGAACCTCTTGGCCACACACCGTGGTACCGCGCGCTACTGAGGACGAAGTTTCATAAAATCTGCGGGCCGTTTCTTACATTCTCAGTTTCTTACTTTCTTATGGTTGTATTCTATGATGTTTCACCTATCACTTCTGGGATGCTTAGGTCTAATGATGTTCCATTTTCCGAGATATTCTTCAATCTTTCTGGAGCCCATATTTCACTCGTGAAACGTCTGGCGATGGCAGCCATTTTGAATGGAACAAGAGATGACCTCAAGCTGTGACGTCGCGTTTATGCAAATTGCTTGTCGAGCGCGCGAGGGCGCGAGTTGCAAATGCGACAGCTGTTTCCTGTAGATCCTAAATAGAGATCGGTGCACGTGGCCCCCTGACGATAAATAAATGCATGGTACAGGAAACAGCTTCGCATTTGCAACTCGCGCCCTCGCGCGCTCGACAAGCAATTTGCATAAACGCGACGTCACAGTTTGAGGTCATCTCTTGTGCCATTCAAAATGGCTGCCATCACCAGACGTTTCACGAGGAAATCTACTGTTATAGCCCTCCTGAAACCCAACAAGCCAGCAGATAATCCCAAGAGCTACAGACCAATCTCACTCCTGTGCGTGCCATTCAAGCTTCTCGAAAGGCTCCTTCTGGCCCAACTCAACCCAGTGGTTGATCCCCAACTTCCGGATGAGCAAGCAGGCTTCCGTCATGGTCGGTGTACCACCCATCAGATTGTCAAGCTTACCAATGATATCGAGGAGAGTTTTGAAAAATGCAACAAGGCAGGCGCTGTTCTAGTGGATCTCACTGCAGCTTATGACACAGTGTGGCATCATGGCTTGACACTAAAGCTTCTCCGCACCATTCCAGACCGCCACCTAGTGCGGTTCCTCGCAACAATTCTTGCGAACCGCAGCTTTGTAGCCAAGACCAGCGATGGACAAAGTAGCCGACCACGTCGCCTACGGAATGGGGTGCCCCAGGGATCAGTTCTGTCTCCCATGCTCTTCAATATCTACATCAGCGACCTACCTTGCACAGCTTCACGGCAGTATGGCTATGCAGACGACCTGGCATTGCTGTATACTGATAGGAACTGGAACAAAGTAGAGAATGCGCTTACGGCTGACATGGAGCTACTTACAGACTACCTCAAGAAGTGGAGACTCAAGCTGAGCATTGCCAATACTACTGCAACTGCCTTTCATCTCAACACCAAGGAAGCCAATCGACAGATGACTGTTCTTCATAACGGGACTCCCCTACCGAACAACCCCCACCCAACTTACCTTGGAGTGATACTGGACAGACAGCTGACATACAGACAGCACCTCGAAGCCCTACGAGCAAAAGTGTCGGCAAGGAACAACTTGTTGCGTCGCCTGGCTGGTACATCATGGGGTGCATCAACATCCACCCTTCACACAGGAGCTCTAGCCCTGGTTTACAGCTCTGCTGAATATGCTGCGCAAGCGTGGTGCAGGAGTACCCACACCAGAAAGCTGGACTGTGTACTAAATGACACCATGCGGCTCATCACTGGATGTCTCCGTCCTACACCCACAGATCTCCTCCCAGTCCTCGCTGGAATCGCACCACCAAGGCTACGCCGCGAGAATCTGACAGACAAGCTCACAACCAAATCCCTTGCCGATGATGACCACCTCCTTCACAAAATTACGACAGAATCCCAGGACCTAGGTGGCCAACGCCTCCGATCGCGTCGACCTTTCTCCCGACATGCAGCCGCCCTCAGCAGATCCGACTTTAGCCTAATACAAGAGTGGGAAAAGGGCTGGGAAGGGACGGTTCGCCCAAGGCAGTTCACTGTTCCCCCTGGCACCAAAGCTCCTGCTGGCTCGGAACTACCCCGGAGGAAGTGGGTTACACTGAACCGGCTGCGAACTGGGGTTGGGAGATTCAATGCCAACATGCACCGCTGGAAACTCCGGGATTCACCGGCATGCACCTGTGGTGCAGATGAGCAGACGGCAGATCATATATTATACCACTGCCCCGACCTCCAACCTCCTGACGGGATGACTGATCTGTCGTGCCCAAAAGACGCACAAATCAACTGGCTTACGCAGCTCCAAGAAATAGCCTGATGTACAGTACTACTAACTCACACGAAAGAAGAAGACTCGTATAACTACGATAATTTGAATCAAATTAAACCTGTTATTATTGCTTTTTTCTGCCAACTGTGGGAAGTTTTGTAATAACGGAGGACTGGGAACTAGTCTGGGAAGTGCTTTGTTTAGGCTAGATAAGTTACAAGTCCCTGTATGTATCATATGCACAGTTCAGTGATGTAGTGCCTTGATGCTGGGCCTTGGCCTTAAGGCTGCCTTAAGGCTGGATTTTAGGGCCTTGGCCTTGGCCTCGAGGCTTGAGGGCAAAAGCCTTGGCCTTGGCCTTGGCCTTGAGGGTTCAGGGCCTTGCAATTTTGAGTCAAGGCTCTTCAAGGCCCATAGATTTTTGCATTTTCCAGATAAATCTGTTCGAAATTTTGCTGTTACCATTTTAATCGTATTACCATGGAGGAGGGAAGCACCCTATAGATTTGTGTGTTGGGCACACTTCCACTTTTGTAGCATCACATTTTGTTACCATTGTAGTAGATTTGCTGCAAAAATATTCCGTACACTTGTGGGGCTAATGAGATGATCACTTTAATTGCATATAACTATGGAATGGATCTGATTGGTTGTATATGTCTCCCTGATAAGTGCTAAAGATTTGCATGTATCTGTTTTAGATAATGCTGATATTTCTGACCTTGTTGGGCCTGCAAATAAAAATTTCCCAAATCAGTTTCTTGGATCCCCCTCTTGGTACATTTGGGAGAATTGTGTGTCAATATAGAAGTAAATCATTATTGTGTTTAGTTGAACCATATTGAAGACCTGAACTTATACAGTGCAGTCATAAAACGGTGTAGGCCTATGCGAGCATGTTGATTGCAATTAAAGAAATGTTGTTCTTCGTAACGAGCAATTCGTGATGATAAGGGCGGATCCAGAGGGGCCAAAAGGGGCCATGCCCCCCCCCCCCAAAAAAACGAAACCATTTTTTTTAATGTGACGTCGTAATAAAGTCGTAATAAAGGCAGGCAATGAGTGCACCACCATCTTTTCCTCAAAAAACATCGGTTAAAATGGTCAGAAATTGCCTCAAATCGCACCACAGAGCATCTCAAATCCAAAATTGTTTCGCGGGCCCCGAAGCCGAAGCCGTAATTTTTTGACCCACTTTTTGGGGGGGGACCCAAATTTCTTTGCCCCCCCCCCCAAATTGTGTTCTGGATCCGCTCTTGCGTGATGATGTGTCACTCATGTGACTATAATTAGTTCTATATCAGTGGTCATTTCATAAAACAGGGCCTTGGCCTTGGCCTTGGCCTTGGCCTTGAGAGTTAAGCCTTGGCCTTGGCCTCGAGGCTTGAGGGTCAAAGCCTTGGCCTTGGCCTTGAGGGTCAAAGCCTTGGCCTTGGCCTTGGCCTTGAGGGTCAAAGCCTTTGCTCCAACACTGCATATGCATGTCACGAAATATGAATTCTGCAGTGCTGCACATGTGCAATAAGGTGAAACTCATTCGCGTGATTACCAGTACTCCCTCTGATAATTTGTAACATTTGGGACTATGTGGAACTTGTTGGGGGTAGGCCCTATACTGTGAAACATGGTGAAACTAAATTACTTGTTGCAGGAAGAGTTTGTTTCTATTGAAAACTTTCAAAACTCTTACTTTTGTCTTTTGAATAAAAACCGTGGAGAATGTGGCATTAATCAAAAATGATATTTATGCAAAGTTTGAGGGCTATAGCACTTTTTAGCAGTCATATTAAGTGAGATTACATGATTTAGTACACATATTAATTAGGCCGATTTTCCATCCGCTACTAATTAGTATCTTTATTTGCATAATTGAAAGTACATTTTGCGAGAAAAAAAATATATACACCTCAATTGGCCATAGTTTTATTCTGTAGCAATATAGATAATATATTTTCATATACTTTCAGAGTAACTCTTCCTGCTTCTTTTAGTGACATTTTCACTGGATTCATTTTCATGCATGACTGCACAGGGGATAATTAAAGGGTTGGGTGAAAGGTGAGCGGCCTCATGTGCAATACAGGCATACCGGTAGTACGGTACGGTGGAAGCCGTTGGGGTTTTCACTGGCGCCACGCCACTGGACTGGCACCACCCACACGGAACCCGATACGCTCCCACCCCGGTCCGGTCATGCTTGGTACCCGCTGCCCCAGCTGCATGCAGACTGACATGTCCGGCTGAAAATGTTTACAAACTAATCTTGTCATACTGTTTTTCATGACATTTTTTAAAAACATGTATTTACTGATTATTTGGGGACGGATCATGGTTTTGAGAGGTCAGGTTCCGAGTTGGTCAGACAGACAACTACCGTGGCATTAGCCAACACATGTATCATCGCAAAGATGTTCAACCATATGATACTCAATTGGCTACCCCTGGCCAACTTGAACAACTTGCCCTCCCCGACTAAACACCCCCCCCTCCCCCCCCCCCCCCCCCCCCCCCCCCCCCCCCCCCACTAGCTAAAGAAGCATAATTCAACATTGAGAAATCTTGGATTAAAAATAAATAATCCTTTGAAAAGATATGGATGGTAAATTACAAACACAATGTCTGTCTACTCTTTTTACAAATAATATTTATTTTATTAGCATGCTTTGCAAAGCAAGGAGAAATTCTCTGTTTTCACCCCCAAAAGTGTTCACTTTTCACAAACTCATGCACTTGCGTGTCATTTATTTTCTCGCAGATCTTAAATGCCAAGTATGTACCACAGCGGATACAATTACTGTAGCAGAAACAACAGCTGACAAACGGGAAAAGCATGTGCATGACCAGGATGGCAGTTCACCAAGAGAGATCAGAGAAAGGTTCATCAGTCCAGAATTGCTTCCACCAATGGGCACAAGATCCAAACTCCTGGATTACTTAGAGAGAAAGGATTGCTTTAGAAGGCGTAAGGTCCTGCACATTCCAGAATTCTATGTTGGTAAGTGACAAATGTGAGGTCATTACTAGGGCTGTGCATCGGAACTGGGTACCCGAGTATCCGACCGTTGATGTCCGGAATAGGTTCCAGATTATGAGATGGGGTACCCGTAACCAACTTTACAAATAACTTTACATTGTAACTTCTCAGACAATTATTATTATTATGCATTTAGGTACGCTATTCATAGTATAACTATATCACAGCGATTACAGTAGTGAAACATAAACAACACAATGAAACAGAAAGGTTGTCAATGGCATTTGGGGAGAAATTTTCAAAATGATCGCCAGGCTAATGAAAACAAAACAGAATTCAGGTTTATGACGCTTGCGAAAGTTGCAGTTTTCACCCTAAAGATGTAGAGCTCACTGTATACACTTGTATCTTGCTGTATTGATGCACTGGTGTGGCAGTATCACCGTGCGAACCTTTATGAAAAATCTGAACAGCACCTTCTGAGATGTAAATTTTGGCCTGGGTTGGGCTTCTTTAACGGGTACATTTGTACGGCTACTCAGTTCCCATACAACCGGTACCTGTAAGTGCACACCCCTAGCCCTAACCGTCCCAAATCCTCCAAAATCCTCTGCAAAATGGAGGATTTTGCAGGATTAAGGCTTTATGGCAACAGGGTGTGGCTGATTTTAGAGAATGCACTGTGTCAAGGTCTTTAGCCGGACCTTATGTTGTTTATGCTCAGCTGTGCATAAATTTAGACCTACATGTGTAGATTATATTTGATATTGTAGCGGTACTGCCTCGGACGACTGCCGCGGCGAGTAGCGGCGAACGGCCTAGCCTCTACGGTCGGGTACGCAGATCCGTTTCAGCGGAGATTTATCGCCAGGCCCGCAGCAGACTACCAAAGGATCACCCTTACACGCTCTCTCGCTCACACAACCCAAGCGGACTAACTAGGGGGACTGGGGAAGGATGGGGACCTGACACCAGATATGTCTTTCGGAAGATTATTTTATTCGCCTACCCAGGCGCCTCGCTTACGTGATCTTATACTCAATCACTTCCCTTACAAACTCAGAGATTACATAATTATCTGGATTATAATGCAGGAATCATTTATCAATTACACTCACACAAAGTACGAGGCTCCCTCCGCTGCGACTATAGGTGATTGGTGATTGGTTAATTGTGGGAGATTAGAACAGTGCAACTTTTCCTGAGACCGCGCTCGGGTTCCGGCCACAGCAGAAAGAGAGCGAAGCTGAGCGAATGGCCGCTTATATACACTGGCGCTATTGGCTGGTGCCCCCATAAACCTGGGTGAGTGCACGCGCACCCCGCTGGCTACCAGTAAAGAACTAAAGTGCGCCCTCCATAAAATGCATTGCGCTACAATATCCTCCGCACTGCTCCAGGATGTCACTGGCTCTGCCTCAACAAATTGACAGTGATTGCTGGAGGATTTTGCAGGATTGAGGCAGTGGTAACCCCTCCAAGGACCACATTCGAGAAATAAAGGATGATTTTGGAGGATTGCAGCTGTACATGCAATTTTTTCATGGAGGCAGTTGGAGGATTGTGCAGGATTGAGGTTGCATCCTCGCAAAAATGCCTAGGGAGTTAGGGTTTAGTCACTACCGTCTGTTAGGCTGTGACAGATGGAATTGGTAATGCATATTCAATGAGATAAATTGACGTGTGTTATACAACGCCTGAATAAAATCCCTGTCATCTGATTGGTTCCGTTGATCACATGTCATTGAATTATTCGTCCCAACCACAGGCCGGCCGCACCGCAAAAAAAATCCATAGTAATGATTAATAATAGTTCCATTGCATGGTCAAATTATTGGTGGCTCTGACCAATCAGATGACGAGGATTTATTTCAGGTGTTATATAAAACATATAATGAATGGTTCACATTCGTGCAGTGGAAAGGATAATTTTATTCGATAACAGATGGAATGTTCCATTCCACTCGGCTTCGCTTCAAGGAATGGAACATTCCATCTATCACCTCATGAAATTATTTGTACCATTGCACTCGCAAGTTTTCATTAATAATTGTATATTAACATGCAATAAAACTCAAGGCAAACAAAAGTCAAAACTGAAATTTAAGGCAAATCACTGGAAAATAGTTTTTTTGTGTAAGAAATATTATCCTTTCAATCCACAGGAATTTTGCTATGGACTCCTTGCACGAAAATGGATATGGCACTTTTTTGTATCACTTTTGAAAGCTCCTTAGGAGGGACACAGCATGTGCGCACACACACCCCTACACAGGCACAGAAGTGGGGTACTTCCTTTGTTCTTGTGTACTACAATTTTGCAATGTCGCACACTAATTTCAAAATGCTCTTATTTTAACCAGAATTAATTTCCTGGGCTGAAATTCGGACTTAATATCCCTTTTCTAAAGCTCTTTTATTTGCGACAGATTGGAAATTCCTAGTTTTTGAGCAAAATCCATATATGTACTTCGTGAAAAACTAGTGGGGTACCAAAACGGTACCCCGCAAGTCGGTGGGCATTCCTTGTGGGGTACCTCCCATTGTTCCGGTACCCCATAAGGCAGTGTTTATACGTTCACTGGCTCACGCGTACATGGCACGAAGTACCCACAACTTATTTTATACCGAGTTTGCACACACCAGTAGCATCTTGGCATGAGCGTCAGGTGTCATCAGCCATGTGTTCAAATGTCCCTCCCGTGGTCTCCCCCAACTCTCTCTCTTTCTAACCATTGAGGGGGTCATTGGAAATCCTCTAAAAGAGTTGAGAATTTTTGTCAACTGCAATCCCTTATGACTAAAATAAAATTGTCCAATATCCATACATGATCATTGCAACATGTATTTATGCTTTTGTCATTGTTTTTAGGGAGCATCATGGCAGTGACAGTCGCTGATAGCTTTGCCAAGGGTAAAAGCAATCGGTTCGTTGGCATCTGTACAAGGAGAGGAGGTGTTGGACTTGGTGCAACATTTGTCCTTAGAAATGTTATCAATGATCAAGGTGAGAATTTGAAGGAAAACAAACAAACAAACACACAAATGGGTAAGCCCTAATGGTTTGCATGTACTCAAACTAAAGATGTCAGTTTGAATCTCTATAGACTAATGCGGTGACAGTCATTTTCTGAGGTGAGACAAGGCTCGTGCGAGTTGCACTCGGGTAGTACGCACGCACTCTGGGCTCCTTCGACAAGTTGGGTTAACAAAATGTGTGTGCTTGTCTTTAAGAACACATGTGCTTTGCAGCCTGCACGCAAACGTGGTTCCACCTTGAAAATGGCTTCTCATTTTGTTTGTCGAATTAATCTATAATTCATGGCTTATATTCAGTAAGGATGTGAAGCTGCTGGTGGAAACTTGCCAAAGATTATGTTATGAACAATAATTTATCTGAAATGGTTGAAGAATTTGCTAAGTGGTTTTTAGTACTTTTTAGGATTTGTAACATTTTGCTTATATTATCAATCAAGTGGTTTATACTGCTAGCATCATGGCTTGGGTGTGAACCGTGTATTGCCTAGCTACATGGCATATACAGGCATATGACTTCTGACTAGCACCCTTTGAACAAGGATTTTGACAAACTGTGGAAACTGCCAACAGTCGGTTGGTAGTGTTCCGGAGGTCGCGGGTTCAAACTCGTTCCAGTTATTTTCTGTGTTCAATGTTATAATAATTATCAATCAGCTGTTTAACCAGCTACCTTATATTTCAATGTACCTTCCTGTCCAGGAGTTGACATCTGTTATGAGTTGTACAGTCCACTGATCCAGAAGATTGAAGTATTAAAACTTGAGAAGAGGCTAGATGCTGACTTGAAGTATCTTCAAGATGCATTACCTGAGTATTCTACCATTGATCCCAACATGGTTCCTATCAAACATCCACCAAACAGAGCAATTCCAGTCAATCCTATCAAGGTATGTTGCTCATTGTCATGATATATTAACAAATTATGCTATACCAGTACAACATGGTTTGGGGGAAAGTAGTGCAAAGGTACTGGGTCGAGACGTTGGCTGATTGGACGTCCTCTCGACGCAAGTGGAGGGAAGAAGTCAAACCAGCCAACACTGAGGAAGTAGTCAGGGTTCTCACAGTTTTGGAAAAATCCTGGAATTTAAAGCCATCATGGAAAGTCATGGAAAATTTCATAAAATTTTTGTTATTTTACAAGGAGTATACGAAAGTTGATTTTCCAAGAAAAAATCATGGCAAAATCATCGAATTCAGAACAACCTATCCATGATGCTACATATTTGGCTATTGCAGTCTGCCAATTTGCATTCCGGTTTAATGCACTAACTCTTGAAGCAAGTATGCTCTATATAAACTTATTGCATGCTCAATTCACCGTTGTAATGCTTTTGTCGTGCTCAGTGGTCTTGTGTCAAAATTGTTATTTTCAGTGTGATGACTGGCCAGTGTATTGTAAAAAAGGCTCCTAAGATGCTAAAATAGTGTAGTAATTGGTCATGAAAGGCCCTACTTTTGTCATGGAAAAGTCGTGGAACAGTCATTTTAAGATTTCTGTGGGAATCCCGACTAGTTATTTTGTTCATCTTTCCAGTACATCTGTACTGTTGTGCAGTATTTCTTCATTGATTAACCCTCACCACCCTCAATCCTCCAAAATCTTCCTGCTGGTTTTGGATGATTTTAGAGGATTGAGGATGAATGGCAAAGATGTATTGCTTTTTTGTGGAGGATGCATGATGTTAACCCAGTAGGCCATATACTGCATTGGTTATGTTCAGCCATGCATAAATCAGCCCTGTGTTTTTCTCGTATTTCATCCGCATTGCTTCTAAAAGCCATTCACACTGCCTCAAACCATAGCAGTACTTGGCAGAGGATTTTGGAGGATTGAGGCAGTGGTCACCCTCCACTGACTAAATTCAAGAAAATAACGGATGATTTTGGAGGATTGAGGCTGAATCCAATTTTTGTCTTGGTGGCAATTGGATATTTTGCAGGATTGAGGTTGCATCCTAGCCAGAAGGCCTAGGGGTTAGGGTAACCCTTCCCAACTCCATCAAAATCCACCCCACCCCCCTTTGGGGGGATTTTGGTAGGCAAGCAGTGAGTACTGGTACCAAGTCCATAAAAAAAATCCACCTATAGTGGTTTATTTGAGGTGGATTTCAGCGGATTTGGTCCTGAAGCATTATGTTAGCAGCGTCAGTGATGGATTTTGGTGGACTTGGTACTGTTCCTAGTAAAAGTCAGTAGGGAGTTAGGGTTAATGGTCATGTTTTAAGCTTCACTATCAAAAATTTGACAAATTCTACGGGAAATCCCTTCCACCGAACAATTCCACAACGTTAATTCCACAACGTTAAGTAAAAATTCCACAACGTTAAGTATTTAGTTTGGCACCACCAGTAACCTATACTATTGCAAAGTTGGAAGTCTAGGAACTAATTATAAGGTACTGGTTTGCTGATTGTATGCATTCGCGCATGCAGGATAACCACTTTAACTTCATTGATGTGTCTGAACATTGTACAACGAAAGAAGCTCATTTGGCTCATTAATATGCATTAGGTGTTATAAAATTGAAATAGAAATAAACTACAGAGTTGTACAAAAAGGAGGAGGATGACCCAGTCCTGTGAGTGTAATTTTTGGTGACATATTTGGTGTTTTTTTCAGCAGTCCTTAAACGATTGCCAGGGAAGTATTCCTCAATGAGTATGGCAGAAATGTTTTGTTTTGTTTTGTTTTTCATGTCTCAGGATACACTATACAATGTTGTGTCTGGCTGGTTATTTTGGGCATCCCTTCATTTCAAGTCACATTTTCACATCCACTTTTCAAATGCTAACTAAAACCTTGGAAAAGTTGGACATGGTAATTCCTATAGCTTAGTCTTGATTCTTCTTCACAGGTTCAGATGAAGCCCAAGCCTTGGTACAAACGCTGGGAGAGAGAGGAACTACAAGGAGTCGACTTCTCAATCCTCAGCGAGGAGAAATTGGAACACGCTAAGCAGTGGTGGTTACCGGACTATAAACGCATGGATCTCCTGCAACACTGGGAACTGCCGGAGAACATCAGGAGTGGCATTGAGAGAGAAGTAGAGCAACATGAAAGTGAACTTAGTTATGAGAAGAGTAAAAGATGATCTACTGAGGTAGTCTGGCTTCAGATTTGTTGCTGTATAACTACAATGAAGGCCACCAGGGTCAGAATGGAAGGCTTGAGGATCTTCATGAGGTGCTAAAGTAGAATTCCATCGTTTATTGTTCAAAAATATATTTAGTGTGTTGCTGCACTTTGTCTATAAAATTTGGAGAATATGAGCCTGAACATCTGTTGTCATGGAAACTGTGAAAACTTTCACAGACAGGATTTATGTTTAAAGGTAGGGTAGATCATTTGTCATTTGTGTTTTGTTTCATGCAACAAAAGTGCTTTAAATATAAAGACAGGTGCTTAACAACTAACCTCAGGAAGTTTTAGCTCTGTGAATGCTGTATATTCCAAGGAAACAATATTCTAGGATCTCGGTTTCAATTCAGAAGTTGCCGAGTCATGTTTTGAATTTCACCCAAATCAGCGTCCGCGACATGTTCTCATTCAGCTGATTGCAGCTACATGTACGCAATACAAGCAACCACGCACGCGTATGTGTGCACCCGTACGCCTTGTCAATGCTTGCGCACATCCATTCACGGATTCGCCGAATTTGAGATGTCCAAAAATGCGTCACTTTACGCATCTTTGGAAATGGGCTTCTTTGATTGTTTTCTTCAAAAAGACAGCATGTCAGAAAGAATAATTTTAGTGCCATTACTATCTTTAAACAAGTAGGCTTTTCAACAATAATTTTGTCAGTTATTTTTTGGATAGCTGCAAATAATCTACTCCACCTTGCAACAAGTTAAGCTGATTTAGTCATTGGAAAGTCATTTTAGGTGCTGCAAAGTCTTAATCAAGCACAACAGTTTACTTATCTTGGTAACAATGATTCTATTACTATGCTGAGCCTTTTTGGAATAGAGTGTAGTTGCAGCAAACAAATTTAAACGAATTTGACAAAATATGCAATGGAAAATATGTTTTATTACGGTAAACAAAATACAGGTTAATTTAGTACATTTCAATAAAGTTCGGATTTGTCTCCATTTTCATCCTATTCATAATGACAATGGGCAACAACACATGCAGCCAAACCGCATGTTCCAGTAGGTCACAAGCCAATGCATGTCTTGTCTTGGTTCAAGACGCTAGTGATAAAACGTGGATTTCATTAAACCCCAATCACACATATTGCCATGAGGTACATGTTTAAGGTACGCAACATGTCCAACAGCAGTGACATTGTCTGCACATCTGCTTAACACCTGACAAAACATAATTTTCAAACTTCCTTTGGTAGGAATCATAATTGTGAAGAGATACACCGGCAGTAGTACACAACAATACTGACAATAATTTTTAGCAATTTCACATTCAATTTCTAAAAAATATTGAATTTAAATATGATTTGCATCCCTGAAACTGCCGTGTTGCTCCATGTAATTAATAATGCACCTCGTGTTTACTATTTGCCTATAATTAAATATGAATGCACGATTCCCAAGATGTGAGCAGAAGTAAAAAGGATTGTCATAACCAGTAATTGGAGGGTTCACTAAATCATCTGTGCAGTGGAAGTCCATTATCGATCACTAATGTTATGGACCAAGACTAATGCACGTTTGAATTTCATAAGAAATAAAATGTTGGATTCGTAAAAACATCATTGAGCAGGGCTGCATTGATCAGTCCATTATTTCATGTTTACTTAAAAAACCAAAACAAATGAAGCACATTTGTCTAAACATACATTCAAAAAAAGTAATGATGCATAGCCATGTTGTATTCCACCACAAGTCTGTTCACAAGTAGCACAGGATGATCTTTAGCAATGAAATTTCTCTTGCATAGTTCATTTGAAGAACTTGTGACTTGACTTGGGACTCGGGTACTTGTGATGGACTTGTTAGGACGTGTAACAGTACACAAGTATTGACTGCTTCGAGTGGTGTAGTAAAACTAGCTTCCCAAGGTGATCCATGAAGCATTTTATTTTTCCTGAGGCGAAGCCAAAGGAAAATTGTACCGGTATGCTCTAAAGATCACAGAGGGAGGCTATTTTTACTATACCACGGGTAAAAACAGTCAATATTTGTTTAAAACACCTCACCCACAGATTCTGCTTGATTTAAAGAGAGAACTGATTAATTTAATCTAAATACAATTCAAATGTATTTCTTTTTAATACCAAATTAGTTGAAAATTTACTTGAAGTTTTCCAAAGCACCCCCTTCACGGAATGTTTGAACCCAGCTCTGTAGTGCTAGCGCTTAGAAACAATACGTGCCTACACACACACCCGTATGCATTTGCACACAATACTATGCGTCTTTTTGGCTGTGCACAGTAAGATAGCAAAAATAGTGAATGCCATGTGACTCACTCTCGGCCAATCAAGATACAGAATCTGTGGGTGAGGTACTCGACTACAACACTGCTACATGTATATGCAGATCATCCCGTGACTTAATATATCCAGTTTAATTTGCAGGCTAAATCTTTTTCTGTCAACCTTGGGTTCAAAACAGAAAACCAATCTTTTCTCATTTGAAGAATATTTCATGATTTACATTGAGACTGAAATTGATATTTAGAAGTACTTCAGTTCTTCAGTCTCAGTCTTTCCATCTTGGCAGCTGTTGAATGTGACTTCTCCTTGGAATGTCTTATGCAGACGTACATGAACAAACTTGCCATCACCAGTATCAACCTGAAGTCAAGAGGAAAGGAAGGTTGTGAGCAGACTGTTGGCTAAAATCACATCATTTTCATCATTCAGACTGTTGATAGAGCGATTGAAAGCAACAATATACTTGCAGTTTACTGTCATCCATGACATGACATGTGCCATCGTTTCCAACCGTGTTATGCTATTTAAAATCAATTCACTATCTTGACCCCTTTTTTTTTATAGCAATCGATGGCATGCAAATTGTCAATTTCCACGACTTAATAGTGATGTCATTTAAGAATACTCTCCTGCTTCAACTGTTAATATGGTTGTGTTACGTGATAATGAAGTATTAGGTTTTAAATAATGAAAGGTTTGCGGAAACACCATGTGCGAATAATTTCTCAACTAAGAGAATGGTTCTGAAAAGAACCAGAGGTATAAACTCGACGTTCCGGTCAGTATGCTCTGACCGTCTTCATCTCTCCTGAAGACGGTCAGAGCATACTGACCGGAACGTCGAGTTTATACCTCTGGTTCTTTTCAGAACCATTCTCTTAGTTGAGAAATTATTCGCACATGGTGTTTCCGCAAACCTTTCATTATTTAGTATATCCACCATGCAAAGCCTCAAATCTTACGTATTAGGTTTTGTTTGTGAATGTGATAGAATAAATGTACACTGCATTTGGAAATATTGCATCTAATATTGCATCTACTTGGTACAGAAAATAATTTACTGAATGGATTTATTTTGAAGGGAAAAGATTTATTTCATCAATACCTTAACAAAATAGTTGATACCATTGACAAGCTGAGATGCATACAGCTTGGCCTCAAACTTCTCCACTTTTCTACCAATGGCCTCTTCTACACTGGATTTCACCTAGTACATGATGTAGGTGAACAACAAGAAGTTGGAAACAATTTTTTAAAAACAATATTGAGTAAAACATCAGATATACACTGGATTTTTGTCTCATTACACTGAAATGAATCTGTAACTTCAGAATGTGATGAAAGATTCACGAAGTAATTTGACAGATTAACCCTAACTCCCAAGCCTAATTTACTAGAAACCATACCCATTCTGGCAAATTCCAACACCCACATGGGAAATTGTACACACACACTGTTGGACTTAGTTTCTGGAGGTATGCCGACCCCAGTGTTAAAGACCCTCAGTTTAGGAGTACTGTACCTATCCTAACAGATTTAAGCAAAACCTGCTGTGGAACTTTGATGGGTTGAGTTCGATTAGGGTTAATAGACCTAATGTGTAGCGGCCATCTTAGAGGGCATCTTTTGTTATTTTAATTAACAATGAATGCACAAAGGTTCACTGTTACTGTGTTAGTGTCCAGTCCTGCATATCCCAGCGAAACAAAGGTATTGTCCTAAGATGGCTGCTATATGCAGGTCTTAGATCTATCCCCAAGAAAAAAATTCTGATTGAAACATGGAGGAAGCTAGCTTGAGTATCTCCAGCTCCATTGCTCATCAGGAATTCGACATAATGATGTCGAATTCCAGATGAGCATTGGAGCTAGAGTTAGTTTACTCAAGGCCAAGCTAAGGCGAAGTAAAAAAAAAAAAAATGTTTAGCGTCCCCGCCCGCTTCCTTTTTAGAGGCCGCCTCCTTTTTTTTTTTTTTTTTTTTTTTTTTTTTTTAAAAGACAAAAAATGATAAATTTTAACGATCTCTGACGAAAGAAATCGTATTTTTAGACTTTTATACCGTGTATAAAGCTGTGGAAATAGTCAATGAGTCCAAGTGGTGGCCATTTTGAAAAAAGCTGGTAACCATCTTGAAAAAAAGCCTGGCCGCGTTGTCTTGAAACATGTGTCGGGCGGCCATTTTGAAAAGAAAAAAAAAAAAAAAAGGGCCTCCTCCTTCCTTTTTGTCAAAGAGGCAGGACGCTAAACATGTTTTTTTTTTATTTTGCCTAATTGAAACCACTGATTTTTCTCAATTTCTTCAATGGCTCTACGACAAAAAGTACAAGTACATGTACAACGTAACTCCCCCCCCCCCCTTTGTCAGAGCGTGGAATTTATTAATTGTTTTATGATGGGCGGGGCGGACGCAGTGGGCGGGGTTTGAACTACCTGATCAACATATCCCTGAACTTCATCGTCTGCTTTCTGCGGTTCATTCATTCCACCGGTTTTCTGCTTGGTCGCCATACTGTCGAGTTAGATGATAGTTTCAAACAAGGAAAACATAAAACAAGTTCACAAAATCAGCGGATCAATCGACTGCACTGTCTGCACACGTACACTGCGCCAATCACGAGACTTGTACATGTACATGTATGTACATGAACATGTACATGGCACGATAAACAGACGTTGAACACCTGACCAAAGTAAACATCGTAAACGCGGCGCTGTACGATCTTTGCACCTGACATTGGACAAACTGGATCCCTGCCTCAAGCTTAGTCAAAATGAACTCTGGAGCTTGTCAAGTGAATCAGGAACCAGCCTACAATAAAAGGTAGACTTGCTTCATAGTCCTGCGGCAATATGATTCACGCAACTACACAAGGTTCAACAATCAATTTAGTAAGTTAATACAGGTTTTTCGAAAGCGTCATGCATTAAAATAAAATAAAATAAGGTATCTTAATTATGTAATCTTTTGACTACTCAGATATCAGCGAAATACAAAGGAGCCAAGGGGCAAACTTGACTACCGGAGCAAATACCACACCCTTTTCTTCGCCAACTTATAACTCCTCTCAGTCTCACTACTCGCACGCGCTCTGGGTCCCAGAAGACGAAGGGTAGGGTGGAGGGCGGTGGTAGGACGCTATTTTAAAAGGATAATAACATTGAACATCCAAAGCTGTTATCACAGGACGAGAGGCGAGGGTTCAAACTCAATTAACAAAACACATAGAGCCGCCAAGTCTCAACGGACTGAGGCCGGGCTGCGGTTTTGTGGTAAACAGCTCCACGATATAAGCTAGGACAGTGAAACCAGTTTATTGCATTGCATTGTACATACGTAACCGGCTCCGCACGTACGTACGTACGTACGCGTCGCACACAACATCTAACATAAAACACGGGATAGGAACGTACGTTTTCCCAATCCACTTCTACGCGATCGAAAAGTTTGGACCACACAGATTACATTTTGATGGCCAAAGCATGTCATTGAAGAAGCGACAGAAGATCTACACATCGGACAGGTTTGTTAATTGAATGACTCTTCTACAATGTAATAAAACGTATTCCATGTCAAATTGTCATTGTGTGTTGCCATCGTGGTTGGCAGGATTTTGAGTTCTGCAAACATCCGGGACGTAGGCGTACTTTCCAACAAAAGTACACGTACTTTGTAATCATTCATTGTGCTGGATATATTCTCTGTTCATGCCATAGCTATGGTAGCTAGGGTTATCAACAAGTATCAATACATTCAAATTACTGAAAATCAGTCAGCAAGTTTGGATTTATAGTTAAGTTTAAATTACTGGCATTATGTCTGTGACATTTATCTTTGTCCATATGCCATGTCATACATGTAGTATGATGTACTGTAGCCTAGGCATAGGCTATGCTCTGAAAACAGGAAGTTGATGTCAAATGAGAAATCCTCCATCGTCTTGCAAATACGATGGATATTACATCCCTGCTGAGGAGATTATGCAGTATTCCAACTAGCCCCATAAATGTGGCCTATTTACTGGACTGCCTCCGTAAACATAGGCCACACATCCACATGTCATGCATGTACAAAAACATGTCGCACTTTGCCAAATTTTGATTTTCGCATTTAGGCTTAGTTTGTTGTAGGGTTTTTTTGCTTTAGAAGCATACTCGCCCTCTTTATAGGCTAATCAGAAAGTGCTGCCTTTTTCAGATGTATATTTTTCGTGAAATTTCCAGATTCATTTTTACACGTTTGCATATCAAAATTTCAACATGAAATTTCACAAAAATTTGACATCTGAAAAAGGCAGCACTTTCTGACTAGCCTATAAAGAGGGTGAGTATGCTTCTAAAGCAAAAAAATCCTACAAACTAAGCCTAAATGTGAAAATCAAAATTTGGCAAAGTGCGACATGTTATTGTACATGTGGATGTGTGGCCTATGTTTACGGAGGCAGTCCAGTAAATAGGCCACCTTTATGGGGCTATATTCCACCAGAACCAAATACAGTCAGTCCATGGTAGCTATAGCTTGAGTATTAAACTCCAGCTGACATGCTCATAAGTCATATTCATTCACATGTGAATGAATATGAGCATGTCGGCTGGAGTTACTCAAGCTAAGTCCATGGTATTTTCACTGTCAGTAGTGAAGGTATCCAGACACGACATTGTGCATTCCGTACAAAGTCAGTAATTGTGTAATTTATAGACCTGTAGACCCCTCTTTCTATCTTAATATCTAATTCTAGTTCTAACGTAAGGCTTAATGGGTTTGTTTTTGTCTGGGCAGAGGATATTTTGCCAGGTACGACAACACACAGCCATGACAGCACAGACATGTGTCAGAGGAGCGATACTTGGTCCCACTGCCTCTGCTGGGTTTTTTTAAGAGGCTCCACTTTAAAAAACTTGTGCCTAGACTAGTTGCCTAAAAACATCCAACTAGCGTGAAACCATCCGATTTCTTGTACAACTTTCCACTGCAAATTCCCACAAATTCAAACAAGAATGACTTGTTGAGAACTATAATATCTGAGCAGAATCGTTTTGTGCGAAATTTGTGCGATATAAAAATTTCATATCAAATTATTTATAACAATTTGGGGGGGGGGGGGGGGGGGGGCTATAACAAGGCAGTGTGCACGTGCAAGAGGTGCCAGCAAGCATATTGTTCATGAAGAAATGGCCAATGCCATTAAGTGAATACATGTATGTCATGGATTTCAACCAGTAAGAAACCGTAATATTCCATTCCAAGTGCTTTACTGTCTCATTGTCTATCCAAAACAGTTGGATGATGCTTTTTTTTCTCCTACCTGCAGGTTTTGATGAAGATGGAATGCCACTAAGTCACTTCAAGATTGTCGTCAATAACTATGAAGCGTTCAATCATTTTATGCAAGTACCGGTAGATTGCTGATTCTCCCCTTCCCGCCTTGTAAACTCAAAATGAAGCGAAAAGTGCCTTCATTAAATCAACTAGAGGGCCATCAGCGCTCCCGTAGTGGTAGAATTAGAAGACCACCACCATCAGGCAGTGCAGATGTCTCTTTATCAGAAGGGTCTAGGAGAAGAGATCGTAACCTACCAAGGCTGGTCACATCCCTTTCTTCGTCTTCTGAATCTTCGGATTCTGGTTTCTCTGATCTTAGTCCATCAACATTTAGCCTGGAAAGGCAAGGGTACTCCCAGCATCAACCAAATGTAAGCAGCGCTTCAGGCTTTGCAAGTGTGCCATCGGTTTCACCGGTTGCATCAGCAGTACCTGAGTATCTAGAGTCATGTCCATCGAGTTCGTCACATTCCCCGCTAACAGCCCAACTGGGAGCTGCTATATCGAGGTCACTATCTCAGCCATCTCAGGAGGCTCTTCTGGCCCAGTCCCTCCTATCACCTGTCCAAGATACAACACCAGCGGGTCAGACTAGTCCACCAGGTTTGTCTTCACTACATCAATCTGTCCACACTGTAGCTTCTACCCTCTTGCAACCGTCAGAATTAGCAAGCTCCATCGGTACAGCAATAACAACAACATCACCGAGCAGCCAGCGAGTAAACCGTGGCCAGCCATTGACGTTAAAGAGAGCTGGGCCGTATCTACTTGGACCACGCTTAGGTACCTCTCCTGTCCGAAGTATAGTTCATTGTCTGGCTCGTAAAGAAGGCACAGACAACTTTTACTCAATGAAGGTACAGTAATTAGATGTTTTTGATTTCATTTATAAATAACTAACTCAGCCATCATCATTAAAACATAAGGCCTTGCAACCTCACCTGCTGTGTGGGGAAATAACTCCTTTGATTTACTGATCAATAGATGAACACGTACGTACACACACTCACGTAACAGCTACTTACAGAATAGCAGTGCAAGTGATCCAAGAATAAACACACACAGTTGTGTTTTACTATACTTACGAGAAACCCTTATTGTGCCCTTCTTTTGTTCACCATTATTTGGACTTTAAACTTTTTCTCGACATGTCCCGTAAGGTTTGTACACGAAAATCTCCGATGACTTGGCTAAGGTCCTCGGGCTATTGTTATCACATAAAACCCACTGTCCCAGTTTCTCGGACGTAAAGGATAACAAGTTCACATGCACAGACATGATTGTGCCATACTTGTGGGGACCACACACCTTCTGAGTGATAGCTTTTGTGGGGACCAAAGATGCTATGGGGGCAGTCGACAAAAAAAGAAAACTGTCCAAAGGGAGTTTTGGGGTCCCCCGGTCAGGCAGTAGTCTGAGTGTCACCTGTTGTTCACCGGTACCTTCTCCAGTCCAACGTCTGATATATCTGATCATGCAAATATACATGTGTGTGACCCTGCCCACCAGCAAATCGGGGTTGACATGATGCCATTGGGCTAAGCTGTCGATTGGTCAATTTCGATGTCATGTTTTTGTAATACAAAAATGGGCATAGAGATCTAATAAAACCAGACTTGGGCTTTCAAAACAGTTTACCAAAGACCTGATGCAGGAGGCGCCCGCTGAATGGTCAGAATCTCGAGGTCAAGACGCAGTCTAGTTGCATAATTAGTTGCCAAATCTGCTGGCATATCATAGACCCTTGCTGTGCAAGGGGATATTCCATAGACTAGTTGGGTTATGAATTTTAAACACAACTCACCGTTTTTAAATTTCTGTCTACGAATCTCAAAAAGGTTAATGTTCTTTCAGCAAAATGAAAACAAATCACATAGGGATGTGTGTGAATTGTTTTCGTTTTGCTGAAAGAATGCACACCTTTTTTTGTGATCCATGGACAGAACTTTAAAACGGTGGTTGTGTTTAAAATTCTCTCACTTGAAAAGTATGTGAGTGATTTGAATGATTCTTTTACTAAAAAAAGCTTTTTAATTGGGCTTTCATATCCTAGATTTTGAAAGTGCTACATGTAGAACTTCATTAAAACAATAGCCCGACATTTAGGGTTTTTTTTTTTTTTTTTTTTTACTCACCCTGTAGTAGGGACAATTACAGTATTACTTTTCCTTTCATTTGATGTACTCGCTATGAAGTATGTGGGTGAGTCTAACCCTTTGCACTTCTCTAGAGTGAAGTGTGTTTTTTGTGGTGATGTGTAATCTTCATAATGTCAGCAGATTAGAATGCAGCTCTGTGATTCAAGTTTATATGTTGTTTTATCCATGCAGTTACTTACGTTATCTGAGCAAGGCAAAGAGAGTAATGATGAGAGGCAAGGGAAGATGTTACTTCATACTGAGTATTCCCTGCTGTCATTACTACATAATCAAGAGGGAGTTGTACATCATCATGGACTCTTTCAAGTGAGTATCTAAACTGAGCAGATAAGTATACTCAAATCTACAATGGCTTTTGTCATTTTGTTTAAATGGTAATATCAGAGATGGAAGTTTTCTGATTTCAAATTTTTTTCAAAATGTTTTTCAAACTTATTTCCAAAATTCCGATCTTTTTCCCACATCATAAAGTCTGATTTAAAAAAAGTGAAATTTCAACGAATTTGAAAACGGCATCGCAACATGTGTATTGCGAGCGCAATTTTAATCTGTTCTACCAGTCGTCAGTACACAGATTATGGTAGAGGCACACAATTAAGCCCTGATTGGAGTAATTTACGGCTGGAGTAGTTTACGGCATAGACTTGTGATGACTTGTTATGACTCTGCAAGCATGTCCCCATTCAATTTTATCCACATTATAAGGAGAAATAAGTGCTGGTATGTAGTACATGTGCTATTTATGGCCCAATGTAGGTTCCATAGATAGAATGGGTGAAACAGAATGTCCTGTTTGTGAGTTTAACTCTAACTCTCTAGGCTGTTCTGTTTGGAACCGCCCCGAATCTGCACAATTTGAAATTTGCAATACCCATTGCCACTTGGCCATCATGCACAAAGTAAAATTAAGTTTGCAGGAATGTGTACCGTCTCGAATCCATTGTGTATTTTTCATGATTTTGTTTAACTAGGACCGAGCCTATGAGTTAAAACATGACCACGCCCGAAGCAACAAAGGACAGAGACCAGCTCCTACAGGTCGATACAAGAAACGTCTGTGCTTGGTATTGGATTGCCTGGCAGCGCACGAGTTCAGCAACAAGACAAGTGATCTGATGAACCTTCAGCATTATGTCATACAGGAGAAGAAACTCAATGAGAAGGAAGCCATTATAATGTTCTCTGATGTGGTTCGCATCGTACAGAGCTTACATGAGGTATGTAATTGAGAACTTGAGATTAAAGGGAAGATACAACATTTGCAAACATCAAAAAACGAAATGATCAAATTATCACGAAATACCTTACTAGATTGTTAGGGAATGACAGTTCAAAGCATCCTGTAAAATCGTGGCTCCTGGTGTGCTGACATTTTCAAAAAAACTTGTATTTTTCCAAAGCTGGTCGGCCGACCAGCATTGGAAAAAAAACTGGCTTTTTTTAAAAACTGCTCTTAGTTTTCCATATTTGGTTATTCCACATTGTCTTTTCAATAGATTGCACACCTGTGAAGGGGTACAAGCCTGCTAGACTGATTCTCTGACCTTACAATTCCCCAAAGTCTATAAATTGCTCCGTTTCATTTTAAAGGGAAGATACAACATTTGCAACCATCAAAAAACGAAATGTTCAAATTATCACGAAATATCTTACTGGATTGTTAGGGAATGACAGTCTCAAGCATCCTGTAAAGTTGTGGCTCCTGGTATGCTGGCATTTTCAAGAAAAACTGTATTTTTCCAACTGGCTTGGAAAAAAACTGGCTTTTTTCAAAAAGTGCTCATAATTTTTCATATTTAGTTCGTCTGCATTTTCTTTGCAATTCATTACACACCTGTGAAGACTACAAGCCTGCTAGACTGATTCTATGATCTTACAATTCCCCGAAGTCTATAAATTGCTCCGTTTCATCTTAAGTAGGGTCAGGGAACCAGACTATAAGAATATGATTGGTTTTCTTGGTTTTTCCAGCATATACGATCTCAAAACGTGAAACAAGTCAGTGTAACAATATTTGCAATAAGATACTAATTCTCCAAATCCATTTATTTCTGAAAATTGCAGCAAAAGCAAATGTTGTACATTCCCTTTAAGTGGGTTCAGGGAACCAGACTACAAGAACATGGCTGGTTTTGTTGGTTTTTCCAGCATATACAAACCCAAAACGTGAAACAAGTCAGTGTAACAATATTTGCTTTAACATACTATTCCTCCAAATCCGTTTATTCTGAAAATTACAGCAAAAGCAAATGTTGTACATTCCCTTTAAGTCTTCTATGCTGAAATACACTGCTGAAATGTGACGTCACTACATTGTATCTCCTCACTTTAGGTTCAATTCCCGGAAAACAGTTCACGTGCATTCTTTCAAACGATGCATTGCACGTTTGGTTTACATAATTTTAGGACATAAAACTGCTGTCTGTGAATGTGCCCACAGACAGCAGTTTTTGGTCTTTCATACAAAGTATATTTTCAGAAATTCAAAAGTACCTTGCAGAAGATCGTCATACACTAGTTGAAATGAATATTAGTGACAATAAATACATGAATATTTGTTTTCACTTTCCAAAAGAGAGTCAAACCGATTATGAAACTTGGGTTTTACGATGGTCATAGCGAAACACCGTTTTCACTTGGGCCACTTCAGTACATTTGAGCCGGTAACCATGGTTGCGTGAGTTGATCACTGAGTAACGTCACAACTGTGGCAGCGTATTGTTAAAGGGAATAATACAACCTTTGCACACATCGAAAAACAAAACAACCAATTTTTTACAAAATACCTTACTAGGATGTTGGTAAATGATAGTCTAAAGCATCCTGTAAAATTATGGCACCTGGTGTGAAGTCATTGTCAAGAAAGTGGTATTTTTGTATAAATTTCCAATGGTGGTCGGCCGACCACCGTTGGAAAAACCTAACTATTTTTCAACTACTGCTCCAAATTTACCATTTTTCAGTCCAAATTTTGTTTGCTATTGGTCACATGTTCATGAACGGGTGCAGGCCAGCTAGACTGGTTCCCTTACCTTACAATTTTGCCGCATCTATAAATTGATCCATTTCATCTTTAGTGGAGTCAGGGAAACAGACTATTTGAATATTTTTGTTTTTCTTGGTTTTTTCCAGCATTTTCGAACACAAACTTCAAACATATTAGTGTAATAATATTTAATCTATTATACTAACCCCTCAAATAGTTATTTCAGAAAATTACAGCAAAAGCCAGTGATGTACATTCCCTTTAACTAACTGAATTTTCCAATCCCCTTCACATGGAGTGCATTGGAAGATTCCCAAACAACTCAGCAGAGACACCAAGATGTGCTTGCATCTTGCATTAATTGTTTAATGCATAGCAGTCTGTATAGATTGCTGCTGTCAGGTCAAGTTCAGGTTAATAGCTAGTAAGGAGAATCCTGTATTACCTGTATAACAAGTACGTCAAATGACATCACAGCAACAGTTCCCTCAGGTTTATTAAGGAAACAGCACAGACATTGCCAATTATAAAGAATGAACTGAATTCAGTCAATCAGAAAGGGTAATGAGTTTTTTCGAGGGGTTTGAGATTAATTTAGTGGCCTTTTAATAAGGGAACAACTGTGTGTTTGGGAGGTAAAAACTCTGTTTAAGACCGGTTGGAGTCTGGATGGGTAATTATCAGCATTGCAGACTCCAACCGGTCTTAAACAGAGTGTTTAATACCGACCAAGCACATATTAACTCCATTCATAAATACCTTTTCGGTTAAAAAACCAAATCTTTTCGGTCCAAAAATCAAAACAAGTAAAAAAGTAGACGTTGCCAACCATTTTGTTCAACAATTTTACTTCACGTTTAATGAAACACCCATTTGACTATAATATGGAATGTCCCTTTGCAACTCCTATAAGGAGATTGGCTTGTACGTCACGCATACTGTGTGGTGTTGCGCAAAACGCAGCTGGGCTGGTGTAGTGTGAATTTCAGACTATGAAATACTGATTCACTGGTAGTATTGCGCATGCCCACGTGAGGAATGTGAACATTCAACAAATGAAACGTTAAAAGGCACCGGATTTCATGGGAGTCAAAATTTCATGTGACACTGGAAAAGCGTTTAAGACCAGCCAGCCATGTCTTTACCATCGTTTTAAGACTGGCCACGTGACCGGCTCTTGACCAATAGGAATGGGTAAAGTGTATTAGATATTTATGAATGGTTGTTTATCAACACAGGTATGTTTATTATGGTTCATTCATAGATACAGTCTACCCATTCCTATTGGTTGAGAGCCCCTCACGTGGGTTTTTTTTTAAACAGGTGATAAAACACAGACTGCTTTTTAACACTTTTACCCCACACTTTTAACACTTTTACCCTTTTACCCTTTCGGTTATGACGTGTAACACGTAAGTTCCTTGACAACGGCTTAAAACAGGTTGCAAGTTATGACGTGTCTAGTGGTCATTGCAAAATAAGAAGAGTCATTTCTAAGCCAGTTTTATACCATAAACATTACATTAACGAGATTATAATACCGATGCAATGTGTGTAAAGTTGTAAATAGAAAATTCATTGAATAATTATGAATTAGACTGGAATATTAGAATTGAAATATTAGAGTTGTAGCTATACTAATACAGTCCAATGAGAGCTTGTTTTCCTTTCGAAATTGCATCGCATGGCCGCCATTTTGTTTTACGTTTTAACAAATTTCGAGCTGAGATCCGACGACTCTTTGTTGAATATCAGACGACTATTTACTGTACGCCGACTAAATACATAAAACACGACACGTCGCACTTACGATGTGTTTTGTGAAATGGATCGCAGGACGCGTCGCAGCTGCGACGCATCGTAGAAATACGACGCGTCGCATCGCATCGCTGCGATGCATCTTAAGTTACGAAGAGTTTGATGAAATCGGGTGCTGGTCGCCGATAAACGGCGCAAGTCGAAGCGTCCAGGCCCCAGAGCCACTTTTAAACGTACCTGTTTAAACAGGCCAAGCACATATTTATTCCCTTAGTATTTGTTGACATTACACCGTAAAAAAATTGCTGAGTGCATGTTTTTGCAAACTTGGATCTAGACAAGATAAGCTGAGGCTGGCCTACCTCAGCATAACTCTGGAGCTATAAACTGGGCAAAACAGGAAAGCCCTAAATTTGTCGTCAGTATGGGATGCATTATCTAATGACTCAAATATTGCATGCTGATTTATTTGCTATGAATAGAGTTGTTGTGTCAGACCCGTAGGCAAGCTGGTGGAGACACTGTGAGGGGTCATACAGTTCATGGGCAAAGTACAGTGCCTTGATAGGGGCTGCAGTTACTCTTCACTGCCAAAAGACTCGTAATTCTTAAATTTTTCCTTAGTTATAGTCTAAAGCTGCACAACATTTTAAATACAGCCAGGTCTTATCCTTAAAAGTCTTGGCCCATCCTCTAAGAAACTAGTCCCTTTTTTGTCTTTCTACGGCTAAGTCTAGGTCTTTTGAGCAGATAAACTTCCAAGTGACAGTTTTTGAAAACAGTGGTGAGGTGGGTTTGGGGTCAAAGGTCAAGATCAACATGCTGAAAAACAAAACACATGGTAAATTGTAGTCTTGATATTTGTGGAATTTGAACGAGAGAATGCTGTGATGGATGTTTTGGCATTAGATTAGTATTTGAAAGGTCAAAGATCAAGTTCATAATGTATGGAAGTAAAAGAAAAGTCAGTAAACTTTAAGGAATTTCAGCAGTATCTATAATCATGTACAACACAATGAAAGTACAAAATCTACCCATGCCATAAGATAGAACATGTACATGTGTTATATTTAGTAGTAAGAGCAAGATTGTAGACTACATAAACGGATAGTCTCATGAGGAATCTGACTATGACAGATGAGAGAACAAACACCTTACAGTCACACACTATGTTCATACCTTCAGGCTTTATTATTGCAGTCAGCAGCAGCTCTATATGTAGTCATCCTTGTTTGCTATAAAGGAAGTAGCGGTTTGGTGCCAGCCATCACAGGATATTAGATTGTGGGGATGGTGTGTGCTCTAAGCTTCATACGCGCACAAATATTTGTCTCTTAAAGAACAAGGAGGGAGTAGAGGTATTGTGGTAATCGTTTCATCAGTCGTCATCATATCCCCTTCATGATAAGGAGACTTCAGACCTGATTAGTCATTAGTGGCAGTGTGCATGGACAAGGTGCAAGTCGTCAACGTGTATTAGGGACCAATTTCAGAGAGCTTCTACACAGAAAATAAGTTTATGTCTGGTACTTAGACAAAAATCAGCTGAAAATTTGTCACAAACAATGTACATTGCATGAAGTATTGGCTAGTATCCTGTTGTTAAGTATGTGTAAGCAAGGGTGTAAATCCGGGGGGGGGGGGGGGGGGGGGGGGGGGGGGGGGGGGGGGGATTGGGCTGATAAATCCTCCCCACTTTTTTTAAGGGGGGGGGGGGGAATGGGCCATTGGATCTTCTCCCCTCCCCCAGAGTTTTGTAGTGAGAAATAAAAAACGCCGATTTTAAGGTTATTTTCTAACTTTCCAACATCCAAAATGTATTAAATAGCACTGAAAAAATGGAGAACAAGTAGTGGAAAAGCTTTAAATGCACCATTTTGATGGAAGGTTAAGTATAAGCTCTCAAGTGTGCATAAGATGTACATTGTACATTTGTAAGACAAACACCTCATCTTGCGTGATGTAGTGTCCACCGCCCCCCCCCCCCCCTCCCCCCTCCTGATTTTGGAATTTTGAAAAAGCTGGTTACCAACATTAAGGCCAGTTTATGCAGGATGCAAATAGGAATGGGAATATGAAGCAAACTTAATGTCCAGAAAGATTTGCAGCAACTTTGCCAGAGTTGAAATGTGTTCATTGTTTGCAAATTCACTGAGCTAATACTTTCCATGACATCTGAAATTCACGTTTCCTTTCGTGCTGAGAATGAAGTGGTCTTTCAGATGTCTGTTAAATAAGATAAGATGGATAATATTGCAACTTCAAAGTTGTAAATATTTTTTAAAAGGTCAACATTTAACAGCAGAATGACTATGTGACCTTCAGATTAATATAAGGAACAACCTTCAGTTTATATTGGTGAAAATATCTTTCTGTATGGTGTCATGAACAATTTGTTTATTTTACAGAAAAATATTGTTCATAGAGATCTGAAGCTGGGTAATATGGTGCTGAACAAGCGGACTCGTCGTATCACCATCACTAACTTCTGTCTAGGCAAGCATCTAGTCAGCGATCGTGATTTGCTGAAAGATCAGCGTGGAAGCCCTGCGTACATTAGTCCTGATGTATTGAGTGGTAAGTTTCCATGCTGTGTCTTACAAAACCGTGTCCCAGTGGCATTATTGAAATTTGGGAAGGGGGTTGTCACTTAAAACAAATAACAAACTTGGTGTTGATTTTTAGTTTAAAAGTCAGATCAATTGCACCTGTTTTAAACATGAAAAAAAAAAGGTTCTGAAAGCTAAAATAGTTGTTTTTTTCAAGCAACTTTGTTAGCTTGTCTTATCGGATCGCTACAAATGTAGGCTGGGGACACCAAGGAAATGAAGCTCTTTTGACAATTCCTGAAGGTTTGAGCCCATTTAAACACTTGTATGACACTGTATCACGGTACATTTATTCTCTGATGATTCAATGAAACATACAATGCTGGACATTTTGGGGGCATCATAGAAAGTGCAGCAAACTACAGCTACAGACAAAGTGACAATACTGAAATACAGTATTATTGACTGAAAATCAGGCCACTAAAGTGTTAATCACACAAATCGTACCACACCACTCTCCAGGTGTTGATGCAAATAATAATGTTTCTTATTAAATGTGTCCTCCCTGTTTCCCGCAACAGCACATCACTTGTCACTTACATTCATGCCACGGACATCCATGCTGTACAATGCATTGAGTCCGAGACTAAGTCTCGGACTCAACTCAAGTAACTCGAGACTCAGACATGGCCCATGTGACTCGACAACAACATTTACAGTCAAACAACACTGCTGAATGTTCTCCAGTTAGTGTTCAGTTTTTCAAAGCGTTCTTACTAATTTTCTAGTTTGGTCTAACATTGGTCTCATTAGGCAAAGTTTATTCTGTTTCAGCGTAAGGCCATTGGTTAGGGTGTACATCAGCCATGGGCAACCCATGACTGTTTAGTTACGGTCAGTATAAATAGTTGGTGATAGTTTGTAGATTTCGTGCTTGGACTTCCATCCTGATGTGAAGTAAAGAGAGAATGTTACAAGAGTTGTCATTAGAATTGCCGGTGAAAGCATGAAGCCACCATGTCATGTAGGGCTTGCCGAAGCTCCCTGTTCCTCAGATAGTAAATGACCACATTCAGCCAACTGTTGGTGAAAAAGATCAAGTTAGCTGTCATGGAAAAATTTCGATGTTGCAGTTCACGAAGGACTGAGGTGGCGACACTTTTGATGATACTTGGAGCCCAGCACATGAGGACCGTCATGGTTATGATGAACACCGTGGTAGCGGACTTTGTGCTGACTCTCTGCGGAGCGTTCTGATCACCCTGGGCATTGCCAATCTGATTCTGGGCGGCGATGCGACGTGCCTGCTGCCGCGCAACGCTAAGAATGTACATGTAGAGAACAAATATTGTAATAAGGGAGATTGCCATTAGAAGCATCCTGAGGAGCCCGCAAATATCGCATGCAGAAATTTGACATTTGTCAGGACCTTCTGTGGATACGGTACTCGACAGAAAAATTCCAAATATAAGTATGAAAAATGTCAAAGTCAGGATCCACGTGATGGCACAGATTATCTTTGCTGTCTTCAAAGTCATTAATGTTGGATAGCGCAGTGAGTAAACGATGGCAACAAAGCGATCCACTGTTAGGAGAACAAGAGACAAGACACTCAGTGTCACAAAAGAAAATGATGCAATGCCCCAGACAGTGCATAAAAACGCACCCAGCACCCACTCCCCGGCTATTTGTTGTGTTAGCTCCGGGAGAACCCAGAACAGCCCAATGCAGATATCAGACATGGTGAGTGAAGCCATGAACACCTTGGTCGTTTCTTGGATGCCGCTGGCGCGATGAAGCACCACCAGGCATATCGGGTTGAGAGTCAGAATCAACACGACTGTCAGAGCTGTTGACACAATGAAGGAAACCTCAAACGGGTCCAGTTGAGGTTCTGGCTCCCTATTCAACAATTCACTCAAATTAAGACATTCAGGATTCATATTGGATGGTTTGGTCGTACAACAACAGAGTGTGAGGCGTTAACAGAAATACTTGCTCTGTCAGATCTGTCAGTTGAACTGACCGCATAGGTTTTTTTCAAGTGCTGCACAGTGCTTTTTACAGATGCAAGTTGTTATTTCTTGTTTTCACTGCCCTGACTGTCGCCATGGTCACTGGCCTCACAGCGTGATGAAGTGTTGGGTCACCTTTACAAATGCCACTATTGTTTTTTCCCCTCATCGATTCGCTGACCGTTGCTTGATTTTCCTTCCAGACCACTTAATCGTACCTAACAATAAGTACCTGTTCCCATGGTGACTCGGCTTTCATTTCCAAACTCGCACCTTAATTAACTGGACAGCTTTCATATTTTGTATTGATCAATTTGTCCAATCATCAACTATGGACAACTTTCAATTTCACAACGGATATGAATTTCCTCTCCATTAGATCCATTGATCTGTGTCATAACTTTGCTTAATCAACCATAAAGACTGACACAATCAACCACAGTGGCCCCTGTTTTGGACAGTTTGTGTCACCATGATCATTGAACTCTTGTGAGTGGTCGCACAGCGCCCTCCCCTGGGCCCTTTTGGCTAGGAACCATCCTCAATCCTCCAAAATCACCCCTTATTTCTTACATTTGTTCAGTGGAGGGGTTATGTTATCACTGTCCAATCCTTCAAAATGCTCCAAAACCGCTTGGTTGATTTTGGAGGATTGAGGAGGGATAGGGTGAAGTATTGTATTCTTCTGTCTATAAAATAGTAGTGTACAAAACAGGGAAATTCAAGTTTTACAAAATTTATTTTTTCAAAGGGAATTACAGATGTACTACTTTGAAACAAGACTACTGATATTGCTTGATCTTTGCAATTTTTTTAAACTGGATAGAAACATTCATTTCTAAACATGATTTGTGTATACTTGTCCACTTTATCATTACTTTAAAAAAAGTTATGGACAGATAATTGTTTGTAACTTGTTTTACAGTAATTGTCAAATACAGTCACTCAGTCAGTGTTGTTGGACTCGAGTCCAGGACTCAGACTCAAGGCCGTCTCGGATCACAATTTTGGTGACTCAGACTAGACTCACGTCACACCAGCAAAAGAATCAGACTTGGACTCGACCATCATGACTCAGACTTGATACTAAAGAATACGGAACTAAAACTACCGTAATTTTCGGAATATAAGCCGCGGCTTATACGTTGATTTTGCCCATGAAAATGTTTACTGCGGCTTATACACAGGGCGGCTTATACGCCGAGCCTTGAAGAATAAAAATGAAATTCACATGTGTATTTAATGTACTGGTATAAGAAGAGATATGTTGCTGAAATGAATTATAAATTAAGAAAGTCATTAACAAACCGAAACCACGTCTCACGTAAAGGCACCGAGCGGTAAAAAAGTACGGTGATGAAAGCTGTCTTCGACACTTGCCACCAGCCGGCCGTACGTGATAATGGTACAGTGCAGCAGCGATATGCAGGCATGCTTTCCCAACAGCGGACCACACCATTTGTGGTAACAAAGGGGTGTTCTTTCTTGGGAACAATAATTACCAATATTTTCGCTGTTTAAAAAAAAAGAAAAAAGACCACTACAATTTTTTTTGGCGTTCGAAACATTTTTTTATTACATAATCAGTTGTTCAACGTCACAATATATTTTGTTTTCTTGAAATGTATTCAAGAAACGATGTAGAACTCAAAAGAGGGACTAAATCACCCCTTACAAAATTAATGGAATCGTCTATTAAAATGTCCGCTTCGTTTTGACTATTTCCAAAGAAAGTTACGATCGAAACTTGAATTTTTCTCGCAACTAATCGCAACAATTTGATAAGTTTTTAGGTAAAAAACGGACCTGTTTATTCTTAGGACAAAACAAATCAGCATCTGTTACCACAAAGCAAGATTTGTAGCGCTCCAGTCAGACAACACACGGTGGGTTTCATACTCTCTCACGTGCTGTGGGAAAATGTTGTCATTCACCGGCGTGCGTGGCGCAGGCTATGACGGGGCAGCCGGCAGCAGTTCCCGGTGTTTATTTCTCATCAATTCCCATATTTGTTTGTAAAAGTATCAATTGTAAATGATTTGATATAACTTTTTTGGTCCTTTTAATAGCTTCTGTAGTGTGAATGGAACTGGTTCAGAGCATTTTGACTAGAATTTGGAGGCCTTACAAAATTGAAACCGCAGCGGTCGGTGCGGCTTATACGCCGGTGCGGCTTATACGCCGACTTCAAATCTTAATTTGCAGATTTTTGCGTGCTGCGGCTTATACGCCGCGCGGCTTATATTCTGAAAATTACGGTAATGAAGCCTGAACAAGAAAATACCTAAATCTAATCACTAATTGATGATTCAAAGTAGTCAGAACCTAGAAAATTACAATGCTTCATACATGTAACAGTATATAGTTTTTATGCTTGGATATATTGCTCTATACATTTTTGATAATTTTGTTGGACTTATAAGAGAGATGAACTAAACAACAAACCTGACCAGGAACCAAAGTATAGCGCCCTCATGCTTGCATGTAGCTACAGTGTCCCAGAGTTGACATACACTGCGGTGAGTAACTGGCAGGGCAGTTCAGAGCTGCAGTTAAAGCAAGTAATGAGTTCAAAGCAGGATTTTGTAATAAACAGTTTGTTGATGTATTTTGTTGTTACCTTCAGAATAACCTTGATGTTTTGTATTTTCAGGAAAGCCATATCTTGGTAAACCTAGTGACATGTGGGCACTTGGAGTTGTATTGTTTACAATGCTGTACGGTCAGTTCCCGTTCTACGATAGCGTCCCTCAGGAACTCTTTCGGAAGATCAAGGCTGCAGAATATATCATTCCTAAGTAAGTTGTTTTTAAAACGTTCCTATCCTATCAGCCCCTAGACATTGTATATAAGTTTTGCTGGGGAAAATCTAAGAAACAATACCGGTAGCAGTGTTGTGTTCAGTACATGATCAAGTGAATGTGAAGATTATTGTGATCCATAACAAACCCACAGCCCGTTTTAGGTATTGTGTATCCCATGAAACATCACTGTGGCAGTTCCACGGTGTCGGATGTACATTTTGGACAATTCAACAGTGTAATCTTGAAGTGGATTTTAATTCTGATAAAACGTATCAGTTAGCTACTACAATGATTTAAAAAAGAAAATATTCATCCAACTTTTTTGCTGTAGCAGAAATTGGCTCAAAACACAGTGGCGTCGGACACACTCAGACAAAATTGAATTTTTGTGTGTACCTATAGATATATAATTAATTTTTCAGTTGAAAGTAACAGCTGAACTGTGCAACATTAGAAATAAACTGTAATTCAATAAAATTGAGATAAGCCTCAAAATGATACAGGTTTCATTTGTGGCATTTTGATTTTTTTTTATAAAGTTTTGTCACTGAGGTTTATAATGCCGTGGTATTGACCAATATGATCTGTAGAGTAGTACATGTAGTTGATCAGTAAATAGTAACCTGTGGAACATTTAGGTGAGGTGAGTTTGTTCAGGAATATCACAAGAGGGCGCTATATCCAATTGCCATTTGAGAAGCTGATATCTTTACTGGATGGATCTTCATGATGTTTTTTTAATGTCATATTTTTTTTTTACATTCTTGTGAGTTCCAGTAGCTTACATGATTTCTCATCATAAAAACTTTTTGCATTGTGTTACATGACTTGCCAAACCTCCAGTATTGAAGGAACTTTTTCCTTGCAATACAGCATGCAGCTAAATCCTATTCTTTAATTAGGAAATTAACCATGTTTCGTTATCCTTGAGGGCAGCACACAGGTTCAATCACCAGTCAGATGCTATGAGATTAGATGCAATTAGAATATTTTTCCATGCCCCCCCCCCCCCTCCCCCCCCCCCCCCCCCCCCCCCCGCCCGCAATAGACCATGATGTTTTGACCAATAACAGCTATGAATGTGCAACCAAATGTCTGACAGAAGCCTGAAATGCAATGCACTTCTGCACAACGCGCGGCTGGAACATGGAAAGTGCAAAGTCAGCAGGGCTTATGGCTAAATCTGAAACAGTCCACAATGACACATTGCTGTTTGTAGAAATCTTACCGCTATTAAAAAGATAACTGGGCATATGCAGGGGGTGTCATTGAAAGGGGGGTGGTGTCACAGACCCTGACATTTTGTTTTTCTTGGCAAAATCGTTTACTTTTCGTTAAAGCGGTGTGTCCCTCGGCATATGCCACCAAGAATAGTACCACTCCTCAAACGGGTCTGGCGACGCCGGTAGGCACATGCTCTTGTGTGTGTGCCATCGGACATGATATGCAATGTGCATTTGCAATAAGCCAGTTCCGTCATTTGTTTTCTCATAGCTTCTTGTGCATAAGCTGGAGTTGTCTTCAGTTTCTAAGACAACATCACCTAATGGAACTAACGCTGTTTACATGCAAAGTCTAAGTAAACTAGACAGGAGTTCCATATTTAATATTCAGATTTGCAATGGAGATCATAGGCTAGATTTCAAATAATAAAATAATGTTGTTTTTTAACCGACAGGCTGTTATCTTCTTCTGTTAATTGTGTGATTGTCATTCTTCATTTTAAACATTCTAATATGGAAGGGTTTCTGTTAATCTGTAGTGATGGGCGGGTGTCAGAGAATACGATCAATCTAATCAGGAACCTGCTAGTCTTGGATCCAGCTGTTCGAATGTCTGCTACTCAGGTCTCGGAAGCCTTGGACAAAACATTGGCTATGTGGTGAGATATACATTAGACTTATTACTCAGTAATTGAATGGATTGGTGATTGTCTAATGAAGGCTCTGTTTCTGATCTTAATTAACTCGTCACTTACATATTATTAAATGGTCTTTGTTTGGTGAAATTAAAGTTTACAAATAGACTTGGCATCATTCCAAGCTAATATAGGCTTACCATACTACAAATGTAGTAGGTAAAGAATCAAATCATTATTTACAATTAACTTTTATCTCGGGTGACATTCCAATGATCTGTCAATCTATCTCTTTATAAATAATATTGCCTTCTTTGTTGTTTTCTTTAACCTTAACTAGTTATTGTAAAAGGTTTGCCTTCGATTAAGGGTTGAAACATCAGGCATTCTAATTCTTTGAGAATTTTAGTTCAATCCAATCCATAAGCTGTTAGTAGCAATTTCTTACTTCCCACCCCAACAAGGTAGTCAGAAATAATTACAGAAATAAATTTCATCGATTGAAAGTCCTTAATAATAATATGAGGTGGTTCATTAATGTTCAGGAGTTTGCAGGTTTCAGGATATCGCAAGAGGCAAGGTTTGTTGAGAAAAACAAAAAATCCATGTTGAATTGAATAAACTCGTGGTTTTTGTTAATACCCGTGTATACATTGTATGTTTGCATGATTGCAGGAAGTCATTGGCTTTACAAGGAGAACAACTTCAAGTTGTTCCTGACTTAGACATAGACGGTGATGGTGTAGAAGATGTAGATGGTTCACCTCCAACCAAACGCCTTAAAGAGACGCCGCTACAGACCCCACCAGAGTGGGACCTGAAACTACACGCAGATCGTAGTGTCATCAGTCTGGATATGCGACTACAACCACCAGCAAGGAGACGCTTGGTGCGCCCACCTGTCCATAAACTGAATCAGGATGCACGACCTTTGACCCAAGCCGAGACCATGGCTCACCGTAACCTGTTGGTGTGATGTGAGTAGTTCCTAGTTTGATACATGTAGGTAGGGATTCTGTGGTGATGGTTAAATGTCTTGATATTTTGACTCTAGGTTTGGATTTTCATTACTGCGTGAAATATGATTGTCTCCTTACAACTGGTTCGATGGAATCAAAAATCAGAATTGCTTACTTAATCTTTTGTTTTTTAATGAATTTAAAGGAATTCAATAAATGATGAGTGTTGAACACCATCCAAACAAGCTGAAGCTTGTACTGGATGTACCAAAAAATTAAATGAAGCACAAAAACTAAATGCGTAAAATGAGTACAATATAAACTATTCATAAGATGGAATTTGCGTACAGTATGTTTTGTAATTAACGTTTAACAAATATTTTCCAAAAAAAGGAGAAAATTATTAGGAAGGGGACAGTTTATAATTATAAGTAATTAGGTTAGGGTGAGTGGGTTTAGTAGCATAGCTTGACTGAATACATTAATGACTTCTGCTAAAGTGACTACTAACATGGAGAAACAAATGGTGTTTTGGAGTCGGAGAAATGATAACCAGAGTTCATGATAACATGTTTGAGTTGAACATTTTATCCAATCTAAAGGTCCTTTCATATTTTTATACTTGTATCAACTGGGACCACAAATTTTTATCTCCCATTTTGTCATATTGTTTGGACTTACATCCTGAACAAAATACAAAATTATTTAAATGAAGAGACAGAGTCAAAATTATCTTAATGCGGAATCAACTGCATAGATTTTTTTAATCCTGGGGCTCTGTAATTTCTTAAAATTGAGGTTTATTTCTGAGTTCATTGAGCAAGTTCTTATGCCAAAGATATTTATAAATGTGGGATGGAATACTTCAAAGTTGTATTTTTGAAAGTACAAAATATGACCAATATGTGTATCAATTTCTTGAATGTGTATACTGTCAACATAGTTTATTGTATAAACTCTTGAATATATTAGGGAAAAATAATTGAGCTATAAATATTACAAGTGTGTAATCCAAGTTTTTTCATAACATTAAAAGTTGTTAATATTTAGAGTACATGTTTATTTTGGCATCGGTTTTGACATAGTAGAAGGCTTTCCTGCATTTTTCTTTTCATGAAACAATGGTCTTCAAAAGCTTTGCAGATTACATTTGCACATCCTTGCATTTTGCTAGTTTGTCAAACATAACGCTTCATGCAAGAAAACGAAATCTCTTAAAGATCACACACAATGAAAAGTTTTGTTGCTGTGTTGTAGAATAGCAATAGCATAGCATAGCATAGCATTGAGTGTGATATGGTGTTGAATTGATTGCCATCATCAAACGTGACATGTTTGTGGTCAAGGTATTGGCTGTGTGCCAAACTATTCACTCTTGTATTGGGAATAAAAATATTGTTTGTTAACATTCATTCAATGCTGTGCATCCTTTGCATTGCATCCATCTTAAATTGAGATATGTGCATTTGTTGCATGCAGTATACCGCTTTGTCATTCATTGTTCCTGAATTTAAATAACAAAATCATCTCAAAGATGATATGATATATTAAAATTAGAATGCAAATGGTTATGTACTTTGTGTGATCAATGGAGGATGTGCCCTGTAGTGTGAATATGGTATGATTTAGTCCTCAGTTTAAATATAATGTCATGGGTCATTGGTGCGTGCAGCTTGATGATTTTGATTCACTTCATTGGTTGTCTATCCTGTGTCCACAATTCCCATATGGTGCTCATAGTAATTAACTATAACACACAGTACAATATGGGCTGCCGATGCCACATGTGTGATTACACATGAAGCTTAATTTCAACGGATATATCTTGATAGGTTCACTTCAGTTGCCTCATAGGCAGAAAACTGGTTATTTCCCTGCGGTATAGAGTCTGTGACATTGAGTGTATTAATGCAGCCACTGGCAGTTTTTTAAGTTAAACCATGCGCATGCATGCTCACGTCTTCAAGACTTGCCATGATAACACATGAAGCGGCATGTGTGTTGTGTTAATAAGCAAAAATTAATTGCCTCTTCAAAATTCATAGAACGCATACACATCTATAATAAAGCAACTATAAACTAGGGAGCCTAGCTTAAGCTAGCTGCTTAGTCTAAACATTACATGTGACACATGATTCCAAGTAATACAGGAAGCATTGTGATTATGTTATTCCTGCAATCTATCTCACATTGAAGACTACATTGTACATTTTTTTGTGAAGCTTAGGGAAAGTTGTCATTTAAAAACTGGTATATTGTAGTCCCATTCTGCACGTCACACTCATCCACGATTGATATTACTCAGATAGGGATTATTATGAAATTAATTTGAAAAGACTCTTTTTAACCTTTTTCCAAATGAGAGTATGAGACATGTGTATACTGAACTCAATAAAGTTGACCAAAGCTTATTGTGTCAACTAGGCAATCAGTGTGATTTACATGACAGAATTAGATTACTCCATCAAATACCAATGAAATTAGCCTGATCTAAATGAAATCTTTCTGATCACTTGAGATTTTTTTCTGTGGGCAGGGGGAATAAGGGGAATCTCCCCCCCCCCCCTTTTCTTAAACATTAAATCAGAGAGCGAGTGAGTGCACCTGTTTTTTAAAACACTACTGTAGTCTCCTCATCACCTCTGATTGGCAAATTTGAAACTGTGATGCTGTATAAAGATTGAAGATTTTGAAATAACAAATTCATTAAATACATGCACATTATTCATTTAAATTTGCTTGTTACATTACTTGAATATGTTAAAATACATGCATTGTACTTTGTCAGCGAATCAGTGTTACGTTTGGTGATGTCAAATTTCTTGCTCAATATCTTGAACACCTGTATGTATCACTCCGGCGTATTGTAGCGTAAAACTGAAATAAAGTCATTACTGAATGTCATTGCTGTTTGTATCAAATAGTAGCATGTCTAGGGTGGTTGGTGGCATTCATTTTATAATGTTAATTGTGTAAATGTGTAATCAAATTGTAGAATTCAAATTGTACAATAATTGTTGATATGCTTGGTGGTTTTCCTCAGGGGCAGTCCTGCTTACGTGTAAGTTAGCATAATTGATATTTTAATGAAAAATGTGGCTGAAGACTGTAATTATTTTTACACACATATTTTATCATCATGTACATTTAGCTAATGACACGGCATATGTTTAATAAAATAGTGAATAAAACCCAAAGTAAGAGTGTTTGTGTTTACCTTGTCAGTATGGTCATGTATACCAATTACCATGCAAAAGTCTTGCTGTAGTTTCCGAAAAATGATAAATGGATATTACTTTATGAAAGTGTTAACTAAATAGACCTCAAGGTTAGTGTTGAAAAAATATTTGTTGGAGGTCATATTTTCTGAAGTAACCAAAATGAAATAGGAAAGGGATGGTTTCCATAGCTATAAATGTTGGGGCCTGCAGTGATACATTTATGGTAAAGAAGTACTGATTTAATATTGGTTTGTGCATGGTTTCTAACAGTAACATGAGGTGATTTAAAGGCTGAATTTCTTTTCCTCTTGCAATAGTTTCTTATCCTTTTTCACCCCTATTCTTCAACATATCAATTATTATTTTCTTTTAACGTTTTTCAATTTGTATGTTTTACTTATACGAAAACAATCCTTTTTTTACGTTTCAAACCCTCTGAAAATATGCTTTCACATTTGTGTTGCCTTTGCGCCCATAATATATGCACAAAAATATTTGACGGGCCACAAATCAATCTTTTTCATGGTAATTATTTCATAAGTAAACTGTGGGCGGATTGTTTTTGTTCTATGTCTCAGTCGAAAGTGACTAAGTTTTGTATTGCTTGCAAAAAATCTGTTTTTCTGGTTGAGACTCGAAAATAGCACAATGAGAAGCAACTTTGATCTTCGAAATCTTTTGCGTTGGCGCAAATTTCCATTCGTCATCAAAATCTTATTTTTGTTTCTGTATTCAATGCACTTGAGTAAAACCCCCTTGCCGGTTTTTTTTTTATTAGCGGGGCTTCGGACAGCGCCAACCTGCCTGCAAAATCCACCCTTTAACAGTGGAATGTGTAATTCGATGATCAAAGCTAAATATGCCGCTGGCCGCTGGCTTTGTGTGTAGTTGGGAAGGGAAATGTGAGCGAGATGGCGCGATAAGTCGATGTGCGATGCACAGGCAAATTGCATGCTGGATGGTAAACCGGATAGACGAGACGTGCCTACAACACTGCGCAGTTCATGCCAACACTCAACATCCCCGGCTCCACAAGCAAAACGGTCGGTAAATCTTCGGAAGCGACCACACAAAAAAAAATCGTCTTTGGGCAATTTCTAATAAGTGTATCTGTCTCGTCTCGCTCGAGGATCGGGAAACTATTAAGTCTTTGTTAAACTGAATAACAGAAGCGGTGAATGATTTCTAGCAAGTTACAACCATCTAGCCCCCTTCAGCCCCCCTCTGGCCCCCCTCTGCATAGCGAGTAGTACCTCGTGTTTATTGCGTGAGTCACTGCTTTTGGGATGAAGTATATTGACCTCGTGGAGGACCGGCCATACCATTCACATGTACCCAACACAAAACTGGACCATTCACTGCTTTCTTCTGCTCCTCGTTTTTATCGTCAACTTGCAATAAAAATTCAGCGGAGACTTTGGACTTGGAATCAGTTCCTTGTGTAACTCAACGACAGAGTGGCAAGTGCATGTACTTGGTGGTCCAACTTTGTTTTTCAATAAACTGAGCGGTTTCGTCAATCGTCGCTGTGTGAAGTTTGTGTGCATCGTGCCGTGTCTGCTGGCTGCAGTTGTTTTGTTGTTCTTTTTTTGCAAGAGGAACTGTCTACTCTTAGATGTTGGCGGTATGATGGCTGAGTTGCTGCCAGTAGTATTCACGGTCATCGTGGGTCTAACATTTCCTTATCTACCCAGCAGTCAGGCTGACGATAACCCAGGTCAGTCACGGAATATTTAAGTCAAGCTTTGGTTAACCACAATTGTTAAATTTTGACTATATTTGCACTTTACAAATTACAGGGGGTTTCACCCATACCGACATGACCGACCACACACATCCAGTGCAAGTACATATATGTGTGCAAGTCGGTTTATTTCAAATGTGACTTGGAAAGGTTATAGTTATACACTAACAAAAAGTATGTTTTTGTAATTTTGTACTAACCTCCCCAAGTCAGATACACCATGGAGGAATTTTACACACGTAAATATGATTGATTGTAGACTAAATTTGGACAAAAGTACTTGTAATTTTGAATACAGTCCTAATCCTATGGCCTAGTTGTACAGGTACAAGTTTTTTATTGAGAACGTGACATTTTGGAAAGAATATTGCATCCTGACGCCACTTTTTTTCTTAATACATGTCTAAATGGAGGTCATTCATTGCAAAAATTATAAAAAGACATGAATCTGGAACTGGGAAAAGTCCAATTTTGTTTGAAAGTACATGTACTTTGACATTTTTCTTGACTCTCCATAGACTTTGCACACAACCAACAAAGTGGCATCTGGATTTAATACATTCTTTCCGAAATGATGATTATTATTTTTTTAACATGATAATTGTCCCTAATTAGAGTTGGATACCTTGGTAGGACCTCTTCGATCATTGATGTTTGGTGTAGAAAAGTTTGAATGTCATTCATCTTATGCGAGATAGAAAATTCACAACATTTGTAAACATTGATAATTGAAATATTTGTTCTCTCAACTTGTTCCTTTATATTTTGGATCTCTCTGTTTCTTTGTTTTGAGGTCTATGTTAGATTGATTTGTTGTTTATTTGCCTGCTTGATACAAAATCTTGTGACGCTGCCATGTAAACTGACTGTTAAACCACTGGAATGCCAACACAATATATCGGTGCTTAAATCAGCCAGAACAGAGCATTCATGCATGATATCATCCCATACAAATTGCACAATAAACCCATTGGACGTAATCAATTCCAGCAGAAGGACAGATTGGAGCGGAAATGGATGGATTTCATCACAAAAATAGGAATTAGTTGACCAAGGTTAGCAACTTTTGACCCTGAACATTGAACAAGTTGATCCAATGTAGGGATTTTACCTTTGCAATAGTGGAAGGAGTTAATTGATTCAAAACTCTGTGTTTAAATGAAATAAAACCAAACAAATGAACAATATTTTGTTGCTATTTAAAAAAAAACTAAAAGTTGCTTGAGTAACAGTAGTTCAGAGCTAACATACATTAAAATACACAGGTTCAAATTCAAAACATTTTTAGTACGGGGCCTTTTAGTTTTAGGACATATGCCCACATCCTGTAAATGAGGTACATTTCTTTTCAACTGAAGTTCTTTACAGAGAAATGTGCAGTTCTAGGAAGGGCTGTGTAATTATGTGCAACATTCACTGATTTTGGTTTGACCTGTGATGGATCTCGATCATTATCACGAACACGCACTTTTACCTTGAACTAAAAACATGACATATTTTACTGCAAGGATGGAGTGATTGTACATCTACAAAAATACAAATTTGTGTAATGTGTTGTAGTGGGTAATGGTTTTATGCTACATTGCACTATTACCAAGGCTGTAAGGAAGTCATGTATGCCACTGAGGTGTTAATAATAATAGTTATTCTCAGCATCTTTAATACCTACAATGCCATTCCCTTAGATGTTACGCCTGAGTGATTTCATTTCTCATTACGCAAGGAGTGGGGCTGTAATATGGGTCATCTCGTTCGAGCGTGGTCTAATTCAGATATAATCAGCTTTTTCATTTAGAGCATTGACCGTGATTGCAGTAAAAGTCCTCTTAAATACTGTGAAGGCAGCATTTAGCCTGTTAGGAATGCAGATACCCTAGACAAGATTCCTTGAGAGGGGGGGGGGGGGGATGCTGGGGAGGGAATGTTCTCCTGGCCTGGGAGCTCTAGAAATTAGCACACTGGATTCACCCTCCTAATGTTCTTCCTGGTCTGGCCAGATTTGTGCATGTATCTTTCCACTGTATGAACGGTTTGGGAAATGCCAAACTATAGGCTTACAGTTACAGACAATGTATAGCAGATTCCAGTTTTATTTCAAGAGATTAAATATTCTCTCTCAAATTTACCGGTAGCTGTTTCGGCAGATTTAAATGGTTGAAGTTCAGTGATTAAAATAGAGAGGGAAATTTAAAAGTTAGAATTTTTTGGCCTGCTTGTTAATTGTTGTGATGTTTGTGTTATTTTCTGTAGATTTTCGTGGAAAATTGCCAGGCCTCTTGCGGCAATACGTTGAGTACATACATGTACGTGTACATGTACACGGGTCATAATCCTCTAAATTGTCCATACTGGCTGGCATTGATTGTATTGATTTTGGGTTCAGGTAACAACAGGTGGGTGTCTCTTCTTCGATTGACCAGTTTAAGATATTGATTATACACAATAAGGATTTAAATGAAAGATGTGTAATATTGAAGTCAGATGAGTGCAGGGCCGTATTATAGACAGGTGAATATTAGGGTGTACGGCGGTGGTATTATAATTTTTGGGGGGGGGGATGTTGGGCAGCTTACATGTAATTTGTGCATACTTTTCTTGGGGGTGGGTGGGCTTTGTTTTTTGGTTTTGGGATAATTATATTTTTTCATTTTGAGTGGCCTCATATGTATTTATTGTGTATATTTCTGTGTTTATGTATATATTGTATTTTTTCTTGCCTTATTTCTACAATAGAAAACTACATGCATGGGAACATCTCTAATTCTATACAAAGTTGAAATCCCACACGTTTCAATGGAAAAAGTTGGTTTCTGTGAATTTTGTACTTTCACTTGCATCATGTATTGAACGAAGGTCACTGTTCTCTCTTACCCTGGTACATTATAAATGCAAAGCCCCAGCAAAGTGTTCCTTTAACTTGACATTGATGTGACCTTATAACCCCTGGCAAAACGCAGTGCCCACATCCCACCCCTCCAAAAACACTGAAAATGCAAGTAAAACATATTTTGTGTTGGGGTTGTTTTGACACTTTCTAACTTATCCTCATTTGTAGCGGTGGTGTCCATACTTAGGCAAATCTGATTAACTATTGCCCAAGGCCTATGTGTAGCATGACCACTGCTGATTGGTGCAAACTGCAATGCAGACCTAGTAGCTGGAATGCCAGATGCCGTCAATGAAATTTGTGAAATCCTAGCTGTAGGCAATGGAATAAATTCCTTAATCAGGTCAGTCAAATTCCTGTAACTAGGCCTCCTTATCTCTACCTTCTACTAAACAGTGGGTACTATTAATACCAGTACACCTGCATGACTGTTGTAAATTAAATTTAGTTTATATTTGAAATTTACTCTATTACTTTGACTTTTTTGTTCTAAGGGGATTATGGTTTTTTTTATTTAAAGTATTTTTTCTTTATTCATATGTTTGTAAATTTCTGTTTTTATTATGTGTAATACAATTACAGTGTTATAAATGTAGTTGAATGAATTAATACAGTGTAAAAGTATTATAATGTGTTACAGTTGAAATTGTTATATATCTCTTGATTTATTTTGGACTTAACATTTCTTATTCCTCCATGGTATGAATGGGTACTAAACTACTAATAATAACTGAATTACTTTTTTTTTCTGAATTAATCTTCTTCTAATGATGGGACATTAAACAGCTTACATGCACACAAGCCAACTATCTGATGAACACATTTGTTGACACAGGATATCAGACAAGACCTGAATAATGTATGTGACTTTCAGGAAGATTTGGCGTTGAGTTCAAGAGTACAAAGTCACCTCATGAAGCAAGACAACATGCGAGAATTATACAAAGTGAATCTTCTCCTACCTGATTTGGTTGATAAAGTGCATACATGTAGGTCTATGTCTGAGATGCTCACAAAACTGGCAGTCATTCACTTCTTAACATCCGGTTAGTTTTGAAGTACTGATATTATGTAGGCTTGGAATCCGTCAAGACATTACATTTTTGGCCATTTTTAGCACCATTTACAGTGATCCACGCATTGCAGTTCCAATCTGTTTCCCATTTTATTGTAAAAGTTGGACAAAGAAATTGACGGGAGTGAGGCTTGAACCTGCGACCTCCAGAATACTATACCGGCACTCTGCAGACTGGTTTCCATTTTGTTAGACAAATTTTAGATTAGGTGATGAACCAAATGAATTGAACTGAATTGAAATGAATGGATATTTGTGTCTTGCTTTTGGTCTTTGAATGGGACATGTGGTGTTTTGGGCCTGCACAATGCATTCATGTGGGAGCTGTGATCATCAGCAGCTGGCCCTGATGATTCTGGTATTTTCCTGTGGGCAATTCCTGAATGTAATGGATGCAGGACACCCATCACTATCAGCAAACTTCAGCTGACCTGAATACCGCAAAGTAACCCCCATGACCCCAGCAGGTCAGTTGGGTCACCACGGGTTTAACTTCAGAATGCAAGAAATGTGCTGCTACTTTTTTTGAGGACCACATTTTACTCATGTTTGTACAATTGTAAAAAGCAAGTTGAAAGTTAGGCTTCGTACATTTCATTAAAAACTATCTTTAAAAAAGTTGTAAATCAAAAATATCTTGAGCAAACAAATGACAGCAAAGGGGTAGCTTATTTCTTTTGACCTACTTAAGGTAAATTGCAGCACAAGTGTCTGGATAGAATTGAAAGTTGATTTATTAGTTAGTCATACTTCACACTTTGCGATTTGATTTGCTATCTGAAAGTGTGGCAAAATACCTGCCTGTGCACCGCCAGCAAAAAGCTCATCAAGATAATGTCCCCGGGCCTAGGTCTAAAACCTTAAAATGTATTTGTCTGTCGGTAATTACCCTACTGCATGTCCATACTGAGTCGTCCTGGCTTAAATTACAGGAAACGTTTTGAGACATAAAAATGACATGTCTGTAGATAGTGATAAACACGAATGATAAACTGCTTCGAATCTTCTGCAAAGCACCTCCTGAAAAGTTGAAAATCTGCTGAGGAATTTTGTAGGCGTGCTTTGTATTGTATATATTGTGCCACAGAGCTATAGTTCTGAGTATTGAGAAGGGGTAAATCTCAGGTGCTTAAGTTCTATAGTCAGTAAGATTATGGCCATACAGGGTCAATCTGCAGAACACTACCATTCTCATCCATGTAATCCCATTTGGATTTCAATGGACCACAGAGAAAGTTGTTAGGTATTTATAAAGGGCCCCCTTTTCTAATCATAAACACATTGCTGGATGTTGCCACTTAACCTAATCATTATTGCACATATTTTACTGCAGGTGTGACTTTGGGAAATAGAGTTGCATATTAAAAACACCTATCACAGTTTGTAAATTGAAATGGTCATAAAAGCTATTAGTCTTTAACACAGGTAGTGTAGATGAGTGTCCTTCACGGGCATTGCTGGAAGTTAAACCCTAGTATTGCTTTGTACTTTTCTAGTGCTGGCCTGTATTGTCAGCAGACAATAATGTGTAACTGGCTTCCTTGATGTGGCACACAAGTGCCACCCTTATGCAATCACTCTATGAATAGACTTGGAGGAAATCTCTACACAAAGCATTGAGCACAACAAATAAACTATGTGGACCAGGGCTGGAGGAACAAGGCCTGTCAGCTATATGCTGCTACATTGTATATATGTATCAGCACTAGCAGCAGCAGTGTGCGCTCTAGGTAACCTTGGAACTGTTTTCCCTTTGTAATATCCACAAGATACCCCTGGAATTGTAATAATTATTACATACCAAAACCAGAAGTACATTGTAAACTGAGGTGTTCCTGACCCACACTGCAGCACACACTTCCCTGAGAGATACATTTAGCTGAATTAAAAAGCAGAAATGAAAGCCCTCGATGGGAACTTGTTGACAACTGGACTCATAGCAAATTGTAGTTTTCTTGGACACAAAATTTGAAGTAGTGGCAAGTCACCAACTGTTTCCTATTCAGAAAGGTTGTGTCTTAATATGTAAAGAAGGTTTTGGATTCAATGAAAAATGGAACTGGGTCTTATTATCCAGGTATTTGTACCATCAGCCTAAGCATCCAATTGCAAATTGTGTTGACTTGAAAAGGGTAAGAGGCAATTTGTATACTCCATGCACTTTAATACCAAACAGTTTGCTGCTAGTGCTGGAAGGAAGGTTCCCTGTTTCTTGTTTGACAAGAACAAGAAATTGTAATTAGTACAGGACTCGCTATGATCTAACCACAGAGCAATTGTTGTTCAGAAGGTGTAGGTGAAGCTGTTGAGCTGGCAGCTCAATGGACATTATACATGTAGCCGTCGGTTATCATCGTGACTTACTCTTATGTGCCTGGTAGGCATGTACCATGTGGTATAGTATTCATTTGTTCACGATTCAGCTCTTTGTTGCAGAAACCACATCTGTTCCCAATGTATCAACGGAACGAAACGTTTCCCTGAAACTTTACAAAGAAATAATGAAATTAGATGCATGGTTGTTAACAGCTTTCTCACTGTTATTGTCTCCCACTCAGATTTGTTAATGTCAACGTTAAGAAGCAAGTTTGTGTTTGCCTGTGACAAGGATCTCCTGACATTCAAGTGCCCAAACAGCACAGTCATTACAATAGAAAGTGCCAACTATGGACGACAGGTGCCCAGTGAACGCATGTGCCCATACAGATGGAGCACAGTAGGCAGCTATCAAGTCACACAATATCATGAGAACACCAACTGCAAGGCAGTTAATTCTCATCAGGTAAAATATCCATTCACAAAAGTTCATGTACACTGTATTTTTTAGTTTTACCAAACTGCCAATTGGCTTTTTTTTTTTTAACTAAATTACTCTCAAGCCCTGAAATGTTAGTTTAAATTGTTTCAACCCCCCCCCAAAAAAAGGGATGTTGAAGCTCACCTGAAGCTGGTAACCTTAAGTGGGACAAGGGTGGTTGGAGATTGAATGATCTGCCTGACTTAGCATTTTGAACAAACAGTTTAGAATGGAAATGTGTGGTAAAGAAACCATGCCTGGCAGTATCCAGATGGGGATGTCCCCTGAAACCATTTGAAAATCAGTACTGCTGGTGCCTATAGACCATTTCAATGGCAGCCATCTTAGAGGTGCAGTGTGTTAGTTTTGTTTCAATGGGATCAGAGTTGATCTTTTTCTGCATTCACTGTTTCTGATTTCAACTTTATTGAACAAAAACACCTCCGAGATCCTTGCTGTATGCAGCATTTCCCTGCTGTTTGTGTACAAAAATTAGCTCCCATATCCCCTTTAACAGAAGGTTACTGCTAACGTAGCAACCAATCATCCCAACAGGACTAGAGATATTTTGGGAAGTGACTTTTCTGGTATGAATGTGTCTACATGTACAATGTACAATGTACCATTTGTCATCTGAAGTGGTACTGTAGCAGTCAGGATTTAAAGTTTCCTACAGATCAAACAAAAGAAATCAGGCGAAAAATGTTGATGACTGCTGTGGCACAAAGATTGAGATAAGCAGTTATGTGGGTCAACAATGTTGGGTTGTACTCTTTTCTTTGTAGATTTATAAGTTGCAACTCGACACTGAGTTGGCAACAGAAATATCAGATAAGGAAAGTTAGATATTGAAGAAGATTTAGTGGTGGCAGTGTACTGTACAGTGCATGAAAAAAAATCAGATTATTATAGTTTTTATAACTTTGAAAACACTTCAATTCAAAAGTACAGTGACACCATAACACAGCAAATGCATGGCAAAATCCATATCAATGCAAAACCAAGGAAAATTGTCTTCCAATTGTTCAGCTGGTCAGAGACCATAGTTGAAGATGATGTTTACATGTTGAAACATTTAAAAGAAAAAATAATCAAAATCCATTAACAGATTTTACCAAACGTTTAAACTTACCCAAATTTTTTAAATGGTACTTTGTTTACCCAATTCACCTGATGGAGAGATGTAGCTTCATGATGTCATTTTCAGATATGAAGAAATATTTGTCAGAATGTTTATATTTTGTTTATTGTTTTTAGGTTATAGAAAACATGTGTGAGAGCAGACAATTCTGCAAGCTCAGGGTTTCCAGCGATTTGTTTGGTGGTGATCCATGTCCTGGAACAAACAAGTACCTAGACGTCACATATAAATGTAAACCCAGTAAGTACAACATATAGCCTACTATCATCATCAGTAGATGTACAAATGTACTACAGGGCATGACAAACATTTATTTTGCTGATCATACAGTCAGTCTGCAGCGCACGCATTAATGTGGTGAAATCCCAAATTTTCTATGACGGCCTACGTCATGAAACGTCCACAAGACTTACACATGTAACTGCGAACATTGTGTAACATAACACAGGTATTGAATGACTACGTGGGTGGCATGGATTTTCATGTTGTTCAGTTTCATCAGAAAGAGTAATGAAAGTTGAGATATGTATGTTTGTGAAAACAAATTTAAGACCCGTACTGTTCTTAAATGATATAACATTGCAATTTGCATATTTCATGATTTTAGAATCTTAAGTTCACTCAACTGTCTTAATTGCACAGTTTTTCTTAAACTATGGAGTCGGGTTGCTGATTCACTAAGTTTGGTGGAAATTGATTGTCGAGAATGTCAACTTTGTTTACCGTAGTTTACACTTTTTTGCTGAGAGAAGTATTTGTTGTTGACATTTTTAGCCATTAAGTAATATTATTTTGTACCCCAAAATAGTAACGACCAAGTATTTGCTCCTTACGTTCATACAAGCTTGAGGAATGGGATATAAATAGAGAGTGCACACAGCATGAAACTATTTACACCCTGTGGGCTAAATCATACCGTCTTTGCTTATCACTGAACTTAAAGGAACGTGTAGCACTTGCCTATACTTACAGTGCTTCCTCATTCTATCCTGCAGAATATTTATACACATGCAGTTGCCCTTCTTATGAAGCCCGGAAAGGGACAGGGTGGAAATATTTTTTGTAATTTGCTAATTCGTTCCCACAAATTGCTATTCATTCCCACGAATTGCTAACTCGTTCCCACGAATTGCTAAATCCTTCCCACGAATTACTAATTCGTTCGCACGAATTGCTAAATCCTTCCCACGAATTGCTATTTTGTTCCCACGAATGGCTATTTCGTCCCCACGAATTGCTAAATCGTTCCCACGAATTGCTATTTCGAACGAGTTAGCAATTTGTGGGAACGAATTAGCAATTCGTGCGAACGAAATAGCAATTCTTGCGAACGAGTTAGCTATTCGTGGGAACGAATTAGCAAACTACAAAAAACATTTCCACCCTGTCCCTTTCCGGGCTTCGTAGCTTCTTCTGTTAACTATATAGTGTTGAACAAAAGTCATGGATAGTGCACACTAGTCTTAGACCATGTGCCATTTGTTTACAAGATTGGATGTTTTGGTCACCAAATGCCATCTTGCAGCTCATGGTTCTTTCTGCACTGCATGTGTATATTTTGATATTATGAATGGTTTCAAAGTGTTGACGTGTAGAGTTGAATGTGGGCCAAATGGCATGCAAAAGATGCTTAAATGTTTGGGTTGCCCGGTGGTTGCCTGTCGGCATGATGTCACAGGGTGTGTTGTTTGTGCAGGACAAAATGTAATGCCCATTTACTGTTGGTACATTTCAGGTTTGGGCATATTGGCAGCAATATCCCATCTGTTTGTTTGGAATATAAATGCAGATAATACAAAATTGCTGTACAAAAGCTGTACAAAAGCCGTACAAATTTTAAGAAAAGCAAACTCCATGTAGTCCTGGCATTATATTCAGTTGGTTTATGCTTATCATAAATGTACGGCAACACAAACTCTGCCACAGGTAAAAGTGTTTGTATTTCAAATTCTCCTGCAGTTATTCATTGTAAAATTAATATACAGATATATCAAAATCAGTTTACAAAAGTTCTATTTTTATCAGCAAACACCAAAGACAATTTACTATGCACTCTCTCCTTTCATATGATGCAAAATGTTGCTTTATTCAGTTTATTTCATTAAAGGGAATATACAACATTTGCAAACATCGAAAAATAAAACTACCAAGTTTTTGCGAAATACCTTAATAGGATGTTGGTAAATGACAGTCTAAAGCATCCTGTAAAATTATGGCACCTGGTATACTGTCATTTTCAAGAAAAGTGGTATTTTTGTATCAATTTCCAACGCTGATCGGCCGATCAGCGTTGGAAACAACTGGCTTTTTTTTCAAATACTGGCCCCAATTGACCATTGCACTTGTTTGCAATCGATTACAAACCTATGAACGGGTACGAGCCAGCTAGACTGGTTCCCTGACCTTACAATTCCCCAATGTATGTAAACTAGTCTGTTTCTTCTTATATGGAGTCAGGGAACCAGACTACAGGAAAATGATCGTTTTTCTTGGTTTTTATAGCATTTGCGAACCCAAAACCTCCTAAAAATCAGTGTAACTATATTTGCTTTATATTTCCAACCCCCCAATTCCATCCATTTCTGAAATTTACAGCAAAAGCAAATGATGTATATTCCCTTTAACCAACATGAAAGGAACAAGAAAGTATTTTTCATAGATCTTACTTTTAGTTTCACTTTCATAACAGAGGGACACATACCTTTAGTCGTCCACAATATGTCGTGAACGAGGTACATAAACCTGCATTTTTCTCTCCCCTATCCAGGTGTATTTCACAACGTGGTAGTGTGTGAAAACAGCCACATGATGCTACATTGTAATGGCAAAGAAGTTTTAGCAATTCACTCGGCTGGATTTGGTCGACCCATTGCTGCTAACATGAAGTGTCCATCCTTCAGCATGGATGATATAGGTTAGTGATAATGCCACTCCTTCATGATCCCACCGTAAACTAGCTGCTGAATTTGCTTTTACCTTCTTGGAAAGCCACTCAAATTGATTTGATTAGGAAAGAGATGGCATGACTTGCAGCCAAACATGGCTAAATTTGAAGTGCATACCGGTATATATAGTACTTAATAGTGTGCAAAGTATACCTGTAGGAGGGATTGATTATTCCATGCACTGTGATATATCCATTTGAAAAGGTGAAACGTTTCTGAAGAAACATGCACAGCATAACAGTTGTTTCTAAACTACATTTTCTCAAGTAATGTATTCTGAAAGGTGAAGGCAGTAATCAAAAAGGTAACAAAATGGCATTTATTGCATTTTTGGAAACGAAGTCTTCAAGTGTTTACCTCAAAGAAGCAGTTTTCAGATTTACAGTCACCATCTATAGTCTGTAGTTAATCATTCATCCGTTGTTATGTCCTACGTGTATTTGCTTGTGATTCACACAAACACATTTGAGAGCCTTGTTAACCACTTCGCGCCGGGATTATTTTTGCCCAAAACTTTGATTTTTGCAAAAGGTAAAATTTTCAAGCCAACTTTTGATATACAACCATGCAAACGCCACAAATACTGATTTCCAAGAGTCATTTCAACAGTATTTGTATGATATTTCTTGCCAAAATCTTATACCAGATATGTTTCAATACTCCGGGTTTGTGCACTGGAGCATAAATTGTATAACAATAGGCCGTGCACAACTGCCAAATTCAAGATCAATGCATGGTCCGCCTCCATAGACTTCAAGTGTGTGTGTGTGTGTGTACAAAGGGCACGAGGGATTAGTGTGTTTAGACGTCACCCGGAGGCGAGTCCAGGTAATCTTGACGTCTTAAACCCGTCAGCTGAGCCTGTGTATAAAAACAGCCAGTGCGTGTTATCATGTCCTCCGTTGCGAACTGGTTAATAAACTTATCATTATTAACAAACGTTTCTAGCTTAAAGTTACGCTAAAAAAAACCTAAAAACTTTCATGCCTTGTGCAAAAGGAGCAACAGTTCGTACCGGTGTGTGTCGACTTTTTATCAAACATGCTTCGAAAATTTTGACAGATAATGAAAAAAGTTTTTCAAGAGCAATAGTAACAGATAATGAAACAAGTTTTTCAAGAGCAATAGTAACAGATAATAAACAAGTTTTTCAAGGGCAAAGTGTTCATACATGTAAGTATCAGACTTGGGAAAAGATGGTTGGTATAAACATGTCTTTTAAATTGATGTAAGATAATGCAGTTGATAATTGCAGAGTTTTTCCCCCAAGGCTTCAGTTTCAAGTATTTTAGCCATTACTTTGTGTGGCTTCAATTTTGTTTGTCCAAGTAAACATGCATGTAGCTGGGGCAGTTAGGGTTTCACTGAACCTATTAATATGCTAGTGTCGAGAATCCCAAGCTAAAAATATCTAAACCTCAGCATCAGAATGGAATGGGAAAATGGTTATTGTCTGCTTCATCCATCAATAAGAGCTACAGATGATTCCAGTTTTCCCATTTGTTTTCAAGACTTTAATCCATATGGTGGTAACATTACACCCGGGCCGCTTGCTTCCTTATAATCATCCCCGCCACGTACACTGGAGACCTTTACTCCAGTGCTTCCTATCTGCCAACCCTCAGGTGCTCATCAATATTTCAAAGGTTATTGCACCAAGTAAACCTTTTACTTGAACCTGTGGCTATTGTAGGCAGTTGCCAGTCTAGAGTGTTCAGGGGTTCAATTCTTGTCACATCATGTTATTGGACCATGCATCAACTCATAGGTCTGCTGTAAGCAGTCATGAGGCAGGGGTGCAGTATTTGGTCAATTCTGTTAGGAGTGGGTGTATCCTGTTGATTTCTTTCACTTACCCAAAATTGAACTGATCTTGTGTTCTTATATGCAATCATTTCATTGCTTTTAGGGCTTTATCCGTACATGTACACATGTGTACATCTGCCCTGGTAACTTTTGCAAGCTCAGATGTTCAGTCTGACATCTGTTGATATGAAAGCAGTCATAATTGGAAGAGTTTAATTTTGGTTCTATTTTTTTTTACATTTTGAAAAAGGTCTCTTGGGATATTTGGAATTTTTTTAGATTTCAGAAACACTCCAGAGATTTCATTGAATAGTTTTTCCAGGGGTGGGCAGAGAGGGTTTTTTTCTCCTCAAGCACAGCTGGAAAGGAGTGATCTGCCAGCTGTTGCTTGTCCCTCACTGTACTTTTTTTATTGATGTCTTTTCAATATTTCATTCTGTTGAAAGCATGTGACCTAAGAATGAAAGGTAACAAATGTTATATCTCCCATGAGAAGAATGTGGCATTGGCCATGATCTTGATGTATGACATCAGAGCATAACCAACGCTCCTTGGCCGATACCATACTGGGGATGTTAGAGAATGACATTTCTAGCATGTCAGTAATATTAAAAAATTGTCCCATGTGGTGAGGAATGTGTGATTGAGTTTGTAGCGTCCTTGCTACACAAGTCCGGTCTGTCAGTGTTAATCTAGTTCAGATGCATAGTCAACATCACCCCCTTCTAGCTTGTCCATCTGTCTAGCCTGTAAAACAAGGACAGGATAAACAATGTGTACGTCTGTACAACTTGGACTTCCTACCCTCTCAATAATGTAGCATTTGGTTGATTAAAGATTACTTCAGCGTGCTATTTCCGAGTTTCATCTTCAAATTTTTTTTTTTTTTCAATTGGTATTTTCCTAGCAATATTAAAGTTATTCACTTTTGAATATGAGACAACGAACGAAAAAAAAAATCACGGACATGTAGTTAATGAATTATTTCTTCACAAAAATCAGATTTTCAGCTGCCAGACAATAATTCGGCTCTTGCAGGGTGGGTTCATTTTGCGAAAAATGAAAGCCCTTTTTTAGAGGGTTGCAGATGCCCAGAATCAGATTAAGTACTTTGTTTGTTAAAATTTAACGTACCAATTGAACATTCCGAAGGGGGGAAAAATATGGATGTTTTCCCCAAATTTCCCCGTATGCAACTTTGAGTTCAACCCTAAAGACCTAGGGTTTTTGATCATAATGCAATATCATATTTTCTTCAAATTTGGTATGTACGTACATGTAGAGACATCCATGCTTGAAACTCAATCTGACAAGGTATTTTGTAGACCTGTACATATTCAATGAAAAACAAGAATCTTTTGGTATCCTGTCCGGATAATTTGGCATTTTACTTAATACATTGGCTTCAAAATGTTTGCAAGATACAGTGTAGGCCTATCAGTGGAAAAACTAATAAACGTGTAAAATAAAATCGTATGGTAATTATAGAAAAAAATGAAAGGGGAGGTACATGTACATGTAGATTATCCCCCTGCCCATCCTTAGTGTTGAGTTCCTGCCAACTCGGAACTTTAAAGGAATTAAGAAATTTGGATGAGATGTTAAAATGTACATGTAAGCAAACTTGTTATGAAGAGGATAGTGTAAGTCCAACAAGTTGCCTGAGGAACAGAATTGATACTGTGCAAGTCTGTACGCTAAAAATGAGACATGCAGTGAGTTTGATATCAAACCCAACCTAGCCAGAATTCTAGCATGCTAATTATGAGGACAACACCTACATATATGTTGCTGCATACATTTCAGCACCACATTGTAATCCCATTTGAACCATTTGAAATCAAATTAAACTGTAAGTTAGAGATCTAGTGACGGTCCTTTTGTTATTAAACCAATCACGCTGCATTACATAATTAACAATTCACAAATCAGAATTAGTGTCCGTGTTCCTAATTACTTTCATTAAGGATGGAATTAGCGTGAAGCTAGAATTTCCTGTGCAACAAGCAACTGCGCAGTTTCAGTCTTGGAGGAAAACTGGCCTGTATATTACAAGGGACTTAAGTGTCAATAAAAATATGTTAATTCCAATAGCTGTATCACTGCCATTACATTTAATTATTATGTAATTATACTGAACAAATGCTGAACTGAAACGTACGTAGGATTATTTGCAATTACCCGGAGAAGCACCTACCAATTTAATGACAGAATCGCAACAACCCCATTGAAAGAAAATACCCATTGAAATTATTCCGCCTTGCACAACTACTCATCTTGATGACTTTTTAGCCTTAGTAAATTTAATTTGCTACTTTGCAGAATGTTCCTCTTCGTCATCATTGGAAGAGGTGATGAAGCGTTGCCATGGTAAGAGACACTGTACAGTCAAAGCCAGTACTCGCATCTTTGGGGAGCCATGCCAAGCTGGAACCTACAAGTATCTGAGTGTAATTTATACTTGTGGTAAGTACATGCTGGACGGTCTGTCCCTTCCAGATATTATTCTTTAATTTCAGACTAGCTGTATTTGTCTAGGATTCTGTTTTTAGAGGTGGTCACGTCAAACGTATCTTGTTTGGGAGCATTGGTGTCAGCATTTTTTAATTTGCTTATTCTTTTTGTCTTCACCTTCGTTTTATTAATTTAATTTTAAAAAGAAAGTAGAAGGAGACATCCTACACTCTCTGATGTCTGTCTGTCTGATGTCGGTCTGTCTGTCTGATGTCTGAGTGTCACGTTTTTTTTGTAAAAGACCTAAAAGGTGTGTGATGAGGAAACACAAAATGCAAGGGTTAATGGAGAGGCTTAGTTGTAAATATCTTATAGCTCCATGGTTGTATATCCTCCGATTTCACTGTCCTCTGATGTCACGGTTGGCATGTGAAAATTTGTTAGTTTTGATTTATATTTTGTTTTGGCAAATTTCTTTCTTGCAGACTTTGAATATAGTTACATATTAAATTATCTCTAAGAAAACACTCCAAAACATATCGCTATTATGCAAAAAATATCGTTGATGATGAAAAATATCGCCAAATTGCTGAACACCAAGGCTTACCACGCCCACTCGGGGTAACAAATTGAGGTCAAAGTAAATTGACCTCACTAAGTGCAGCATCCCGCTAGTTATTGAGAAAATAATTCAATTTTTTTTGATAAAACTGTTCATCATACTGATTGATATTTTTGTAAAATGTAAAACTTATTTGTGTCACATGGTTGATACATTGCAGAAACGATGACTAGTTTCTGTACCTTTAGTTATTCTCATAACAGATGATTGATAAAGTAATTATGAACTTACAGAGAGCAGCTTCTATTAATGAAAAATGGCCATCTGGTTTGCATGATTGCAGAACAATTTGAAGGGGGGGGGGGTGACAACACATCAGATGACAGACCACTCGGTGCTGGGAGGTAGTCAGAAATTATTTTACTGGTCACCTGGCCACCACAGACTCAAAAATCGGGATTGGGGGGAGCACTGTTCAAAGCAGACGATATTGGACACTGTCAAACAATAGGTGGCACTATTTGTTGCAGTGACGGACACACAGATTTTCAGACAGGACGACGGTTATGCCAACAAAAACGAGAAATGGGTGGGGGTGTGTCACACCCCCCTCAGACCTCCGGTGACACCCCTGCTAATTTGTACCAAAATTGACTTAGGTAAATATTGTAAAATAAATTGTGTGTGGCTATATGGATGTTTCATGTGAACTTGAATGAGACTAAGTTATAATCATACATGTACGTGTACACGTACGAGGCCAGCTGGTGTGCATTGAGTTGAGGCACGTTAAGTGCTATATGTATCTTTTAATCCTCAAAATAGTCTTTGGGCACTTGCAAGACCCCGATAAAGAACAAGCACTCTAAAACAAAGTTTTGTAAAATGTTTGAGTAGTTTTAACATTCCTGATAAGTTTGTGATAGCACCCGACTGAGTGCATATGGATTCAAGACATATTCGCCTGTTGTTCAGCAGCGCAATATTGTAGCGCAATGCATTTTATAGAGGGCACACTTTAGTCTTTTACTGGGAGCCATCAGTGTGTGCGTGCTCTCACCCAGGTTGTGGGGGCACCAGCCAATGGCGCCAGTGTACATAAGCGGCTGCGCGCTCGGCTTTGCCCTCTTTCTGTTGTGGCCGTAACCCGAGAGCGGTCTCGTGAAGTGTTTTCACACTGCTCTAATCTCCCACAATCAACCAATAACCTCACCTGTAGGCACAGTGGAGGGAGCCTCATACCGGTACTTTGTGTGAATGTAATTGACAAATGATTCCTGTATCATAATCCGGATAATTAAGTAATCCCTGAGTTTATAAGGGAAGTGATTGAGTACAAGATCACGTAGGCGATCACAGATTTTATGATGCCTTTTTGCATACAAATTGGTATTGGTTGCAAAACAGTCATTAAACTAGCTACATTGTACAACTGCAATTCCAAATGCCATTTTGACAATGAATTTGTCTCACACTCTCTTTGAAATAAGACAACAATGCTAATAATAAAGTTTTTGTGAGTAAAATAGCAAGTATCGTCATTACTCTTAAAACTAAATCTTTGAATTTCTTGTACAACCTTAATAACTTGAGCAGTGATGGGCTCTACATAAAGATAAGTCGGTAACGATTAGTTATCAAAAATCTTCCAAATTTTGAAGTTACACATAACTTGTTGCCTAAGTCACAGACTTCCGAGCTGTGAAACGTATTTGGAAATTATGTGTCATGACTGAAATGTTTTGCAACCATTGAATCATGAAATATTGCCCAACTTGGGCAATAAAATCTGGCATAAGTGTTGTCACTCTATCACATAAAGTTTCATGAAATCAGTCAGAAAGTCTAACAGTTGTTCTGATTTCTTAGGTTCATTGCTACAGGTTTTGGATTGAAAACTGCATCCGATAGCTTAAAGGGAAGATACAACATTTAATTTGCAAACATCAAAAAACGAAATGATCCAATTATCAATAAATACCTTACTGGATTGTTAGGGAATGACAGTCTAAAGCATCCTGTAAAATTGTGGGTTCTGGTGTGCTGACATTTTCAAGAAAAATTGTATTTTTCCAACGCTGGTCGGCCGACCAGCGCTGGAGAAAGCTGGCTTTTTTCAAAAACTACTCCATATTTCTTACATTTAGTTATTCCACATTTTCTTTGCAATTGATTACTCACCTGTGAACGGGTACAAACCAGCTAAATTGATACTCTGACCGTACAATTCCCGAAAGTCTATAAATTGCTCCATTTCATCTAAGTGGGGTTAGGGAACCAGACTACAAGAATATTATTGGTTTTCTTGGTTTTTCAAGCATCTACAAGCCAAAACGTAAAACAAGTCAGTTTAACAATATTTGCTAAAATCATATAAATCCTCCAAATGCACTTATTTCTGAAAATTGCAGCAAAAACCAGTGTTGTGCATTCCCTTTAAAAAAGGCAAGCATATTTGAATGACCTACATGTAGGTGAACATAGTATGCTTTACTTCAATGATATCTGGACTTTGTTGAATCAGCAGATAAGTCAAGTGATGACAAGTGTCATTCACATATTTATTATCAGCTTAGTTCAATAGAGACATGTTTGCCTGCTTTACACCCCTAGTAATCCTATTTACATGTGTATTGCTGGAGTTGTACACAAGGCCACAGGGATTTCAATCACAATTGCAATAAATGAGTTTAATTGTTTTATGTCAAACCAGCCTGGATGTTTAAATAGAGGCAAAGTACTGCAGAAAGTTCTGGCATTTTTGTTCACAACTTCACAGTAAAATTTCAAATTCATTCATCACGACCGCAAAATTATTTTGTAAAAGTCTTTACTCGAAATAAAGTATAGGCCCCTATAGAGTAATATTTGATGAAGTGATTCAATTTGACTAAAACTGCATGTCTTTCTAGACTTGTGGAAAGAATTGTTTGTAAGTTAGAGATTTTAGAACGAAATTTGAAATAAGATTCAGTCCAAATTGTGTACATTTCAAATAGAATCCAGGAATACAGGCAACCGTACACACATTTGTATGAAAAATTGGAAATGAAATGACCTTTAATAGAGATTACAGTACTTCATTAAAAATAATCCCACAAGTGACTTCGTTTTAAATGTCATGGCCGTAAATAAACACCAACACATGAAATCCTTCAATTAGCAATTATGATTGAGTTTCTATTTCATTTGGACTGGTCACGGATGATTGTTGCTCCTGGTGTATTGAGAACCTTTAATTACGTTGCGCTAAGATGCTACAGAGATGCGGGCATTAGTCATTTGCCGTGTACAGACTCCTAAAGGTCACACTGTGCCTCCAATGCAGCGGCTTGACATCTGATGGATTGCAGTTATTTTGTCTTTATGAATGTTTTCATTGCCTTACGCTTATCAAGCCAATGAAATCTAAATGAAGGTTGATACTTGATGTGCCGGCATGCTTGAGTTTCAGTGCCAGCGGGATATTGCCAGGGATGATGACTTTACCAAGTGTCATATTTCTGGTATCACGCAGCAAGTCAAAAACGCCCTTTATACCATAACCATGGCAGTACATGTAGGAATAGACACAGCAAGTAATGTACTGTGCATGTTGGATCCACACATCATGACTAGCGATATGGAATATTGCGTTGTGGAATTCATATTCATGTACTTGTAACAAGTCATCAAGTCAACAGTAAGTAAAGTTTTCCTAGTGTAGAAATGTATTATCAGTAGGTTCTGCCTTACCAACAGGAGAGATAGTGGAACTCCATCAGATATAGTTACCTTTGATAAATATCGTGCCTTCATAATATCTTTGCTCCTGCAGGAATGGCGAGGTATTTGTAGCCAATACCGTATGGACTTCAGTTATTAGAGTACATGCACATGGTCATAATTCATGGTGATTCATGTGCATGTGATTTACCTTCTACAGTGTGTACATGTATGACCGCATTCAGGGAATATTCTATTTCACATTAATATCAATGAAATGCCATCTTTGTGGAATTTGGGGGGGGGGAGGGGTATACCCGGTACATGTATTTATGTAGGATGTAAAACAGTTACAGAAATCCACTTTTCCCCAGGGCACTATGTACATGTAACTTTAATGAACCACATAAAATAAGGAGACAAACAGTCAAGCTATTTTTACAGTAGTCATAACTCTTCTTCAAAAATCATGGTGTTTTTTTTCTGTTTCTACTTTTTTACTGTTCAATTTGTTTTTTCTATTTGGGGCGTCTGCAACCCTCTGAAAAAATTGGCATATATCTGAGCTTTTTTTGTGCTTCTGGTACACAAATAAATGCACATGATTTTTTTTTGGGGGGGGGGTGTTGGGGGTGTTGAACTTGAAAATAGCCTGGGGTGTAACTTGAATATGGAAATCCCCCCCCCCCCCCCCCCCCCCGGACAGGGATTTATCTTATTATTTCATGAAAAAGCCACAGAATTC